ATTCTTTGTTCTTTCTGATTTTTAGTTAATATTTTATTATATACTTGGCTAAAAATTTAAGGTCTTATTAAGACAAAAATCTAGGTCACTGGAATTTCTTAGTGAAATTAAAATAACACTTACACCTCAGTCTTTTCCCCCATCTTTAAGTGGTTTGCTTTTTAGCATTCAGTTTGGCAGAAGTTACGGTTATTTTTGTTTATATATTTTTGATTTTACATTTTTATTAGTATATAGTAGTTGTACATTCATTATGACATTTACATATATGTTTCTTTGTATCTAATTAGGTTCACCCTCTCCATCATTCATTCTGTGCTCTCCCCCTCCCAACCCGCTAATGTTTATTTTTAGAGTATAGGCAGTAGTGCTAATCTAATTAAACTCCTCCAGCTACCTGGGACAGTGAGTTCATCAGCTGTTTCAGCTTAGTATAGTTTGCTCCAAACTGAATCTTACATGGAAATTGATCAGAAGTGGAAACTGGATTTTTTGGGAATGCAATGCACTGAAGAATGAATATAGTTTGGGTTTGAGTCAAACATGGTCCCTAACCTCAGATTATTACTTTTTTCGGCAATACTGGGGTTTGAACTAAGGATGTTGTGCTTGCTAGACAGGCACTCTACCACTTGACCACTGCCCCAATCCCCTAACCTCAAATTATAAAAATAAGATTGTGTTTCATTGGTGAATGGAAGAGATTCTAGAGTGACTACAACATTTGAGTCCTAGGGCACAATCATAGTATCTACACCTGCTTTAATTTTGACAGTGTCCTAGACAGCTCAGACTGCTATAACAAAATGCCATAGACCAGTGGCTTAAAAACTTTTTTTTTTTCTTACAGTTCTGGAGGGTAGATGTCCAAGATCAAAGTGCCAGCATGAAGGCTTTTAGTGAAGGCTTTCTTCCTGGCTTGCAGCTCTCCACCTTGTCACTGTGTTTTCACATCGCAGGAGAGAGAAAGGGAGAGAGAGAAAACTGGTGTTTTATGAGGGCACCTATCCTATAGTGAGAGCCCTCACCCTTAATGACCTCATCCAAACCTGATTATATTCCAAAGGCCCCATCTCTCAGTGTGATCGTACTGGGACTACTCTTAATTCTATAGTAGACTCTATAGTTGAATTGGTTTTAAGTTTTTTTTTTGTTGTGGTACTGGGGTTTGAACTCAGGACCTACACTTTGAGCCACTCCACGAGCCTTTTTTTTGTGATTTTTTTTTTTTTTTTGAGATAGGGTCTCATGAACTACCTACCTAGCCTGGTTTCAAACCGTGATTCTCCTGATCTCTGCCTCCTGAATAGCTGGGATTACAGGTGTGAGCTACTGGCACCCAAGGTTTTTTTTTTTTTTTTTGAGACAGGTCTTATATGCTGCAAGCTGACCTTGAACTCATCCTACTGCTTTAGCCTCCCAAGTGTGTTGTGATTATAGGCCTGTATTACCACATCTGGTGGTTTCTTCATTGTGATTGACATTTATATTGTTAGCCTAACAACTCATCCCAAAGTAGTTGTGTTTTATTTTTGTCATAAATGGGAATTAATGTACTCAAGGGGTATCCAAAGGGTTGGCAGAGTGACGCAAGTTGTAGAACACCTACCTAGCAAGTGTGAGGCCATGAGTTCAACTCCCAGTACCACCAAAAAGGGGGGGGCAGTAGGGGGTAGCGGACATCCAAGATGATTCAATAATGTATAGAAAAAAGAATGTTGAAATATCTATTGGGCATTTGTTCTAGAAAAATTAACATTTTTTTTTTTACAGTAATGGGAGTTGAACTCAGAGCCTTGCACTTGATAGGCAGGCATTCTACCACTTGAGCCTCTTTGCCAACGTAGAAAAATTAATCTTTTTTTTTTTTTAATGCGATATTGGGGCTTGAACTGAGGGCCTACACCTTGAACCACTCCACCAGCCCTTTTATGTAAAGGTTTTCTTCAAGTAGGGTCTTACAAACTATTTGCCTGGGCTGGCTTTGAGCCTCAATCCTCCTGATCCTCTAACTCCTTAGTAGCTAGGATTACAGGAATGAGCCTCCGGTGCCCAGCAAAAAGTTAATCTTGATATTTAATGTGAATTGACTGCACATATATACACATATTGGAGGGGGCTGTGCTCAAAATTTACTCTGAAGTTTGGAAATCACTGTTCTAGAGTACCCTTCTGTAGAGTTTTTTTTGTTTTGTTTTGTTTTTTTTGAGTGAGCCTGGGGTTTGAACCCAGGGCTTCACGCTTGCAAAGCAGCTGCTCACAAAGCAGGTGCTCTAGCCACACCATTTTGCTCTGGTTGTTTTGGAGATGGGTCTTGCAGACTGTCCAGGCTGGCCTAGAACTATGATCCTCTCAATCTCAGCCTCCCAAGTAGCTAGGATTACAGGCATGAACCACTGGTGCCTGGCGCCAGTAGATATTTTAAACATAAAATTGTACTTACCTGTATCATATCTGGAATTACTACAGGTTGAATATCCTTACCTGAAGTGCTCAGGACCAGATTTTGGAATATTTGCAAAGACTACTGGTTGAGGATCCCTAAAATGAAAATCAGAAATGCTCTGTCATGTCAGTGCTCAAAAAGTTCGATATTTTGGAGAATTTTGGATTTTTGGACTAAGGATACTCAATCTTATTTTTTTATTTTTCTTTTTTTTGCTGGTACTGGGTTTTGAACTCAGGGCCTCACACTTTCTAGGCAGGCCCTCTACCATTTGAGCCACTCCACCAGCCCTCAGTCTATTTAAAAGATAGAGAAAACAGTACAGAGAAGATCACATACCTCATCCAAGAGGACAAAGTTTGCTAATGGCTGGCTTATATGCTAGGATCCTGGACTTCTCATTTTTGGTCTGAGACTGATTTAACTAAACTTTGGATCTTGGATCCTAAAATCCAAAGTTTAGATGGTATCTGCCTAGGGTTGACATAAGAATTCATAGGGTTTTCTGTTTCTGAATTTGTCAGTAAGTTTTGTCAGCTATTTTCTGCACAGAGAAGATCCCTTCTTGAAAGAACCATAAACCAGTTTCCCCCAAAAGACTATTCTGTAACCTCTGAGTATTAATGAATTAAACCTCATGGCTCCCTCTTTCCCACTTCTGGGAGCTGGGTAGGAGTTTAGGCTTTGGCTTCTCTTGGTCACAGAGGCTGGGGAAGCGGGAAGAGCATATATTTTGTTGGTGGAACAGAGGTTTGAACTCACTGGTTTGCATTTGCAAAATAGGCATTCCAGCATTTGAGCCATATCTCCAGTCCATTTTGCTGTAGTTATTTTGGAGATTGGGGTCTTATGAACTGTTTGCCTGGGTTGGCCTTCAACCTTGATCCTTACAATCTCAGCCTTCCAAGTAGCTAGGATTATAGGCATGAGCTGCTGTTCACTCAGCAGCATGTGTTTTTTAGAGCAATTATGATTCTAAACTCCTGTAAAAGTTGATGTTTGGTTTTGTGAAAAGTTCTCAGGAGCTTTTTTGTTGTTGTTCTCAATGTAAAAATACATTGAGGGACTGAGATGTAGCTCAGCAGTAGAGTGGTTGCCTAGTATGTGTGAGACCCTAGATTCAATCCCTGCATCAGAAAAGAAAAAACAATTAAAAAAAAAAAAAAGTACACACATGGAAGTAAGAGGAGGAAAACAGCCTGCTCTGCAAACAGCTCTTCACTGTTTTTCTTTAGGTGGCTTCCCACGTCTGTTTTGTGTTCACGTTGTCTTTGATCACCACCTTGCTAGGTATCCTTCTCTCAAATTCAACCTTAGCCCTGTCCTTGGAGTATTTCTACTCCCCCACCTTGGTCTAGTACAAGCAGTCTTGGGTCAGCTGTCTGTTGGCAGAGAATACTTTTTATGAAGCAGCATGGAATTCTGTAGAGGAGAGTTAGGGGTAAGGATAAGAATGTGGCTTCTTCTGGGATAATTGTTATAGGAATGAAAGGGCTGTTGAAAGATTGGAGGCCAGAGTGCCTGGGTACACAAACTAGGGTCATAATCATACTTTGTCTTTTACCAGTGCCTTTTGTACAAGGCACTGAAAGGGCTTAACAAAATTCTCATCTGAATAATATTATTCTTCATTCTTTGGAATTTGCTGGAGGTAGCAGTAAGGGTGGGGTGGGGGGGGGATGTATTATTGTGGCATAAAAGAAATACACTAGATATCCTTGTTTCTAGTTTGGGCTTTGTCAAAAAGTTAAGTTTGGTAAAAGTTGGTAGAATTAGGTGAAATAATGCTTGCCATTATATATAATGAACAGAGATGGTTTAATGGAAATGTCCTTTTCTTTCCCACCTTTGCATTTGATGACTGTGAGCTTTAAGACTGGGTGGAGAGTGGGCAGATTGCTTTAAGATTCTTTCTTAGAGGTAAACTACTTCTGAGTTCAAATTCTGGCTCTGCTTATAAGTCTTAGTATTTGTGCCTGTAATAAGCTTGAAACTAGGCATCTGAGTGAATATAAAGACCAAGCTCTTGCCAAGAGCTTGATATCTTCTGTTTTTGTTGATTTCTGTGTAAAATGATATTCACAATCTGACTTGCTTCTTCATGTTGTAAAAAACAAGTATTTTCAGTGTTTGTGAGTACATATGACTATCACTTAAACAAAGGTAGATTCTTACCTAGAGGGCAGTGCTAAAGGTAGCTTTTTGTATGGAGTTGAGGCTCTTAGCTTTGCAGTACCAGTCCTTGATATGTGCCTACTACTCAGGTTTTATTTCAGTTCCCTCTTTCTCATCTGAAATCACACTGTCAGTTACTCAGTGAATAAGATAAAGAGATGGTAGTTGACCTCCCCAAAACACATTCCTTTATGGAATTAAACTTAGGGAAAAAATTTTTTTGGATGTGCTTTTCAGCAGCTAAGAAGCTCGGTTAAGCACACACACAAAAATCATTTTCATAAAAATGACAAGCCCTATACGTTGTTAAATCTTCTTGTCCCTTTTGTTGTCTTTCCTAGGTGTTTTTCTAACTATTTATTTTCTTTCCAAAATCCAGGCTGGCTACAGGAAATATCATTCAAGATGTCCAGCAAAGGGAACAGCACAGATGGCAAAACAGACTTAGCTAATGGTAAGGGACCAAAATGAAGATAAAACTATCAACTGAGGTCTTCCTCCTTCCTCTAAGATAGAGGGGAGATCTGGATATTCTTAGGGTAAAGGAACCCTTCCTGTGTTTTTTTATTTAACAACATGTATGAAACCAAGTATCCCTGGCTGCTACAGGAGAATAGCAGACAGGTAAAGTTAAGAAACAACCTTATTTCGAGCAAGGGGAATGATAGCCTGTGTTGTTTTGAGTATAGGAAAGTATGCAGAACACACCTTTTTTTTTTTTTGTGGCACTGGGGTTTGAACTTAGGGCCTCACGCTTGCTAGCAAGCACTCTTGACACTTGAGCCACTCCACCAGCCCTTTTTTGTGATAGGTTTTTTTTTTTCTAGATAGGGTCTCATGAACTATTTGCCCAGGGTTGGCTTCAAACCGAGATCCTCCTGATCTCTGCCTCTTGAGTAGCTAGGATTACAGGCATGAGCCACCAGCGCCCAGCCAGAAAACATCTTGAATTACCTGGTGCTTTTCAGACTTTTTATCTGATTGTTTTCAGACGATCAAAACAGAAATGTGCTTCTAAGAGGTGAAGTGGTTTGGAATTCTGAAGAACTATAAAGGTGGGGAGAACTTAGGAAATGCTGTTAATAAAGAAGAAAAATAAGATCCAATTGGTGGTGGGAACAGGGGAGTTTTGAGGAAGATGAAGTTCCCCAGTTGCATTGAGAGGTCTCTTTGGTAGTAATAGTTTTATAAAGATGATATTATTGGGCTGGGGGTATATCTCAGTTGTAGAGGGTGTGCTTAGAATACATGAAGGCCCTAGATTCAGTCCCCAGTGCCTCCTGCCATCCCCTTCCCCCAACCTCCCCAAAAGAGAAGAAATACGAAGTTATAACCCAGACCAGCCAGAATTGGTCTTTCCCTTCCCTTCCCTCTTTCCCTCTCTCCCTCTCTCCCACTTTTCCTCCCTTTCCCTTTCTTCCTTCTCTCCCTTTTCTTTACACTGGGTTTAGTTGAAAGGCAAGGGTTCTAGAGAGATTTTAAGTATACTATTGATTTGGAGCTTTGCTGTTAGCTAGATCAGGGATTGGCAAACTGTAGCCTGTAAGCCTACCAATTGTTTTTGTTACAAAGATTTATTGGAACATTGTCACACTCATTTATATAGGGTCTGTGGATTGCTTTTGTGCTAGTCAGGTTGAATAATTGACTACATACCACTGGTCTGCCAATGCCATGATTAAAATTTTCACTTTCCGGCTTTTTATAGAAAAATTTGCAAACTCCTAAGCTAGATCTTGGTAACTGACTATTGGGGCCCTCTTGCTGAGCTTGCCATACAGACACCCTGGCCCTTATATTAATGTAGTAAGTGCCTCCAAAATCTGAATTTGTTAATCAAAATTTTATCAATATATTTGGTCTTTTATTTTTCCTTCTCCTCACAGACCTGACAGTTGTGATTTTTTTTTTTCCCTTCTTGCCACTCCAAAGCCCAGTTGCATTTCAAGAAATCATTATCTATTAAACTTTCTCAGCATGTGTAGCAGTGTCAGTGAATGTAGTTCCTAGGTTTAGATTTCTGTGTTTTGTTTCCCTTTTTCCAGCTCCTACACCAGTAATTTCCATATGTGCTCTTAGGCCCAAACTTCTGTCACTACTAAAAACACTTATACTGTTTGTTTGTTCTCTGTGTTAAGTTTTGTCTAAGAGTTCATTGAAGGTGGGGGTTCCATTCCTTCAGCAATATTTACAAATTACTACTGTAATTCATATGACTAGGCAGTAAGGTGCTTCATCTTTGAACCATTAAACATAAATATTGGAGTTGAATAGCTTATACTGAAGTCACACAGTTGGTTTGCATTTCCTGACAACTTTTACTTCTGGCAGAATAAAATTTGTAGTCATCTGAGGAAGGGAGACCATGAGCAAGCAGTGTTTAAAATCCTTTTTCCCCTTCTTTTCTCTTCACATTGACCTGGAAGTTATGGTTATATATATATATTGTGGTTATGTTGGTTACATTGGCTGTGCACATTGCCCAAGTACTTGTTGGAATATGTTGGTTAATAGATAAAAGAATGTAGCATCTAATTGTAACCACTGAAAGTCACCCAGTTATTTAACCACCAACATAGCCGGCCTAGAATATACTGAACTTTTCTTCTCAGGGATCATTATAGTACCCCTGCTGTTTATCATTTTTATGTGTGCTTCCTGATAAAACTTTGTTTTATGTGTCAACAAAAAAGCGAAAATATATGGTAAATAAAAGTATGTGACTAAAAATTGTGTTAAAAATTTAAATTAGGGCTGGCGGAGTGACTCAAGTAATAGAGTGCCTGCCTAGCAAGCTTGCGTTCCTGAGTTCAGACCCCAGTACCACCAAAAAAAAAAAAAAAAAAAATTTTTTTTAATTAATGGAAGTAATTCAAAATACATTTACTTGCAAAAGGTGAGTGAGAACCCATGCAGCTGATCACAATTCCAACTTTAAAGTCCTTTCACCTCCCTTTCTTTGTGGTTTTTAGGAACTTCAGGAAAGAAACTTAGTATTTAGGTGGCAGGAGAGAGTGGTGCTTTTTCAAAGTGGAAAATGGCCAAACTCCATTATCTTTAAGTCACTGATTTTAATTATTTATTTTCCATATTTCCTTAAGAAGATGGCTATGGTAACTCTTGCTGGAAATTTAGTAATTTTGCTGTAATTAATGGATTGTCTATCCAACAGAACAGAGCCTAAGATAGTGTGCATCAGGCATACTTTTCATGCAATATGTCAATCCTTAGTTTCTTGAGAACTTAATCTTAGATTGTCCTGCAATTCTTCACTTTTATTGTGGTATCTTTATTTATGTCAGCTCTGATCTTAATCTTTTCAGTTTCTTGTCCTTTACAAGATTTCTTCTCAGAAGTTACTCTTTTTTATTTATCTCTTCATATTACTTTTTTTTTTTTTTTGGCAGTACTGGGGTTTGAACTCAGGGCCTTGCACTTGTTAGGTAAGTGCTCTACCACTTGAGCAATGCCCCCTCAAGAAGTTACTTTTTTTTTTTTTTTTTGTGGTGGTACTGGGGTTTGCAGGCCCTCTACCGCTTCAGCTGTACCTCCAATCCATTCTGTTCTGGTTATTTTTGGAGATGGGGTCACAAGGATTATTTGACTGCCTGACCCAAAAGTTACTCTTTATATACACTTGTAGTGAAAACACTTTCACTGAAATTTTGTGGGGTTTTTTTTTTTTTTGTTTTTTTGTATTTTGATGTGATAGTTTCTTAGACTAAGGTGGGAAATCCTTCTGCTCACTATACTAATCCTAGTTCCTTATTTTTTCCTTGTACTACTCATTCTTCCTTAACGTGCAGGAAGCCTGTCTAGCAGTCCAGAAGAGATGTCTGGAGCTGAAGAGGGGAGGGAGACATCCTCAGGCATTGAAGTGGAGGCGTCAGACTTGAGTTTGAGCTTGACTGGTGATGATGGTGGTCCTAACCGCACTAGCACTGAAAGTCGAGGCACAGATACAGAGAGCTCAGGTGAAGAAAAAGACTCTGACAGCATGGAGGACACTGGCCATTACTCCATCAATGATGAAAACCGAGTTCACGACCACTCAGAGGAAGAGGAAGAGGAAGAAGAGGAGGAAGAAGAGCAGCCTCAGCACCGTGTACAGCGCAAGCGGGCCAGCCGTGACCAGGACTCATCAGATGATGAGCGGGCCCTGGAGGACTGGGTATCCTCGGAGACAACAGCCCTGCCCCGACCTCGCTGGCAAGCCCTTTTTGCCCTTCGGGAACGAGAACTGGGTTCAAGTGCCCGCTTTGTGTATGAGGCCTGTGGGGCAAGAGTCTTTGTGCAGCGTTTCCGCCTGCAACATGGGCTTGAGGGCCATACCGGTTGTGTCAATACCCTGCACTTTAACCAGCGTGGCACCTGGCTTGCCAGTGGCAGTGATGACCTGAAGGTGGTGGTATGGGATTGGGTGCGACGGCAGCCAGTACTCGACTTTGAGAGTGGCCACAAAAGTAATGTCTTCCAGGTGAGGCAAGGAAGCATAAGAGCAACTGAGAATCAGGCATGAGTTACACAAGTCTGAGCTGCTGACAGTGTAGTGAGTTGTGGTAGTAATTAGACATCAGGATTTGATCCTTCCTTGGTTCCCTTAATGACACACTGAAATAGCTGTGGCAGCCTTTTATTTCCTTGTACATTACAACCATTGGAAGCCTCATACAGTGCTTGGAGGTATTAGGTGTGCTAATACAAGTACAGCTCTTGAAGCAAACTGCCTAGTTTCAAATTCTGGCCCTTAAGGGCTATGTGAGCTTGGGCAAATTATTTAACCTTGTTTTTAGTTTGTGTATCTATAAGATGGGACTTGGAACACACAGGGTTATGAGGATTAAATAATAATGGATGGGTAGGGGATGTAGCTAACTGGTAGAGTACATGTTAAGCATGTGCCAGACCCTGGATTCTACCCCTACATCCACAAAAAAAGGACAAGAAAACCAGTGGAAGCTAAGCACTTAGAGCCATGTATGTTATGTAATTACATTTGGTAAAAATTAACTAATACTGTTACTATTCTGTGGAGATTTTATTCTTCACCCTCATCCTCCATTATCGGTACTAGTCATTCATCCATAAGCATGTTCTCTTTTCTTCCCCAGCATTCTCCCTAGGTTCTTTTTCCTTTGTGACAAGTTCGTTGGCTTCCTGAATCAAGATTTTTCTTCTTTATTCCTACTTTTCTCCCCTATTAGATACAATCCTAGTTTATTTTAGCATCTAATCCTGTACCAGTTCAACTTTCCAGAACCAACCAGAATGCTCTCTTACAGCAGAGAATATTTTCTCTCCTTTTAACTCCTAGAAGAAATTGGGCTTAACCAACTGTATAAGAGTAAGAAAGCAACATTCAGTTATGCAGGAGAAGAGAGTGACAGGGATCATCATCAAATTTTTTCCCCCTCACAAATTCACCTCTTCTCTTTTGTGCATCTCTTTTTTTATTCTTAACACCCCAGGCCAAGTTCCTTCCTAACAGTGGTGATTCCACCCTGGCTATGTGTGCCCGGGATGGGCAGGTTCGGGTAGCAGAACTGTCTGCCACACAGTGTTGCAAGAATACAAAACGTGTGGCCCAGCACAAGGGAGCATCCCACAAGGTAAGTAAGCTTTTGCTGCAAAGTTTGTGAATCCTTTAAGAATCTCTTCCAGTCTTCCCTTACCTCTACCCTTTGTGTCCTTTTGTTGTGGTAATCTCCCTCACTTCTTTCAGTCCTAAGATTCATGGTTAAGAAGGGAGTAAAAACAGCCACCCTAGACTTCCAGAAAGGTAAGTATTTGAGAGAGCCTCACATCATACACTTGTAGCATTCAGTTGATTATATGTAGCCCCTACTAAAACTGTGGTTGACTTGGAGATCTTGTCTCCTATACCTTTCAAACCTCTGAAATATACTAATAATTTTAGAACATTTTAACAATCCCAAGATGCTAGTAGTTGGTCCTTCATATGTGAGAACTCCTAACTTTCATGCTTACAACTCTCAACTCATAAATAGCACTATTTCTAAAACCCTATTTAGAGCTGGGACTCTAGGCCATATAGTCATGGTGGTAGCCAGTGAAGACCTAAGAACTGCCCAGTCTCAGGGTAGACACTGTATTTCCATGATATGAAAAAAAGAATGGTACTCTTAAAAAACCTAAGGCAATATATAATCCAAAGAGCTCTAGAAAATGAAAATTGCCTATAGGTTTCTTTGATTTTTTTTTTTTTTTTAAGCCTACCCCCAACCCACTTGATAACTAAATTTTTAGAACTAAGATGTAGGGAATGAAACTTGGAAGAAAAAGAAAGAAACTTCAGCACCATTTCTCTCCACACCTGAAGGTGTGAAATTGATTTTGAGAATGAGTTCCTTTTTTTTTTTTTTTTTTTGTTTTATTATTCATATGTGCATACAAAACTTGGGTCATTGCTCCCCCCTGCCCCCACCCCCTCCCTTAACCACCCACTCCGCCCCCTCCCTCTCCTCCCCACCCCCTCAATACCCAGTAGAAACTATTTTGCCCTTATCTCTAATTTTGTTGAAGAGAGAGTATAAGCAATAATAGGAAGGAACAAGGGTTTTTGCTGGTTGAGATAAGGATAGCTATACAGGGAGTTGACTCACATTAATTTCCTGTGCGTGTGTGTTACCTTCTAGGTTAATTCTTTTTGATGTAACCTTTTCTCTAGTTCCTGGTCCCCTTTTCCTATTGACCTCAGTTGCTTTTAAGGTATCTGCTTTAGTTTCTCTGCGTTAAGGGCAACAAATGCTAGCTAATTTTTTTTAGGTGTCTTACCTATCCTCACCCCTCCCTTGTGTGCTCTTGCTTTATCATGTGATCAAAGTCCAGTCCCCTTGTTGTGTTTGCCCTTGATCTAATGTCCACATATGAGGGAGAACATACGATATTTGGTCTTTTGGGCCACGCTAGCCTCACTCAGAATGATGTTCTCCAATTCCATCCATTTACCAGCGAATGATAACATTTCGTTCTTCTTCATGGCTGCATAAAACTCCATTGTGTATAGATACCACATTTTCTTGATCCATTCATCAGTAGTGGGGCATCTTGGCTGTTTCCATAACTTGGCTATTGTGAATAGTGCTGCAATAAGAGAATGAGTTCTTAATGGCTGATGTTTTCCTATGGTATCTCTGTTCAGATTCCTTCAGGATTTAGTTAAAACAGGAAATCACCTGTCCTTTTGACTTGTGTAGAATAAACAGGCTGTGAATAAGTCACACTGAGTGAGTGGAGCTTAGATTCTCTACCTTCCTGGTATTTTACAACAACAAAAATGCATACATTCCTCTTGCTGAGAAACTTTATATATTTTTGATTTTGTTTTCTTTTTTTTGGGTGGGTTTGGAGTTTGAAGACCGTGCTTTTTGCTTGCAAAGAAGGTGCTCTACCAGCCAGGCGCCAGTAGCTCATGCCTGTAATCCTAGCTACTCAGGAAGCAGAATCAGGAGGATCATGGTTTGAAGGCAAGTAGTCCATGAGACCCTATCTCAAAAAACCCATCACAAAAAAAAGAAAAGGGCCGGTGGAGTGGTTCAAGGTGTAGGCCCTGAGTTCAAGCCCCAGTACGGAGAGGGAAAAAAACAAAAAGGCGCTCTACCACTTGAGCCACATCTCCAGTACGTTTTGCTCTGCTTATTTTGGAGATAGGGTCTCACAAACTATTTGCTGAGGCTGGCCTCAAACTGCCATCCTCCCGATCTCAGCCTCTCAGGTAGCTAGGATTATAGGCATGAGCCACTGGTGCCCAGCTTGCTGAGACCTTTTAAATTCAGCCCTTCCTTAAGGTAAAGAAATGAACTAGACTGCCTCTAATCTTTAGAAACTTCATTCCTTTCTCTTTTTCTTTCAGTTGGCCCTGGAACCAGACTCTCCCTGTACGTTCCTGTCTGCAGGTGAAGATGCAGTTGTCTTCACCATTGACCTGAGACAAGACCGGCCAGCTTCGTAAGTACAGCTATAACATCTTTACAGAACTCTACCCCTTGGCCTCGGAAATACTCCATATGTCGTAGTAATGTCTATTGGATCTATAACAATAATGCCTTTGTGCCTACAAGAAGAGATAGTTTAAGGTTGAGGAGAATCTTACTTCCAATATCTGTTTCTTAGCAGTGAAATACTACTCAGTCTACCTTCATTTCTCAAAGCACAGTTATTATATGTAGGTTTCAGTAATTTGATCTTTGTTCTTCAGTCACTTAGGTGTCATTCAGCTTACCCAAAAGAAGCATATGATACTACAAAGTAACTTAGAGAGATGATGTAATTTAGTTACATATAAAGGGACAAAGAATATTCTTGAACAAAAATATTGGTAGCTGTTGTAGAGCTCTTTCATACCATAGCTCATTCGTACATGAATTTGAGACTCTTGAATAAATTATATCCCTTTTTAGCTGTATGTTATCATAGAGAAGAATGTAGCATCTTATGTGGATCCAGGAAAACCTAGATCAAAACTCAACTCAGGCACTACTAATTATGATCTATAGAATCTTTGGAACATAGTTTCTTTGACCTTTTCCTGGGTGTAATGTCTCCCTCCCTATGTAGAAGCTTCTGTGATGAGTGTGTGAGTGTGTGTGTGTGTGTGTGTGTGTGTGTGTGTGTGATGCATCATGACTGGAGTTCAGTTGTAGCTGCTATTATAATTTGGTTTCCTTTTTTTCATTTTTATTGCTCTTATAATATATCCAAAAAGACTGAAAAAGTGAAGCACATGGACAAACTATAAATGCTCCCTCATGTGTCCCCCATTTTTGTAGCTATTGATAACCACTGTTAGTAATTTTGAATACCATTCTATTCCCCCCTTTTTTTTTTCTCATCCCTTTTTGAGAATTTATTTTTATTAGCGTGCATTAAATGTACGAAGCTGTTTCATTGTGATTTCCATAGATGTATACAATGTACTTTGATCAGATTCACCCCTCTATTATACTCCTTTAATCTCCCCTCTCCCTACCTTTTTCGAACAGTACTTACTGGTTTCATTATGCTATCTTCACACACACACAATGTATTTTAGTCATGTGCACCCCTTAGTACTTTCTCCTTTCTGGCTCCCTTCCCACCTCCCCCCAAGACAGGCCCTCTTTTATGCTCATGTCCTATTATTATTGCTATTATAATCACTTCAGGTCTAGATTCCGCATATGAGTAAAAACTTGCAATATTTGGGGTTTTTTGAGCTTGTCTTATCTTGTTCAACATGATGATCTCCAGTTCCATCCATTTTCCTGAAAATGACATAAATGCTCTCTCACTTGAGCCATTGTCCCAGCCCTTATTAGATTTTTGATGAATCTCCATACTGACTGCCATAGTGATTGCATTAATTTACATTCCCATCAACAATATATAAGGGTTTCTTTTTCCCTTTGTACCTCTCCAGCATTGTTATTGTTTGTTTTCTTGATGATAGTCATTCTGACTAGGGTTAGATGGAATCTCAGTGTCATTTTGATTTGCATTTCCTTTATGACTCAGGATGTTAAACATTTCTTCATGTATTTAGTACCCATTTGTACTTCTTCTGAGAGCTGCCAATTTATTTGCCCATTTATTAATTTAGTTATTTGTTCTTTTGGTGTTTTAATTTTTTGAGCTCTTTATATATTTATAAATATATAAAGGATTTATATTAATCCTGATGAATAACTTGGAAAGGTTTTTCTCCCATTCCATGTTTTGTCTCTTGAGTCTGGTGATTGTTTCTTTTGATGTGCAGAAACTCTTTAATTTGATGCAATCCCATTTGTCAATTCTTGCTCTTTATTTCCTGGGCAATTGGGAGTCCTGTTCAGAAAATAATATTCTGTGGCTATATTTTCATGTGTTTTCCCTATGTTTTTCTGTGGTAGTTTCTGTTTCAGGTCTTACATTAAGATCTTTGATTCATTTTGAATTGATTTTTGTGCAAGGTGAGAGATAGGTTCTAGTTTCAGTCTCTTACATGTGATATCCAGTTTTCCCCAACACCATTTGTTGAGGAGGCTATATTTTTTCCAACATATATTTTTGCTGCTGTTTGTCAAAAATCAGGTGGTGGCTAGAGTTGTGAGTTTATTTCTCTGTTCTCCATTCCATTTATCTATGTGTTCATTTTTGTGCCAGTGCTGTTTTATGGCTCTGTATGATTTGAAGTCAGGTAGTATGAAACCTCCAGCATTGCTTTTTCTTTTCTTTTCTTTCTTTCTTTTTTTTTTTTTTTTGGCAGATCTGGGGTTTGAACTTGGGATGTCATGCTTACTAGGCAGGTACTCTACCATTTGAGCCACTCAGGCAGTCCTTTTTTTGTGTTGTGTATTTTTTAGATAGGGTCTTGCTTTTTGGCTGGGCTGGCATTGAACTGCGATGCTCCTGATGTCTGCATCCCAAGTAGCTACGATTATAGTAATGAACCACTGTGCCCCACCTTCCAACATTGCTCTTTTTGCTCAGGATTACTTTTACTTTTTGGGATCTTGTGTGTTTCCATATGAATTTAAGGGTTTATTTTTCTATTTCTGTGAAAAATGACATTGGGATTTTGATGAGAATTACTTGAATCTGTAGACTGCTTTTGATAGTACAGCCGTTTTCACAATATTAATTCTGCTGATCTTTGAAGATGAGAGGTCTTTCCATCTTCTAGTGTCTTCTCCAATTTCTTCAAGGTTTTATATTTTCCATTGTAGAGGTCTTCTTTCACCTCCTTAGTTACGTTTATTTCAAGGTATTTATAATTTTTTTTGAGGCCATTGTGAATGGGATTGTTTTCCTAATTTCTTTTTCAGCTTATTGTTGGTATTGTTTTACTGATTTTTGTATGTTGACTTTGTACCCTGCTACTTCTGAAGTGTTTATCAGATCTAGAAGTTTTTTGGTGGAGTCTTTCAGGTCTTTTAAGTACAGTATTCGATCGTGTAATTTGACTTCTTCCTTTTTTATTTGTATTCCTTTTATTTTCTTCTCTTATTGTTGGCTAGGAATTTAATATATTGAATAAGAGTTTTACATTTTTTGCTGTTTGCTTTTTTTTCCATGTTACATTTTGGAGATTTTCCTGTCAGAGTATAAAAGCGTACCTTATTTTTAACCATGGCATATATGTTAAAGCATTTTTGTACCACTTTTTAATTAATCACTGCTCTGTTGATGAATATCTAGATTATTTCTTGTTTTGTTAATCTAAAAAATAATAACAAATCGAAGTTCAGTACCAGTATTGAGAAAGGTATGTCAATGATTTACATAGGACACAAGTAAAATGTAATTTAGGAAATGTAATTTGAAAGCTGATAATAATAAGACTTTTCTTTTTAGAGAGATAAGTTTAGAAAAAGGTCTGGAAAGCGGAAGAATTTGAACAACTTCTTAAATAATGGAAATGTTTTAGGCTTAGATGTGGGGAGAGAATTAAGAGAAGCCTGTGAGAACTTGACATAAACACAGTTGTGCTCAATGATCTACAGGCTGAGTTTGGCATGGCCCCAGCCACAGAAGCAGGTGAAGGCAAAATGCAGCACAGCTGCTTTTCCTAAGTTGTTTACTACGTTCAGAGAAGTAGAGTGCAGGTTTCTCTTGTTACAGTGTCATGCCCTTCCCCGAGAACTGTTGTTCTACCTCCTTGTTTACCACTGTATATAAAGACTTGCTGAAGGAGGATGGGGGTTTTTGATTGATGGGCTGCTTGCGAGAATGAAGCTGCGCTGCTGCTGCTGCTGCTGTTGCTGCTGCTGGCTGTTATGTATCTCCGAGTCTGAGGACTGAGACTTTAAGAGAGAACCTGGGACAGTGCAAGTCTAAGGAAAGAGACTTTAAAGAACAGAAAAGAAGAAAGACTTCAGAAGTAAGGTTTTAAAGAATAGAGAAAAGAAGCAGAGTAAAAGAGAATAATAGAGAAAAGAAGCAGCAAGGCTGCTGTGCGTCTCCATCCAAGCGCCCAGCACACCTGGCCCCAGCTTTGTCTTCTGTCGTTTGTCCTGTCTGCATCTCCAGGCGTCCCCAGTTAGGTTCAGTAGTAACAGAGCTCGAAAAAGCTCATGAGACTTAGAGAAAGGATGTGCTGGTTATTTATATAACTGTCAAGAGGAGGAAAGTTGGAGGTGGTGGGTTTATAGTAGAAATGGAACAAGTCTGAGTGTCAGGGGCTCTGCCTTCTAGTAGAGATGGTCCCTGACTTGTGGTTTTTCAACTATATGATGGTGTGAAACACAATCTAAAAACTGTACATCACATTTTGAATTTTGATCTTTTTCTGGACTGGCAGTATGTAATATTATATTATGATGCTGGGTAGCAGCAACAAGCCACAGCTCTTGAGTCAACCACCTCATCACAAGGATAAATAGCTGATGCTATACTGTGTTTCCAAGCCATAGGATTCAGTAGGTTAGGTGTAATAAATGCATTTTCAAGTTAAAATATTTCAAACTACATGGTTTTATTGGGATGTAACCCCATCATAAGTCACGGAGCATCTGTAGTAGCTCTGCACTATCTAGCTTTGAGAAAATTATTTAATCTCTTGAACTGAATGATATTTGTTATTTCTAGTTGTATGATTCTGTAATAATGGAACATTAACAAGTTTTCTATAGAAGAGGGGAAGAGCAAAGATGGAAGAAATCATAATGAATTTGTTTGATCTGCTGTATGAGAGACCTGTGAAGCAGAATCACATTTTATCTTGTGGATCAGGTTCAGAGGCAAACTACTTTTAGGCCACAAGGGTACTAATTCAAATAATGGGTAGAGTAAATAACTAGCAGATTATTGAATTTGAAATTAAATAATGTAGGAAGAAAATTTTGAGAGTTGAGCATGGATTTAGACATAAATACTAATGGGCAGGATAGAAACAAAAGGGGGGAAACTTAAATAGGAGGAGTTCCAAATTGTAGGTTTAAGGAATAAGAGACACTGAGCCTTTAAAAAGGTTTTGCTTTCAGAGTTGAAGAAGTAGTTTTCCAGGCTGGAATGGGCTGTAGGGTGAAGCTATTTTCATGTGTTCAGCAGCTGTTTCAGTTGGTGCCTGAACATATATTTGTTTGATATCAGGTTTTTTGGGTTTTTTTTTTCTTCTTGAGACAGAATCTCACTATGTAGCCCTGGCTGGCCTCAAATTAGAGATCCTCCTGCCTCAGCCTCCCTAGTGCTGGGATTTCAGGTATGTATCACCACACCTATTTGTATGAGGCATTTTTATATGAAGTTGGCATAGAGGAATTTTTGTTTTGCATATATGTAATAACTGAGTCTCTGGGAGCTCAAGAAATTGACTAATGTCTTAGGAAAAGAGTTTGATTTGTAACTGTATATGATATATTCCTTTAGTCAGTGGAAGCCAATTTGTGGTGTTCATCAAAGGAATCCTATGGTTTACCTAATCTGTGATGATACATAGATGCTCATTAACTTTAAGGCAAAAATTTGATGATTTTGTTTCATATAGCTTCACATGCTTACCTCCCTGTGATGTGAAAGTGTTTTCACTCATGCTATGATTGATCATTTTTATAGCACCTCTGGATGTTCCCCAGAGCCTTCCAGGCACTGGGCTACACTTAATCATTAGGAGAGAGAATTGTTTTGTATAGGGAAGTAAAGTGAGGCTTGGAAAGATTGAGCTCTTTGTCAGAGTTATGTAACAGCAGAGTCAGTAACATGTCCCTTGATTTTGCTTCCAGTGATAACTTTTTTTGTTTTTCTGGCCCATTCCCTCTGTAAATTCAAATTGCTGAGGAAATGAGTTGGTCCTATGGAAGGAGTAACATTAACTCCTGTTCCCTTTCCCTTTCTAAAACCCAAAGTAGAACTGCCTCTTCTTCTCAGCTAGCTTTGTTTCCTAAACTTTTTTTTTTTTATGTTTTCTGCCTTGTGTTTTTGAGGTGTATGTGTGACTTTTTCCTTCTAATGACACTCATTTTCAATGATCTCTTTACTACTTTCCTTTTAATGGAAAGCTGCAGAGATTTTAAATTCAAAATCTCTCTACTTTGCCTAGAGCAGTTCTAGGCTGAAGTTACTTTGACCATGCAGAGAGGATGCTAAAATTGTTTCTTTATAGTGAAACTTGTTGCCATGGTTATATTTCTTTCTGTTTCCATAGCATCAGAAATGAATAAAACTTTAAAATAAAAAACAAAAGCCATACTTCCTCTTACAGTTTCTTGATGTCTTTCCTAAAAATTCACTAATTTTCATGATGTCAAATTTTATTGGTTGAACACTGATCTAGGAAGAATATTCATAGTGCCACTCTTAAGGCAGAATCAGTTATGGTTGATTAGCCAGCTTCTTCTAAGTTTCTGAAGTTTTCTGGGGCTCTTCAGGACCCATGTTCTCCTAAGGGTCATCCTTGTATTACAACCAGAATAATCTAGGAGTGCTTTTTCAGCTTTACAAATAGCTACATTCATAAGAATCTTCTCTTCTAAGAAATAAAGCATACTGTTTTCTTTGATATTGCCTCTATGCTAGAAAACTGTGGCTTATTTTTTTCAGTGTGCTTTTTTTTTGGTGGGTGGCAGTAACAGTACTGGGGTTTTGAACTCAGGTCAGCTTTGAACTGCAGTCCTCTTACCTATGCCTCTCACATAGCTGGGATTACAGCTGGTTGAGATGGGATCTCACTAACTTTTTGCCTGGACTGGGCTTGAACTGTGATTAATCCTATGTCCATCTCCCAAGTAGCTGGGATAACAGACATGTACCACCATATCTGGCCCCTAGTGTGCATTTTTAAAGCTAGGTTTGAGTGACATTTTTTAAGAATCTGGGAGATCGTCTCTGACCTTAAGGTCTTTTTTAGCCCAGTGTTTCTGTGATTATTCTTCTACCCTGTTCCTCATTTTCAGGTGATTGGAAAGATGTACACTATTTGTAAATAATAACTGGTTTCTATCATGTTGAATTCCAGCTAAATTGAGGCTTCCTGAGAAGCAGTACATTCATATACCTTTAGCTTACACATTTTTTCATTAACATATATTAGTTGTACAAAGTAATATAATGCACTTTGATCATAATCACCCTCTATTATCCTCTCTTACCCCTCCCCCGACCACCTTCCTTTTCCCTAATAGTCCTCCTTCTACTTTCATGTCATCTTTTTTTCCCTCTATATTTGATATATGAGAGAAAACATGTAGTACTTGTCTGTGTCTGGCTTATTTTGCTTAACATGATGATTACCAGTTTCATAGCTTATACTTCTTAAGGAACATCAGAAAATGACTTCAATATGTTTTTTTTCCCCATTTCTTAAAGTAGCATATAGTAAATATATATTTTTTTTAAATGTTCAAAATAAACCAGAAAACATCACTTTTCCATTCTAGATGAAAGTGCTTTTTTTTTTTTTTTTTTTTTTTTCCGGGAGTGGGGATTGAATTCAGGGTTTTGCACTTGTAAAGCACGTGCTCTACTGCTTGAGCCACACCTCCAGTTTATTTTGCTCTGGTTATTTTGGAGATGGTAGTCTCACAAACAGTTTTTCAGGGCTGGCCTCAAACTGTGATCCTTGAATCTTAGCCTCCCAAGTAGCTGGAATTACAGGTGTGAGCTACTGGTGCCTGGCTTTTCTTTCTTTCTTTTTTTGCAGTACTGTGTTTGAACTTAGGGCCTATACCTTGAGCCAACCCTTTTTTGTGATGGGTGTTTTCAGGATAGGGTCTCATGAACTGTTTGCCCAGGCTGGCTTTGAACTGTGATCCTCCTGATCTCTGCCTCCTGAGTAGTTAGGATTACAGGTGTGAGCCACCAGCACCCAGCTTCTTGGTTTCTTACTAGCCACGTTTGCATTATTCTCTGGACTTTCACTTGCCGTGAGCATCTGGGTCTCTTTTTTTTTTCCCCTTCTTATTTTTTGAGACAGGGTCTTGCTATGTAGCTCAGGCTGGCCTTGAACTCACTTTGTAGGCCCTGGCTGACCTCAAAGTTGTGATCCTTCCGCTCCCAATTTCTTTGATTGCAAGCTTGTGCCATCACACCCAGCTCCCATCTGGGTGTTTTTCAGAATATAACTTTATGTGCCTTTCTACTCTTTAAGGAAACTGGTGGTGACAAAAGAGAAAGAGAAGAAAGTGGGGTTGTATACAATCTATGTGAATCCCGCCAATACCCACCAGTTTGCAGTGGGTGGACGAGATCAGTTTGTGAGGTAAGTCTACTACTCTTTTTTGTCTTTGAGAGTTTGAGACTAATGCATTATATATTCTCTTGTGGTGAAGTATGAATTGCCTAGAAATCTGTTGATCACTGTCTTGATTTTTTTACCCGTTTCCAAAATGCTTAAGCACCTTCTGAGACATTCTAATGCAACAATCTGAGGGTTGGCTTTGCATGTTATAGAGATGATCATGTTTTAACGAGTCTGTGATGAATTGAAGTTCTCCACATAGTATTTGAGATATAAACCTTTACCTTCCACCATTTTCATATGTAAACTACCATAGCACTAGCAATTTTGAATACTGGTTTGGGATTCAGTAATAATTTGACTTGGATGATCTCAATGTAAACAGAGGAGTTTTGTGGCTCCCTGAACCACACTTTTCTTTATCTGTGGCATATCTTCATTACAGTGAACATCTGTTGTGACCCTGGCTATTTAGGCACATCCAAAAGAAAACAGAGCATAGATTCAATTCCATACTATATCAGTTAGTTTCCTTCTACCCCTTGTTTATAAACCGTACCTATCTGTATTCATATTTTAACTACGTTTCTATGGCATCATCAGTTTGAAAGAAGTGGTATAACTAGAAAAATGAATGACTTTTTGCTTTCCTAATGGTAGTTGAAAAGCATCGTCTTTTTTTTTGAAATGAGAGCACATTTTTGCAACTGTATTCTGAAATTAATTTTACTAAGAATCATGGAATAGGATAAGTTTTTGGAAAATACATGAGAGATAACCAGGCACTGGTAGATGACATCTATAATCCTAGCTACTTGGGAGGCTGAGATTGGGAGAATCCCAGTTCAGGGCTAGCTCAGGAAATAGTTCATGAAGCCCCGTCTCCAAAATAGCCAGAATAAAATGGACAGGAGGCATAGTTCAAGCAGTAGAGTACCTTCTTTGCAAGTGCAAAGCCCTGAGTTCAAACCCCAGTCCCATTTAAAAAAAACAAAAGAAAAGAAAATACATGATAGATGACTTGATTTTGTTCAAGAATCTTTGACAACCTTGTTATTCTCTTCTTTTGATTCCCTTGCCGTAAATTCTTATCCTTTGGTCACCATAATATCCTTTGCAGATAAAGGATATAATAGATTTTTTTTAAATAAGAAGCTTTTGTTTACAAAAGGTTGTTGTCAGAATTTTCAGATGTTACCTCCTCCAAATTGAGCACTCATTGAAATTTTTACTTAGAACAGTAGATTCCTTAATAAAGTTCTAGTGGTTTATTCCAAAGCTGAAAGCTGATACTTTCCCATGATTAGAGTGGGGCTAAAGATTAGTTTTAGCATTTCTGCATAAGGAGAAATACTCAGATCTTGTTTTTTGTTGTTGTTGTTTTGGGGGGGTTTTGGGTTTTTTGGCCAGTACTGGGGTTTCAACTCGGGACCTTCCACTTTATAGGCAGGCAATGTACCACTTGAACCACACCACCAGCCCAAATCTTATGTCTGTTATCAGCCTCAATATCCTTGATTCCTTTTTGGGTCACTGGTTCTCAACAGGTAAGGCTCATTACTTCACAGAAGCACATACACATTTTGCAGCACATGTTCTCTACATGAGCAGATAGCCCTTTCTGTACTCCAGCTCTTCTCTGACATTATGGTCACCCTCAACTTCTCTGGCACTTTAGTTTGGCCAACTAAATGTTTTGGGATATCTTACTCTTTTCTTTGAAAGGACCCAAAGAGCTCATTTTCTGGTACAAATTTGAAAATATTTGTGCTGAATATTTTGTATCATAATACCATTGGCATATTCTCTAGCCCAAAGGAATTCCAGCAAAGAAATACAGAGAAATATCTTACTAATCCTCCAGGCTTTTGAATCATTCATATTGAATTTTAGTTTAGAGTTGTGAAGAGGCGTTTAAAGGAAGCTTTGGGGAGACATGCTTTTTGGCCTATGGACAAAAAGAGAGACACAGAGAAGGAAAACAGGCAAATGGAAGAGAGATGAGTGTGAGTCCCTACTATTAAATAATGCTTAAGTTAGTTTAAAAATTTACTGGAGTGCAGTAATAGAACACTTGCCTAGCATGCACCAATCCCTGAAGAGGGAAGAAAAAAAAAGAAAGAATTTGTAGGCAGAAAGTAAACAAGAATGTACCAGATGAATACTATGGTGGTAGATTGGCCATGTGCTTGGTTCACATGTAAACATGTTGTGCTGAAAGATTTGGTATAGGCGCCTTGGTTCATAAAGAAAGTATAGTCAATCTGGAAATACAGGTTAAGACATACATTCATGTATAGGAGGTGGTAATTAAAGCATCAGTAATGGAATTTGGTCATCAAAGGAAAGTACAGTAATCCCCCCCATCTCCAAGGGATACATTCTCCAGTAGATCCTTGAAACCGTGGATAGAAGCTTATATGTACTGTGTCTTTTCCTGTGCCTATCATAAACTTTAATTTGTAAATTAGACACAGTGAGATTAATAATAAACAATCATAGAAATATATTGTAATAAAAGTTATTTGAAACTTATGAATTATGTTTTTCTGGACTGGAATTTTCCATTTACTATTTTCTGACCGGAGATGACTACAGGAAACTGAAATCACAAAATGAAACTATAGATGGGGCAGGGGAATGGACTACAATATAAAGCAGGATTTTTTTTCCTTTCGTGTCCCTGCCCTCTTTGAGAATTTGAAAACAATGGTTCCCTTTTTCCAGGAAAATGCACATAAGCACAGTTTCTGGAGGTTCACATACTGTTTGAACTCCAGTTTAAAATTCCCTAATATAAAGTCAGGTGAGAGCTTAAGACTAAGTGTCTGAGGAATATCAGCATTTAAGGGACAGATAGTCAAAGAAAGATCAGTGCATGACTATCATTGAGGAGTAGTTAGACATTAAGGAAGAGTGTTTCAGGGAAAGAGTAATGAACAAATGGCAGGACTAGAGAACAAGGCTTGAAAAATACCTTGTTGGCTTTGGCAGTTAGGTTACTAAAGAAGTCAGCCAGAGAAATTTTAGTGGTGAGTTGAGAGTCAAAGCCACATTGAGAAAGGTTAAGAAGTGAACAGCAAACAAGGAAGTAAAAACATTGAATGTAGATTGTTCTTTTGATTGCAGAGGGTAGGATAGAAAAAGCAATAGTAGGAAAGGACAGTAGGTAGAAGGATTTTAAGACAATGGCCAAATGATGGGGAAGAGGTTGGAAAATAGACTAATCAATCACACAAGGTCCCTAGATGAGAAATATTAAGAACAGCTGTGGAGAAACAGCCTCTGAGATTGGAGGAAACTGCTGGGTAAGGACATGGACTAGGCCTGCCTGTTCCTCACTGTATTTCCAGAACCTGGCATAATATCTGACATAATATATGTGCCATGAATATTTATAAAGCTTGGATTAGAAAGAAGAGGGAAGCCGGGTGCTGGTGGCTCATGTCTGTAATCCTATCTACTCAGGAGGCAAAGATCAGGAGGATTGTGGATCAAAGCCAGTCCATGAAAATAGTTTGAGAGACTCTTACTGTGAAAAAAACCTATCACAAAAAAAAAAAGGCTGGTGGAGTGGCTCAGGGTGTAGGCCCTGAGTTCAAGCCCTAGTTCAGCAAAAAAGTGGAAAAATAAAGGTAGTTTGCTTAATGGCAATGAAGAAAGGAGAACAGAGTCTTGAGGAGATCGGTGGTTTTGTGGGTTAGGAGGAGAACTGGCCAAATAAAACTTGAAGGAAGGATTGAAGTCCCAGACCCACTGGCTTATATACAGCATGGTCTTTGCCCATGAGTAATAAACTCTTTGCAGTAGATAACATAGATTTTAAAAGATCTATAATAAATATTAGTTGTTTCAGTGAAAATAAAATGATAGAAAAGTGAGAAGAGTGATAAGCCACTTAAAATGGATATAATTGAAGATTGCTACTTGATATAGAAAATACCTGGATGAATTAAGAGTTTGGAAATGGATTGGGAAGGGGAGGATCTTTACGGAAGAATATGAATCAGAATCTTGATGGGGAAAATACCCTTTATCTGCATCAACCTGACTGCTTCCTGCCACCACATTGAATTGGAACTCTGCTTCAAGGAATTTGGCTCATTGAGTTTTGACATTTTCATTGCTTCTTCCATTATAGGATTTATGACCAGAGGAAGATTGATGAAAATGAGAACAATGGAGTACTCAAAAAATTCTGTCCTCATCATCTGGTAAGATTCATAAAGGATCAGTGGCTCCTGGCTTGCCTAACTTGATTCCAAGGCTGCCCCCAAACTTGTTGGTATAGTGGGAAGAGCTTGGACTTTAAAGTCATACACCTAGATTTAAATCTTACATACTAGTTTTGTGATTTTAGGCAGTCATTTCACTTTTGTTAGCTTTAGTTTTCTAATTGACAAAACAGAGCAATAACTGCCTTGCACCATCATTGGTGAGGCAAATAGACAACCGAGAGATGCTCTAAGACTTCCCCCTTAAGGTAGTCATGTTTCATCAGTTATACTCTTGGCTTTCTCTCCCTCTTCCCTCCCCTCTCTCTCCCCCTCTCTCTCCCTCCCTCTCCCTCCCTCCTCCTCCCCCTCCCCCTCTCTCTCCCTCTGTCTCTTGTTTCTGGGAGAAGATACAGGGGAGTTTGTAGGAAAACCTGTTCCTGAAGGTGGTATAAAAAATGGTGGGGGGGGGCATCAGTCAGTATCTGCTCCTTATTGCAGGTGAACAGTGAGTCCAAAGCAAACATCACCTGTCTTGTGTACAGCCACGACGGCACAGGTACGTGAGCAGGGCCCAGCTCCTAGGCTGGCATGCCCCTTCTGTCTAGGGAGCTGCTGAGCCAGTGAGGTATGTGCCCTCCAGTGCTCACCACTGTGCTATAGCTCCAAGTGGAGCAGCTGGGGATTAGTTGCTGATGGTGAGCACATAGTGGGAGGATATAGCAGATGACCCTTGGCAAGATACCAGGCACGATTTTGCAGAATGCTGCAGAAGATGTTTGGCAGGCCTGTCTTGGAACCCGGATACTTGCCTGAGCAGCTTCTTATGCCTTTGATTTATTGCTGAATTAATAGATAATGATCTTCCTGAGCATTCTAGTACCCCTTTATTGACAGTGTGTTCCTAATCTACCCTATATAACCTCATTTGCCTGTTGTTCCAACTAAATAAGATGGGTGCTACATCTGGGTATTAGGAGGGAGCACTACTGGCAAGAAGCCCCACCCCAACCCCTCCGACATGTTGTCCCTGCATTTTTCAGCCTTTGCCTTCACTGCTGTGTTCTTGTTCTTGGCAGAGCTCCTGGCCAGTTATAATGATGAAGACATTTACCTCTTCAACTCCTCTCACAGTGATGGGGCTCAGTATGTTAAGAGATACAAAGGTCACAGAAATAATGCCACAGGTGAGACCATCTTTCTAGGTTTCTGTGGCCCAAACCTGTTGGCTTGGAGGACCACAGCATCTAGTCACATGCAAATAGGAACTACCTAGGGAGTTGGTCAATAAGAGGTTATCCCTTTGGTCAATAAGAGGTTATCCCTTTGGTCAATAAGAGGTTATCCCCAGTTGGGCTGGAGTTTTCATGTTTTTTCCACTGTGCTAGAGCAAAGGGAACTCAATAGCATCTTCACTGCAGCAAGGTTGACTTTAATAATAGATTTGGACATGAAATTACTCTTTCTTCTTTTTTTTCTTTATGATTTCAGGTAACTTGGCACAAAGGCCTTATTAGAGAATCAGAGAAAGCCTTCTTTAGTTAGTAGGGCTGGATTACTTAAATTGAATAAACTTGCATCTCTAGGGAAGGAGGAAGAAATTATTCTCTTGAATGAGGCAAAAGAGGAGTAGTGGTAGTATTTAGCCCAAGTTTCCAATGAAGATTGTCTTTTTTTGTTCCGTGTCTGTGGTTCCCATACATTTGGGTGCACACATACCTGATAATCTTTTTAAAATACTGATCCCTGGCTCTCACCCCATATATTCTGATTTAATTGGTGTGGGATGCAACTTAAGTATTGGGAGTTTTTAAAGCTTCCCATGTGATTCTAACATACAGAAAAGGTAGAGAATTATTGCTCTTTCTTCTTGTTACCACTCCTAACAGATATCTATCATAATTTGACTTGGAGACAGCAGTTACTTACACATTTTTCTCTTGAGCTAGTGAGAAAAAGAAGGAAAAAAAAAAATCTGTATTTGAACCTCAGTCCACAGGCAGACAAAAGGAAGAGTGCCAGTGTCATGGCTGGTATGAAACTGGCTATAGTAGTTGGGAGTCCTGGCTTCTTTTATTAATTCCAGAGAGTGGAACCCTGTTATTGAGTCTTGGAAGTAAGCACAGTTGCAGATGATTCTTACAGGCAATTGGAGCATATACCCGTATCATCTCCGATCATCTGATGACAAAAGAAACACTGATATGGTACCAGTAAAGTACATACCAAGGATAATCCTAAAGAAAAGGGCACTGCTGCCTAGGAGAATGTAGAATTGGGACAGGTGAGGCATTAGTGAGGCCTATGGTTGCCTGGTAGGGTATAAATGTTGCTCAGGGATATAGACTCCTGGGCCTTATGGAGCTCTTCGGGAGACTGTAAATAGTCCTTCTACTGGTGTGATTTTATAACTATTACAAAGCAATTTGGCTGTTGGCTGATTCAGAGTTTGTGAATGACTAAATTCTCTGTGAGGTAAATAAATACAGGCCTGATGCCAGCTTTCATGTGGTTTGTTTCCTCATTTATCATTTCAGTTAAAGGCGTCAATTTCTATGGCCCCAAGAGTGAATTTGTGGTGAGCGGTAGTGACTGTGGGCACATCTTCCTCTGGGAGAAATCATCCTGCCAGATCATTCAGTTCATGGAGGGGGACAAAGGAGGTGTGGTGAGTATGGTGTGCTGGGCTGGCTGGCTCCCTGGCTTCTTAGGTCATTAAGGTAGGTTTTAGTGAGCCATTTTTAGTTACTACATGGTACCATGTTTTAGAGGTCCAGCCAGCTAAACTAAAAGGTGTAAGATAGCTTGGGAATGCTGAGATTTTGATGAAATACTTTCTTCTCTTTCCTTTTTTCTGCCCCCATAAAGTATGGTTTATTGAAAAGAGGAAGACATTTGAGGAAAGAACTTCTGACCTCAGTGAGATAATTTACCTCAAAGCCAGAGTCTTTTCCAAAAAATAAATCATTAGCGTTCAGGGTACACACTCGTAGTGTTAAAGATGTCTTTATGTTTCATCTCTTAAGTAAGCCAGGCACTGATCTTGACTGATTTCCTAGATCAGCAGATAAAACTAGAAGGAACATTGTTTGGACAATTAGGGAAATCAGAATATGACTATATAAAATGGTATTTAAAATTAATTTGATGTAATATTTAGAAAAATATCCTTGTACGTAGGAGATGCGTGTTGAAGTATTTAGGAATAAGTATTTGCTTATTTTTAAATTGATACAAACAATGTGCATGTGTATGTATAGAGAGAAAGCAAATGTGTCTATTTTTCCCCCCCTTAAAATGAGTGGCTAAGCAGCCTTCATATAACCCATTGTCATACCAACAGTCTGTCCTTTGAGTTCTTCAGGCATTCTCTATGGAGATAAGGCATAAAGGAAGAGTGAGGATCAGGTTAAGGAGTGAGAGTGGTCAGCTGTTAAGATGTATCTAGCCAGGTTTTTGAGACTTAGAGTTAGGAAAGAGTTCAGTAGCTTCTTCCTATTACATTAGGCCACACAAGAAAGGAAAGAGACAGTTTGGAAGAGTAGATTGTTCTGGTTACCCAAGGTCTTTAAGGAAAGACTGAAACTGTTTGGGCTTTCTTCCTTTCCATTGCTTCTAATCTATGAGAAACTGCAAAGAGCCTAGCCATGACTTGAGACTTACCAAAGAGTAGTTTTAAAATTTAAAATGGTTCCTTATCATTGGGATCCTATTCCTTCTTGTGTTTTTCTTGCCCTGCTATAAAGATATTTCAGATTTTTTTCTGGTTTCCTCTAAATTTTGGGAACCTGAGACTTACATAGATTATTAGGACTTCTGTGGCCTAAAAGCAGGAAGAGAGGAGTCTAGAAGTTCAAGGTCTCACTCTTCCCTGCTTCATTGCCTATGCTTCCATAGTTCCCATCTGTCATCTGTGGTTAACAGATCCAAAAGACTGGTGTCTTAGAATTCTACAATAGGTACTCAGTCAGAAGGAAATCAGAAGGAACAAGGGATCCTTTCTTGATCATAAACTACTGTCTTACATTTTGTTCCAGAGAGATGCAGGGATGAATGCACAGCACTTATCTATTCTCCAAAAGCACTATGCAGGCCAATTCGCTTCCAGCTCAACCAATACTAGGATTTGATGATTAATTCAAGTGCTCAAAGGGAAAGAATATCTACTTAGAATGGGTATGTCCCAGGTTAGAATTTTAGTTGTTCACAGTGTTAAAGACTAGAGCAAGAGGCATAGTGATTACCCTCTGAAGTGAGTTTCCTTACTTGTTTTTGTGTTTGTGTAAGCTTAATGATCCATGAGCTCCTTACTTGGTTCCCTGTTTTTTTTTGTTATAACCTTCCTACACTGAAGATCACCAGCCTCCTACCTCAGTGTGAAGTAGTTCTAATCAGGCACTCTCCACCAGCCCTATGAAGAAGTTCTATATCATAAAGTAGAATGTTAGAACCAGAAGGATCTTACAAGTTGTCATCTACCTTGCCCAAGTCTTCTAACTCTTCTTTGGGATCCTTTTGTCCCTATTCAACTTCATAGAGACAAGAGTGGGAGATGATGTCAAAAGACAATGCCTTATTCTGTCAAGAGCACACTGATGCTTTATCCCATTCCCTACATTCCCCCTAGCCCAGTCATCTAAGGCCAGAGCTCTTTTCTCTACTCAAGCATGATTGACAGGATAACTGGCATTCAGACAGGTCTGGTGAAGTGATCAGGTACCCTGGCCCAGAAGTTCTCTGTTGACTCACACTGCAGGCTTCAACTCAGATACTGTAATGTGATTTATTCTCTTGTTCCTCTTGCCATTACCTTTGTCTTTAGTCTTAAGTCCCAAGGAATTGTTCATCTGTGTTCTTTTATTTTCCCAACTTATCAAAGCAGAGCTAGCTTAGAGTGAAGGTCTATAGCAAGGACTTACCAGGAGACGGATGAACAAGTTCAGGTTTGTATGTGTAGGTTGTCATATGTCTACTGATATTTTCAAGCTCTGGAGTGTCTTTCTAGTGCCTCCTCAGGCTCTAAATTCATTGCCTGAAAGAGCCCAAGTATAAATTGCAGTTGGCTGAAGTGTGAAATGGAGGAAGAAGAAAAAGAATGATATTTCTACTTTACTCTTAGGCTCAGACTTAAATTCAGTATTTCCCGAGCATGTGTTTATTTATAAAAATTGAAGTTAAGGAAAGTTGGAAATAAAGGTCAGCTTTATTCTCTGTGCCTGCCCCTAGTTTTTCCTCAGTTGCCTTGAGTGTGCAGGCAAGCAAGGCAGGGGAGGTTGGTCCAGAGAGAACTAAAAGAGGCTTTTTGCCAGGGGTTGTTTTCTTAGACTGTAGGGCAGCTGCAAGGTGAGGTGCCTTTCCTATCTGTTCTTCATGTGACTAAAAGCCCAAAAATGCTTTAGAAGCTAAATTTGGGTCTAGTTCTTCCGGTGAGAATGGAAACTTCCCTGCTCTATTAGGGAAACTTTTATTTCCAAGTCAGACAACAGAGGCCATACTTGCTATCAGACTAAAAGAAACTGCCTGAGCCCAAAGGCCTGCCATCATCCATAGTTCTTTTCTCTTGTTCCAGTGAATGAGGGTAGCTGAAAATTGATGCAGTGGGACCCCAAGAAGCTGCCTCATTACATCGTACCTCCTTAAGGCTGAGTTATTGTGTTCTTAGGGCAGGTAACAGGATGCTGACCCCTGGGATATATAGGGTTTTCAAATGAACTTGAACTTCCATTATTCCCCACCCCTCTCCGGTTCAGCTTCCTCTTCCCAGCATATCTTCCTCCAGTTAGTAAACAGTTCTATGTAAATATAATTGTTCTCTGACTCCTCTCTGGGAGCTCAGTGGCAGCTGCTTCTTTCTTCATTTTTTAAAATGTGTTTTACTTAACGGAAACTACTGAAATTTTTTTTTCCCAGCCTTGGATAAGTTGGAGCTTTAGAATCTGGAAGTGACTGAAGTTATCTGAACCTCATTGCATTCTTTTGAAGCCAGCAATAAGCATGAGCAATCACTCGCCTACTCCTAGGGCTGTGTCTAGGGATGAAACCATCCCTGATCTATAAATAGGAAATAGTAGATAGGCTTGGTTTTATACCCAATATGATGTTTCCTGTACCCCCCAAGGCCCTTTGGCCTAGGCTCAAAGTGGGTAGGCCTGCCTACCTTTGTAGTAGCTGTCTCAGTCCTAATGGAGGGCATTTATTTGGCTCTTAGTGAGTAGTGGTTTTAAACTGTGCTCCCACATACCCCTGAGCCTATGGTTTCTTTTTCTCCTGACCAGGTAAACTGTCTTGAGCCCCACCCTCACCTGCCTGTGCTGGCAACCAGTGGCCTAGACCATGATGTGAAGATCTGGGCACCCACAGCTGAAACTTCCACTGAGCTGACGGGGTTAAAGGATGTAAGTGACTGACTGCAGAAGTTCTTTTCTCCTAATGCACATAATGTTATCATTCTTTACTGTCATAGAAAGGAGTAACTTACTGCTCTGTTCTTTAAAGACATTAAAGTCTTCAACCTTCTCAGTCCTTTCCTAATCTAATCTAGCTCTACATCTTAAAGCGACCAAAGGGAGGATTTTATTGGGATAGAATACCAATTTCTTTTTTCCCCATTGCTAGGGATCAAACCCAGAGCCTTATGTATGCTAGGCAAATGCTCTATCACTGAGCTGTATCCCCAGCCTTCATTTTTTGAGACAAGGTCTTACATGTAGCCCAGGCTGGCCTTGAACTTGTGACTTTCTGTCTCAGCCTCCTGAGTGCTGTGATCACTGGTTTGCACCATCATACCTAGTGCCAATACCAGCCTTCTTGATGAGGTCAGGTTCCCTATTCATTACTACCCCTGTCCCCAACCCTTTTGGGTTCCAGGTGATTAAGAAGAACAAGCGAGAGCGGGATGAAGATAGCTTGCACCACACTGACCTGTTTGATAGCCACATGCTATGGTTCCTTATGCATCACCTGAGACAGAGACGCCATCACCGGGTAAGCTGGGATTGGAAGTGAGCTCCCAAAGGCATGACCATCATAAGAAAACTAAAAAAAGTTCCAGTGCACACATCCTCACTACTTTAAGGAGGAATCATATGGTCTTGGTTGGGTTTCATATCTATTGTCCCCTATCTTTTAGAGTCACCAGCAGAAAGGGATGGTATTTGCTTTTATCCTCTGTTGCCATATACAGAGAGCTGTCTTCATAAAGGCAATGGCAGGTGGTGGGGAGGGAGTGGAGAATAGGAAGTCTCAGGGTCCCTTCTGTGTTTACTGTCATGCTAGAAGAAGCCTAGGGCAGGGGTCAGCAAACTGGTAGTTTGGCCTGCTGCCAATTTTCATAAATAAAATTTTATTGGAAATGTGGCCACACCCATTCTTTGTATTGTTTATACCTGCTTCCATGGTACAATGGCAGAGTTGAGCAGTTGTGACAGATAACACTGGACCCACAAATCTGAAATATTTACTAACTGGCCCTTTAAGAAAAACTATGACTGGATGAGGGGCAAGCACCTCCAATTATAGCTACTTGGGAGACTGAGGTAGGAGGATCCCAAGTTTGAAGCCACACATAAGAAGACCCCCCATCTCAAAAATAAATTAGTTAAAAATTTTGCTGATCCCTGGCCTAGCTAAAACCAAGTAGCCTTGTCCTTGTTTCAGTTACTAATAAGGCTTTCCCATCCTACAGCGTTGGCGAGAACCTGGGGTTGGGGCCACGGATGCAGACTCTGATGAGTCTCCCAGCTCCTCAGACACATCCGACGAGGAGGAGGGTCCTGACCGGGTGCAGTGCATGCCATCCTGAGGCCCCATACCTAGGAGGGGCAGGCTGGGGCTGATAACCCGATCCTGCCTGGGCAACCCTTTGCTGCCCCCAGGCCCTTACATTCAGCAGAAACGCACTTTGGACTTTTTGTTTAGATGAAATTATCCCAGGAAAAGGACAGACCAGAGGGGAACAAATCATCAGAGCCCACCCTGGGAGTGGGAGTTGAGCCCTGGAATGGGGTTCCATGGAGAGGTGCAGAGGACTCAGCACAAGTGGCCTCTCTCTGAAGCCTTTTTTTTCAGGGGAGGAGGAACCTGTTTTGTTAACTGGTTTAGGATAAGGAATGGGGCTTTTCTTTAATTTCCCTTGTTTCTTTTGTGGGGGGTGGGTGGGGAGAACAACTGGCTGTTCAGAATGGAGGGGCCAGAGTGGAGAGAGGAATGCCACTCTCTTTGGTTTAGGTTTTTGACCTTTTTTCCTTTTTTTTTTTTTTTTAAAAGTCTATGGCAGTTTCACTGTTTTTACTCTCTGAGCAACTCCATCCCAGGATCCTGTTTTTCTGGGAAGTCCTTAGAGCCCCTAACCATCCCACACTCTTCACTTTCCTTTCCACCTCACTCATTCTCTGTACTTATCACAGTGTTTTGCACTTGATTATGTACCCTTCACTCTCCTTTCTTCATCCTATCACCCCTTAAACGGGTCTGGTGAAGGAGGTTGGGGAGAGTTGGGAGGAGGGGCAGAGGTGGAGAATAGGAAGGATGTTACCTCTTATTTTTTTCTTAATTGTTTGGTGGCAGCAATCTCCCTGTCCCTATTACTGTTAGAAGCCTAATTTTATATCTATAAATATATTAAAAAGCGAGTCAAACTTGGATGTATCAAGTTAAAATTATTGTCAAAGTTTAAATACTTATATATTCTCTATGAATGCAATAAAGGGACTTAAAGGAAGAGTGAGCAAGAGTGATGATATAGAGGTGACACCTGTGGTCAGTTTGCCCTTTATTTATGGCCATTAGAGCATGGGGCTTACCCTTAGGTTTTAGGGAGCTCGAGAATGGAAAGATCCCTAGTTCTGCCCTTCCCTGCCTTGGTGTAGGGGTTTAGGAAAGCAAGAAATTCCTCTCAACTCTTTGCCTCAGATCCCCTCTCTCTCTTAAGTCTTGTGGGAGCTCCTAGGATCATTCTTGTAACCCACATGACTGAACTATGACTTCTGGAAGGGCACTGCTACTGTAGACTTTTCTGGTTCTGGGTATGACAGAAGGCACATACTCCCTCCCTTTCTTACCTTTAGTTGCTTGATTCTTTAAAGCCATTCAACTCTACACTAGCTCCCTTCCTAATGAAAGAGTGAAGGGACAAACTTCCTGGGTTTGATTTTATACCTTGTCTTATTATTTTAGGTGAAGGGACAAGTCAGCAATCTTATGGATTGATTCTGGTGGCTAGGGCTTGGACACCTGTGTTAACCCAGTCACTACATATGAAAGTCCCAGTTGAATTTTCTTCTTTAAATGCTTTTGCTGCTATTTCTTTGCTCCCAGTTTCCACAAAATCTAGTCAGGAATCCTGCATCCCAGAGCACCTGGATTCTATTACACCAGGCCAGGAAGGACGGGAGAAAGAGTGAGATGATGATATTTAAGCCAGGCACCAGCAGCTCACACCTGTAATCCTAGCTACTCAGGAGGCAGAGATAGGAGGATTGTGGTTTGAAGCTAGGCAGGGCAAATAGTTCTGAGAGACCCTATCAAAAAACCCTCCACAAAAATAGGGCTGGTGGAATGGCTGATGGTGAAGGCCCTGAGTTCAAGCCCCAGTACCGCAAAAAAAAAAAGATGAAATTCCCAGACACTCCTTCCTGCCTCTTTTTCCTACCACTCTCAGACCAGATGTTAGATATTGCACTTCCTAAGGTTGAGAATGTGTGGTGACTGAGTGGTCTTGTGTCCTTGTTGGTAGTATGGTGATGAGCTGAGCTGAAAACCATGCACTCTGGAATTTGTTGTATTTTTTTTTTCTCAGTAAAGCTTTTTCCCCACAACTGCTGCTCTGTGTGGTATATGATCCATTCATTCATGATAGACTATTTTTGTTCTTTCCAATACAGACACTTGGCCCTGCCCTCTCCTTTACCCATGTTAAAATTTTAGCAAGTCCAGACGGGGATGTTCCTCTTCCAGTGCTTGGGCTCCAGTTGGAGACTGTTATAAGTGGAGTAGGCTTCATTTACCTCAGTGGTATTTAGGGGTTAGCAATCCTATTTGGGGTGTTTCCAGATCCCTGATCCATGTTGCAATGAACATACAGGAATAAATATTGCTTCCCTCCTTTCCCAGTCATTCAAAGGCTTCAAAAATCCTGGTCACTCACAGAAATTCTATAATCAGTCAGATGCAGTACAATCGGACACCTTTATTCCAGGGTTAGAATGAGGCCGTGCACGCTGCAGACAGAGGAGCACAGGATAGGGGCAACCTCACAGCAGTACAAAGGGTGGGAGGGCATGTTAGTCTTTTTAGATTCTTTTTTTTTTTTTGCTTTACAGAGAAACTACTAGATGGCTGCAAATAACCCTGTCTCTCTTCTCTCATGTCTTCATATAGAAGTCTTACCTTGCTCTCTCTCATGCTCTCACACACATAACATCCCAATGGAAGGGGAGTTTATGCTCATTTTCTTCTTCCCAATTCTACCAGTATCTCTAACAGGGCTAGGGAGACTTGGGAAGGTCCTTTAAGGCAAAACCGTGGAATCCTCGAGTTTTTTGTGTTAAGGCAGTTGTCCACAGCAGTGGCCAGGGGAACAGGCAGACTGCACTGGGCTAGGAGTTGAGGGTGCTTTCTACAGTCTGGCTTCTTCCAACAGCTAGTCCTCCCCTCCCACTAAAGTTTTGCTCCCACATCCTAAAATCTCCTAACTTCAACTTTATCTAGATAGTCTCAAGTTTGCATATGAATTTAATGTTTATTGTTGTTTAAGATTTTTGTTTTCAGGAAAAAGCTTTCCTTTCTGTTTGAACTATGTAGCAATTTGATTCTGCCACTCCCTTCGCTGTGGCATTTCTCTCCCACCCCTGCTCTGGTCTAGACAATAAGTTAATGCTATACACCACAAAAAAGGGCAGACATGGCAGTGCGGGTTTAATATACATATATGTAGAATATATATGTACACACAGTTAGCACGGTCAGGGTGAGGAAGGGCATCTTGGGACAGGCAGGAGGCTAGGACCACTCACTGTACTCTTAGTGATTTGGCTAGGAGGCATCCACAAGCCCAAGGCGTGAGGGTATCAAGTGAGGAAGGTTACCAAGTTCCCCTCCTGAGTTGAATTGGGGATGGGGACCAGTGCAAAGGGAAACACTGTATTTAACTTTTCTTTCTGGCTTGGAGTGTTCTAGACCTAAGTAGAGAGAAGGGAACGTTGCCTGCAATATCCACATTGGGAATTGTTGCAGATAGGTCAACAGGTTGAGGTTAAAAACCTAAGGATCTCATTCCCCAGCCTCCCTAGTTTCAGGATCAGTGTGTGCAACAGTCTGAGTAGGAATAAAGGAATGGAAAAGGGATCCATCTCTGCCTGCATCTCCATTTCAGGCTCAGTGGTACATGTTCCCAGTACAGGTTCTCCAGAACAGAAGTGGGTAGGGCATTAAAGTTGGCTATTCCATGGGGTTTGATCTTTGGGACCAAGAACTGATCCAGTGGTCTTCTCATTGACTCCTGGCTCATAGCATACATCTTAGGCTCATGAGAGGGCATAAAAAGGAGCCTGCTGGCACCCAGGCCCTCCAGCCTGGGGAACAGCAGGAAACTAGACTCTAGCCAGTCCAACATAGTGTTTCAAACACTGAACTCTGGCTTTTCTTTACCCATTCCAGGTAGAGGTTGAGTGGCCTCTTCACTTTCCTTACACACTGCTTTTCCTCAGACCTACCCACCTCTCCCATACTTCACTGCCACCGTAGTTCCTCAGTGTAGGAAAATGCCAGATCCTTTCTGCTTCCACACTTTAAAGATGGCGGGGGGGGGAGTGGAGGAAAGGGAAGGAGGAATGTGCCAATTTCTATTTGCATAGAAATAGCCCCCACCTCCCACCTAGAGTGGGAAAACTAAGCCCCCCACACCCCAACTCCCATCCCCTCACGAGGAGGAACTAGATGAGCTAGACATATAGACAGACAGCCAGAGCGTGCGCACACGCACACAACACGCGCACAGTAAGGGGGTTAGGACCAGGTTAGTAAGTAGATACAGGACGGGGGTTGTCCTTGCCCCCTCCCATGGAAGGTGGGGAAGGGAGTGATCTGATGAAGGTCCAACCTTCCTTCTCTTCCTCCCCCTTGCTCAGGCCTTCTTCGGTGGGGGAGCCAATTTGATGATCTCTTCCTCAGAGGGCTGCCGGATAATGTCTGGGGGCAAAAAGGGATGTGTCCAGGGATGAAAGTTGTGGTAGGTGTGAGGCAGGCCCATTAAGCATCAACCTCCATTCTCCCAAAATACATGTACAAGGGAAGGGGCCAGATGTGGTGGTTCATGCCTGTAATCCCAGCATTCGAGAAGTGAAGGCAGGAGGACTGTACATTTGAGGCCAGCCTGGGCTACATAGGTGGTCTCAGGCCAGCCTGGGCTATGAGATCTTGTCTCAAAAACATAAAGAAGGGGCAGAGGTTGTAGCTATGCTAAGGCATGGCCTCTTACCTTTGTACTTCTTGGCACTGGGAATACGGGTTAGCTTGGTGTCCAGCTCATCCTCCTCAGAGATCTTTAGCACACGGGTTCTGTAGTCAACCACCATAGTGAGTAGGTCAGGACGGCGGGAGATCTCAAAGATGTGCTCAATGTAGGAAAGGTTGTCTGGAGGAAGGCGGGAGACCAGATCAGAAGTAGGCTGAGGAGGTCAGATTCCCTAACCTGCCAGGCCAGTGTTCTGGAACCAAGGCTGAAATGCTCACATTGGTTTTTGGAGGGGCAACTCTGAAAGAAGAGGGGCTGCTAACCCAGGAAGGAAAGCTGAGGCACCCATACAATAGAACACTGATCCCAGGAAGGGCAGGTGCTTGGTCAGTGAATATCTAGGTTATCAGTTGGAAATAAAGGTTTTGAATTAGACAACGAGTTCTATACTGAAGGGTGATGGCAATAGAAAAACTGCCTTCTAAAACCCTGTCCCTTTTCCTCTTTTCTCTCCAAGTGAGCACCACGAAGAATTTCCCAGCAGCATTATGAGACAGGAAGGGTGGAATTTTTATAGACAACCCAGGAGAGATGCTGGGGCCAGTGAGAAAGGTTACTTTAAATGAGAGGAGACACGGATACATCTAGGATATCTCCACAGCTTGCCCAGTTCCAAGAGATTACAAATACATTCAGACTTCCTGGCTCCTGCTCAGATTACTGAAGTAATCTAACTGTAATATGTCCTCCTTCAGCCTCCCTCCCTGCTGTCCACACTACTGTCAAGATAATATACCTGCAAAGCTCTAAGGTCACTCATCTCAGATACCTGGTACTCAAGGTCCTCTACTACACAGTTCTTGAGTTTCCTTCCCAGGTACATACCTAATTAGTATTCCCAGTCAAACTGAGCAGGACCCTGCTTTTCCAAACACACCAGAAACTATGATTGTACCTCTGCCTAACAGACCCTCCTTTGGATTCTAACTTAGAAATCCCACTTGCCTTTCTGGGCTATCTTAAATACTAGTTCTACCATAAAGTGCCCTGCTGCATGGAATTGCTCTAATCTGCCCCCTACTCCCTCCAAAAAATGAGCAGTCTCTAAAAATGGATAAGAAAGTATTAGAATTTGTGGTTTTATTTTAAAGTTTACCACTTTTAAGTTCTATTTTTATGTTGTATTATATATGTAATAGATTTGAGAAACATTTTTTACTGACAATGAAAGGCATCTGAAGACTACTGCCTCAGAGCCCCTTATACTCTCTTGTCAGAGAGAGGTGCACTTTGTGTGTGTAAGAGCTTTGTGCTCATCTCTATTTGGTGTATGAACAGAGCGCCCTCCCCCACCTTTGTCCAATTTGTTGTGGCTCTCCAGGAAGCTAAACCAGGCGCTGCCTGTAGTGATCTCCTCACTCTTCTCACTGGGGATGTCCTCCTTGCAGGCAGACTTGAGCTGTTCCAGATCCTCAAGAGTGATGTTGTTGGTCAGGTCCCGAAGGAGAGTCCCGTACTCAGCCATGACTGGGGTTGAGAGGCAACAGAGACAGGAGGCTGAGTTTAGTGTACAGGGTCTGGTTCACTTACTGGCACTACTCAACCTCTGCTGTGCTCTGCCCTGACAGGCATGCTCCTAGAACATGGAGGTTTGGGGAAGTGGGCAGGGCTGGAGGAAGAAAAGGGAGACAGGGGAGGCAGTGAGAATAGCTAGGATACAGTCTAGAGCCTAGAGTGAGGAGTCATGTCTTCCCGCCCCACACTATCTTTTTCTTCTTTATCCCCCCCTCACAGTAACCCTGGCAACAGCTCCCCTGACTGAGGAGGCGGTTACCATGGAAACCTCCCGACTTTCCTCACCCTCTGTCTCTAAGCCCCCCCCAGTTGCCCCACCCACCTGCAACCCCTCCCCCTGTCAGGAAAAAAACAAAACACTCAAAAACAACACCAGGGGGAGGCTTGCTGTGGCAGTGAGAAGCTGAAAAGGAGCTGCAGACGTTGGTTGAAGCTTATGTGTTCTAGCTTCCATTCTTCCCGAGAAGCAAAGGGGTCCCTCGCTTCATCTTCCCACCACCCCAGTAATGACTCATTTTGAATGGATGCCTAGTTGCTTGGCCTGATGGATCCCTGGCCCCTCTGTTTAGCCTTGCATTAGGTCATTAGGGCTTAGGGTGGAGAGAAGCAGTGGGCCACCCCCACCTTTGTGGAGCCCATCTTCCCCCATGATGGGCCCCCTCTTAGCCTTCTCTCCTAGCCTTTATGCTGTGCCCGCAGCCCCCGCGCCCAAGAATACCAAGCGGCTGGCTCTGGCCCCTTGCCCAGTTCCCAGGCTGGCTGGGTGGGGGTGGGGGTGGGGAGTTTAGCTGAAGCTTTAGGAGAGTCTAGCAGGAAGGGGGCTGCTACCCCTTCTTGCACCAACATCCTAGTAGTACTTTCAGCATAGCCTCCCACAATGGGTTGGGCAAGGCCAGATCTCGCAAAGGTCTTCACTCCACAGGTGAGAACACTCAAGGTTTCCTTCCACTAAAAGAGGAGCTGTGGCTAAGACAGGAAGAAAGAAGACCAGACCTTATAATCAACTTTCTGGATTTGATAAAATGAAACTCTAGTGGTGAGCTCAAAACAGGGACTTATTTTCCACAGTGAGTATATATTTCTTTTATAATCAGAAAAGTAAAGCATTAAAAAAAATGTAAATCACAGGTGGAGGGGCTCAAGTGATAGGGCACCTGCCTGCCTAGCAAGCACAAAGCCCTGCGTTCAATCCCTAGTACCGACAAAAAAAAAAGGAAAAAACAAACAAAAAAACCCAACTGTGCATAGCACAGGGCCTAGCACAGTGTTAGTTATTAAAAAGTAAATCAAATCACATCATAAACACTCCTAGACCAAAGTGTGGACAATGAGCTAGATGAATCACCCCAACATCAGGCTGGCAAATCAAAGGGGACAGAGTGACACCCTTATTTTGTTCAGTTCTGGGCATTATTGTATGTAATGAGGCAAAGAGGAATGGCCATTACACAATAAAAAGTCCCCATTTCGAGTCCACTACTTAAACCAGAATAAACAAGTCTCCCCAGGTGACAGGCACTGTGACACAAACAATGAGCCAGACAGTAGGGCTAACATGACCCCCACGAGAAACAGTCACTGACAGGCACACTCACTTGCACACCCAGGTGCAACCAGACAGAAGGGCCCAGTGGTGGTCCTGCCAGGCTGGGCCAGGAACAATGCTTTCTGACTGTCAGCACCAGGAACCATCTCTGCCTTGAAATCTAGGTCACAGCAGCAGGCTCTAGAGCCCAACCCTGCCTCCACTGATAATCCGAGGGCAGAAAAGGGGGCATATGGGAGGGGAGACAAGCAAGCGTTCTAGCAAGGAAGATAAGAGAGGTGGGGCTAGAAGGGAAAGAGGGTAGCACAGGAATGAGACAAGAAGCCACTAACCCATTTGAGACCCTGGTGCCAAGGCCTTGACAAGGGGGAAGGATTTAGGGTCATAGTGTCTTGCTTTCTTAGGAAAGAAGAGTTTATAAATATGAGTGATCCTGTAGGAAGAAAGTGTATACGCAGGTGTCTGTGAATCTCTTGGGAGGAGTTAAGATTTGGGGCTCTGAATCTAAAACACAGACCTACAGGAGAGGTGGGTGGGAATGGATTAATGTGTGTAACACACCACCCACAAAAGCTGGGGGCAGTGGGTAGGAGCTTTCTAAGAGTGAAACAGATACAAGGAGGCCACAAAGATAAATGGGAATGGGAATTTAAAGTGGTTGAGAGGAGATGTGTGTGATAGGATCCTACGTGTGGATGCTGATCCCTGGGTGGGTATTGGTGTGTGGAGGAGGCAGTGGGTGTATTTGGATTCTCTGGTAATGGAGGCATGTGCCAGTACTGGGTGTGTAGCTGTGGGTGCCCAGGCTGTGAACATATGTGGGATGTGTGTTTATATATGTCTTAACCAACTGAGAGTGTGGGTAAGAAAGTACATAACCACAGGCTCAAGTCCAGAGGGGAGCCCACAAAATGGAGGAAGAGAGCTGGGGTTGGGAAAGGCTGCCTATGAGGAGCTGGGGGGCAGGGAGGAGTCCACAAGGCTGCAGCAGGCTTAGCTCAGCCTGTTACCATAACAACCCCAGTTCTGGGTGCTCCCCACCACCAACGCCAGTAATCAGGACAGTGACACCACTGGTGAATAGGAGTAGTGTGGGGAGTGGTAAGAAGGGACTCTTTGAGGGAGCAAGGAAAGGCACTGGTTACCCCTCAGAGAGATCCCATTTGCCCATGTCGAAGTGTGGCAGCAGAAGCAAGGCAGAGTAGTTTGGGTAAGATTTTCAAGGTGTGGGGAGGTGGGATGGGATGAGCATTACCCGGCTCTCAAAGTCTTGCTGATCAACTATTGTCCCTAGCTGGTCTGACTTGGCAGAACTTGGCTCCTTCATTCTCTGAGTCACTTTCCTCACTAGAGATTTAGAATGCCCTAAGACCTACGGAGAAGTCTTTTGCCCTCCTAAACTCTGAAAAGTTCTCATGATTATCTCTGAGCAGTGCAGAGGGCTACCCTGGGAACAGCAGGCAGCCTGGGCGGAGGCCATTCTTGCGACAGGATACCAAGGGCAGGAACTGGGAACCGGAGCTGAGGCTGCCAGGAAGTCAGTCCCTTTCCCTCCCAGCTCATTCTGCACTCTGCTCACTGCTTCCTCACACCTTCCTTCCTTCCTCCCTCCCTCTCCTAAGCTGTCCTCAGGTGGAGCCCTGACAAAGGTTGAACTGACTAAAGATGCTGGGGAAGAGGGGCAGGAGGTAAGGATCATTAGTTACTGACCTTTTAGGATAGGCGCTGGGAAGATGGCAGTTAGGTGCTCCGTGGGCACTAGGGGAGGAAGAAGCAGGCCCTGGGGGTGCTTAGAGAAGTTTGTCAAATAGGATGAACACCTGTAGAGGAAGTGGCAGCACCAAAAGAATATCTGTCATTCTGACAGATATGCAAGGCATGTTAATCCTTTCTCTCTAACATTCAGTTCTAGAGCTTCAGTAAACTTAAGAAGGAAGCCTGAGGATTAGGAGCTGTTGCCCCTCCCTCCTTCACATCTGCTGCAGCTGCCTAAGAGTGAGGGGAGGGGCCATCCCACACAGCTGCAAGGACCTGGAGGTCCCTATAATAGACAGGAAGAAACTCTTAGGCTTATCTGAAGTTGGAAGTAATGAAGGAGAGGCAGAGTAGTGGAAAGGGAAAGAGTGGGGTCCTAGCTGTCCTATTTTAAATTATATCTGGGCCTCAAATTCAAACAGTCCTGTAGTTTACTCTCCATGCATTTATTCAGCTTTGGGTGCCCCCCCCCACATCATTTTTATTTCCGTAACAAAGAAAAACGAGGGTCTGAGGCTACAGGATCAGTATGGGGGCAGCATGGGAATAAGGAGATAATATACTTGGATCCCCAAATGTTCAGTACCATTCAAGAAGCAATCCAGGTTGCCCTGGACCTGGGGACACAGGCTACGCCCTCAGCCCTTAATCTACAAGAAGGGCCAGACCCAAGAAGGGGGCAGCCAAAGATAGCTGGCATTGGATCTGTCAGGGCAGCGAGGGCTGCATGACGGTGAGGGGGACAGGACCTGGGACTCTTCCTAGCCCATCTGTTTCTACTCATCTGATGATGATGCTGCCCACTATTTCTTGCTCTCCCATTTCTGTCTATTCCCATCCATTTCCTCTCTCTTTAGTCTTTCCATTTCTCTTTTTCTCCTTTCAATGGGCATTCATCCCTTCCAGCCATTCCTATTCACCCTTCCTGTTCAGTGGTAGCCATGAATACGTTAGGACTCAGTGTACCCATCTGAATACTCAGCTACTATTAAGATACAGTAGGTATCTTAATAGTACTGCTGTAAAAGACAGAGTAAGTGTGGTGGGAGGAGCCTGAAGATGCAGGAGTTGGCTGTCTATTGGCTGATGGAGACTCCTTCTTGACATTGTATGTGAGGATCTATGTGATAGCAAGGCACAGTGTGATTGTGACCCTCTTCATGAATGACAGTGTATGCACATATGATAGGCACAGGTGTTATGGAAGTGAGCAAGTAGGAAAGCTGGCAGCCTAAGGCCTGCTGGCAATTTCCCCAGTGGAGTGTTTAACCACAAAGGGAAGAGCAATTAACACTAATCGCTCTGACAGCCTGGGGGCCACACAACCTAAAGAAACAAGACATACATATTCAGCATGTTCCTTCCAACTCCCTGCTTTTGTCCTCATCTACTCTCCAGCACCCTTCAGACTGACCATTTCTGTCTCTCTTTTCTCCCTCTCTGTGGTTCCCTGACTGTACTTCTGTCCCTCTCTGGCTGTCTGTCCCTTCTTCCATGTCTGTCTCCTAATACACATTCCTCTCATTCTCTCTCTCCATCTGACTTGGGCTCCATCCTTGGCTGACTCATACTCATTCTTTTTCTCCCTCTCCCTTTCTTCCTCTCCCTCCTCCATCCCTTGGCCACTCTGATGCCCAGAAACTAGCCACTCCCAGTACCTTACGTTCTAACTGGAGCCACCAAGAGAGGTCACAAGAAGTCCCTTCACTCACCTAAGAGCACAGACTCATTAGTCCTCAAAGTCCTGTCTCCTAACGAAAATCATAGTGGGTTTGGGGATAATGTCCCCTTCTGTCCACTACTCCTGTTAAGACCTGTGTCTTGGAGCCCATAGTCCAGGAAACTTCACATGGGGGGCAGTGGATTATGGTGGGCGGCTGGATGTGGATGGTAGTGCAGGGATGTTTGTGATTAGGTGTGTGCGCTGAGGCAATGTGTGTAAGTCACATGGGCGTGTGTCACTGAGTGTTCTGGCTGTCTCATAGATGTGCTTGTGTTCCTGTCAGTTTTGACACAGATTTTATGGAATTAATTAGGGGTTTTACGTTAACGACATCATTCCTCTGCAACCTTAAGGCAAGCTTTAACCAATCCCACCTCTTCCCAGGTACAGTGGGCTGGGGGTGAGGGCACGGGGTGCCAGTCGCCGGCTGGAGCGGAACTGAAGCTAGGCTGAGCCGGGATGGAAGGCGGAGGGAGTCCGAAGCCAGAGCGGGGAGGGAGGGGCAGGAGCTGGCCCGGCCGGGCCGGCTGGGCGGGAAGCAGGCTGCATCCTAATCCCCAGGCCCGGGTAGGACTGCCAAACTGAGGTTCCGCGCGGAAAGGGCGGCCGAAGCCACGCTGCCTCCAGCACACTCGGGACGCACCGACAGAGATGGACCCCGTGGGGCCTGACACAGCGGCCTGTCTGGGTCCTCACGCTCCCCCCATCTGCCTCCCTGCGTCCCGGGTCTGTCACCCCTCCAAACCCAGACCCCAAATTTGCCCCCTCCCCACAACACGTCTCTCCTCCGCCCCTCTCACCGCCTCCGGAGCTGAGAGCTCAGGGCTCGGGCACTCCCGGGTCCCCGGTTCCTAAGCAGCGTCCGGAGCCTCCTCCTTGGCTCCCGCCGCCGCTGCTTCTGCCGCCGCCGCCGCCGCCGCCGCCTCTTCCGCCCGCGGAGCCAGAGCCGGAGCCCAGCGCCGCCTCACCCCACCCGGCTGGCCGGTGATGTCAGAGCCGGGGAGGGGCGGGGGGCGGGGAGCCGCGAGAGGAGGGGGAGGGGAGGCGAGGGTCTGGACCACAGGACAGGGGCTCTGGAAGACTCCTAGGATGGGGACGCGATTGGGCAGATAACCGGGGTAGGGACGTTGCTTCTTCCCTCTAAACTGCGAAACAGTTCTCAGATTTAATTCTTTCCCAGTGGGACACTTCCCTTGTGACCTTTGGATGACCGTCTTGGACGAGACCCCTGAGCAGCACAGTAAATTGGAGGTTAGGGATTTGGATGGCCTTGGCCCTTGGGTTCTCTTAAGCTTCTTACTTTGGAGTTTGCAGAAACTGCTTTCCTAGCCTTTGTGGGTCAGGACAGTGGTAGCAAATGATCTGCTCATCCACACTGGGAGTACAGTGAGTGTTAGGGGGTGGGAAGGGTTAAGTAGCAACTTGGGGAGGTCCCTTACTTGACCTGGAGCCTTGGCTCTTCTCTCCTAGTGTGATGCCAGTGGCCCCGGTGTATTTCACCTTTTCTAAATATCTCCCTCCCTCTCTTCCCCCCACCATGATGTAATTTTATTTTGGGGGAGAAAAAGCAGCTCAGTATGCAAATATAGACAGCTAACAAAGCCACACTTAGTTGTCTTCTAGCTCTGCCCCTCTGCCCAGACCCAGTGTGGTAGTTCTCACTTCCCGTCCACTTCAGGGACTTTCCTCCCCCAAATTCTCAGCCAGACTGAAAGAGGGAAGGAAGAATTTGGGGGAGCATCCCTTTCACCCCATCTCCAGCATACAGTCTTGCCTCAACTCTGGCAGGGTTTAGCCCTGGGAAAAGGCGTGAGCACCCTCAGTGTTTGTACACTTCCAGAAACACCCCCAGTTGCCTCAGTTCCAGTCTGGCAGAGTCCCTCCAGAAGCCTGATGAGCTCTTTTCTTGGGGTCTACACTGCCCCTAGAAGCAACTCAAGATGAGCTGCTTTGAGTTTCACAGCCCTTCTCTTTGCTCCTTTTCCTTTACTATGAGCCACCACTGCCCCTTTAAGAATCATACACCCTTATAACTTACCTTAGTTTGTGTATTGCATTTTTTCATGTCATAGGGCCCAAACCTATTTTGTTGAGCCATATTTGAGACTCAGAGCATCTGCATGACATCCACAGATATGTAGTGTCTAAGTGAAATGAGACAGGCAGCATGGCACCGGGGACTTGGGCTTTATGCTTTATGTGTGGGTTTTTTTTTTTGGCAGTACTGGGATTTGAATTGAGGACTTAATGCTTGCTAGACATGGGCTCTACCACTTGAGCCACGCTCCCAGCTCTCTACTATTTCCTTAGACAAATTATGCTCCTAAACTCCAATGCCTATTTTATAGGATTCTTCTGAGAAGAAGAAAGTCTATAGGGACTAGTGCAGGTGTGTGCTTAAAAAATAGGAACTTTTAGTCCAGGATCTTCCTCTGACCTGTTCTAGACAATAAGCTCCATAACATTTTTATAATATTCACCCAATACCCATACTATTTACTAGCCATTTATTAAATGGGAACATATTTTTTGAATACCTGGATTATATTCTATTCTGCAGTCTTCTCTAGGAATACTTCCTGGATTTGTCTGTGGAGAATGAAAACTCTAACTTCAGGCCTCATTTTTCCATACTTACAAGTCTTCTAAGTCTACCAGCAATACATTTATACCAGCTTCATGAAAACTATGGTCTTGGCTAGGTGTGATAGTACATCTATAATCCTAGTACTCAAGAGAATCAGTAGTTTGAGGCCAGCCTAGGCTACATAGTGAAACCCTGTCTCCAAACAAACTATAATGTCTGTTTTTTGGGGACTTGTCCAACAGTTTGGTTCTCCCTGTCTCCAACTCCTTTATGCTTACCCCCACTTAGGCCTATCCTGAAGTGTGTGGCAGTCCTTCCCATAAAGAACTCCAGTGGGCCCAATTTGGGGGAATCCCTACTGTACAAAAGTCAACACATCCTCTTCGTTCCCATGGCTACCAGATGAGTCCAGGTTCTCCCGACTTCAATCTATTATAACAATTTCTGATTATGAGTTGGGCTCCTTGCTTCTGGCATCTCCATCATCTCCCCTCCCCATGTCCAGTCCTGTTCTTCACAACCAGATGAAATTTTTCCTTTCTTCACCAGCTCATAGGATTAAGTTCAAACACCTCTATAATCCAGCCCCAGTAAATTTACCCATAATCTCATGATCACAACTTGAGTTTCTCCTTTTGTCTCTCTGGTCTCTGTGTTCCAGTATGATACACATTTTACCAGTGCTTTCAATGTTGCCACTGACAGAAATCTCCCCTTCCCAACTCCTTTGCCTCTAGTCCAATTCTATTATTCAATTGAAGGCCTAGAAAAACTCACTTCCTTTATGAAATCACCAAGCTCTGATCTCTCTTCTGAGTCCATTCTATTTTTTTCATTTGTTCCTTCTTTTTAACAACTATTAAGGGCAACTTTTTATGTTCTGGGCCCTGTGGAAATAAAGAGGAAGTCTAGGTTTCTGCCCTCAAGAAGCTCACTGCTTAGTGGGGAATGCAGACATGAAAATGAACATATGTAACAAAATTTGTTGAGTACTAAAATGGAGGTGTACTTAGAGAATGCAATGGGAACCCAGAAGAAGGGACTGCAGGAGGGGCAAAGTCTGGAAAGGCCTCATTGAGGAAGAATAATTGGGACTCCTTCTTGATGTTCAAATAAGAGCTGCATAGAGGGTGCTATCAAGCAGCATATAATTACTTAATTACATATTGCTTTGTATTTTTCTTCAATTGTTTACTGTGCTTATCTTAACTTCTCAGTGAGGCTAATCAGCTCAAGAGTAGGAACAGGCCTTGCACTCTCTGTTCTCCCAGAGCCCAACAGCAGCACTGGACAAATACCATGTATTCAGAAAAGGCTTGTTGACTTAAAGCCGATAAATAATCCAGAGGGAGCCTGAAGATCTTCTATCACAATCTCCTAACTCATTCCTAACAAAGCACCCACACTTAAATCTGTGGCTACCTCCCCTGCCATAGGGGTGAGACTTCATCAACAAACACTTGCTCATTCTGCCCTAGATCTCTTTATTAATGCATTTGACCCAAATACATTAACGAGATGGCTGAGATACAGCCCCACAGTTGCCTCCATTCCTCCTGTCCAGACGGACAGTCAGAGGATACAGGCTTTGAGAGTCGGGGAAGAGTGCATAGGTGGAAAGAACAGAAGAGAGATGGGGGCCCACATATATGGCAAGAGGAAAAGCCACAAGAAAGAGTATGAGGACTGATGAGAGAAACAAATAATAGATACAGGTAAGTTATGGGATAAGAAACAGGAGTCAGATGAGAAAGCTGGGCTCTGTTAGGGGAAAATAGCTCTCCTCTTCATCAGTTGAGGGGAAATCAGGGTCTCAGTACCCAATATATAGACCCCAATGACCCTATGGTAAAGAATAACCTTGTATCCCTGGAGGAGCTCAGGGAAGGACAGGGAAGATAGGAGGATATAAGAAGAGAGCAGGTGGGGCTGGGAGGTGGTTGTCATAGCAACTAGTCATCATCATCATCGTCATCATCATCGTCATCATCTTCTGTGTTGATCTCACCCTCCAGCACATCCTCCAGCCAGTCCTCTAGCTCCTCAGCAGACGGCAGGTCCTCCTCATTGTCCATCTCCATCCATACGCTATCCGCCTAGGAGATGGCACAGGTAGGAGATGGAAGCTAAGCTCTATCCAGGTCTTTGGACCTATCCTTCCACTCACTGGACTCTGTACATCCTTCCTTACGTATTTTTTTTTTTTTGGGTGGGGGAGACTGGGATTTGAACTCAGGGCTTTATGCTTGCCACCTTGAGCCACACCTCCAGTGCATTTTGCTATGGTTATTTTGGAGATGGGGTCTCTCAAACTATTTGCCTGGACTGGCCTCGAACCATGACCCTCCCTATCTCAGCCTCTCAAGTAGCTTGGATTACAGACGTGAGTCACAGGTGCCTAGCTCATCCTTTCCTCTTTCCAGGGAAATTATCTTGGGAAGGTCAGATTAGAATAGTGATATAAAGGAGTGGAAAGAAAAGTTGGATTGGCAAAAGACCTCCCCTTCAACCTGTCTCCCATACTCTTGCTATACCGAGCTTCTGAAAGCAGACCTATCATGTTCTTGGTGCAAAACCACTCATAGCTCTTCATGGCTAATAGAATAAAGTCAGCAACTCCCCATAACCTACTTTTCCAGTACCAGTTTTAGTGGTCTCTAGATTCTGAAATCATAAAAAAAAATTATGCCTATTCCCAAACATGATATTCATTTTTCTGCTTTTGACCATTGAAAATATATATATAAAATGAGATTTTATTGAAATAGAAAAGTATAAAGTGAAACTAGAAGCCCCCAAACCTGGGGGTTCCTAAGAGAGGGTGCCCTGCTTTTGACTTTTGATCTTGCTTTTTCCTCATTTTGGAAATTATTCCCCTTCAGCACCACTTATTGAAATCCTATACATTATATAACCTCCATTTTATGCCACTTTCTCTTAAACTCTCCTCTAATTTTCTCAAGCAGAAATCATTGGTTTCTGTGCCTTCCTTGCATATTATTGGTACCTTTATTAGAAAGTTGATCAAATCCAGCCTTATAGTGAAATACTTGCCTGCCCCATTAGACAGAGAATTCTATGAAAAGTAAAGACTGTGGATTTCTCAATTCAACCCCACAGTTTTAGAGCAACTAGTATGTGTGCATGAAAAGACTTCTGACCTCAGTTTACTGGAAGAGATAGAATACATAAACAGCCCTGGAAGTCATGTTCTCAAAGCCAGGTAAGTTCCAAGAGTGCCAGGTAAGTTCCAAGAGAGGGAATGGTTCCAGTGAAAGACTTCATGGAGGAGAAAGGATTTGAAATGGGCTTTGAAGGATAAGCACCTGATTCCAATGGATGAGGATGGGGGCATGTTCAAACCATGCTTCCCCCACCCCCCATCAGCCATTAGATTGGAGATGCCTGCTTTTTCTGGGAAGCACTCACTTCCTAGTTAGCAGAATTTGGAAGGAGAGCTATGCTGAGAAGCAGAGTTGGTGCCCAATCAGGGATGAGGAGAGGAAACTCACATCAGTAACATTGACGACTCCTATTTGTGGGGCTGATAAGTCAATGTCAAATGTCTTTTCCCAGTATGGGACCAGCTGTAGAGAGATCCAAATATGGCAAGTTAATTGAGTCTAGGAGTACCCAAGTCCGCGAGGGTTAGCCCACAGTTAGAGGGGTAGCATGAACTGACAGTGGATGGGGGACAGGTCCAGCAGTAGGACCAAAAGGCAGTGGGAAGTGCTAATCTGTGAAAGAGTAGAAATCTCAAATACAAAGTATAGGGAGGGTCAGCTGGGCACAGCCACCCCTTCTTTCTGAGGGAAAAAAAACCCCTTTCTTGTCTTGGATCTGCTACTGATTGACCTTGTGACTTTGGGCAAATCACTTTTCTCTGCCCCTCATATCTCTAAAATAAGTAATAACCAGTGTTCCTCATATTTCTTTTTGCTTATTCAGTTATTCATGCAACAACAAGAGCTAGGTGTTGGGGATTCAGCAGAGAACAAAATCATCCCCTGAGACATGCAATCTGCTGATTCTATGATTGAGTGTGTACACTCAGGTACAGGATTATTGTGCCCAACTGCTCACCAGAGTGCTGCTTTTCTCTAGGCATCAGCCCTGGCCCATGAGTTACCTGGGAATCGTGTGTTAGATATGAAAGTCACTTCCCATCCTCTTTTCCCCTTGCTCAGGATGCCTTCTGTGCCTACAGTGCCCTTGAGCATGCAACAGGCATAACCTCCCAAGGTCCCCCACTTGGAAATGGAGAGAGGGATTCTGAAACAAAACCCTTGCTCAGAAGATGCCATGGTCCAAGGCCCCAAGTTAGGATAACAGCACCTGAGCGGGCTTCTTACCAGGGGAAAGTCATCAGGGTCAATCCAGATGATGCTAAGATCAGGGTTTTCAGTGTTATCTTGTGCCACAGCCTTGAGAGTCTCTAAGAATTCGTAGCCATCTTGGAGAGAACAGAAGCGAGAAGTGTGAGGTGGAGTAGAGAGGAAAGGGACAAAGGAAACAGGAGTTTAGATCTATTTCCTTGCTTCCCACAACTCCACAGGTCTAGCCCAAGGCTGGACCTCCGGGAATGTCTCTTGTATGAAGCCTATGTTGTATGCTCCAACAGTCACACCCGCTACCCCCTGCCTTCCTGCAGGCCAATCCAGAATTCCTCCCTCACCAGGATCAGCTTCCTCTGCAAAGGCCACAATGTGTATTCCATCCATATCGTCCTCCTGTTGGGGGTGAGACAGAGAGCAGGGTGGAGAGCTTACTGTACTCCCTGAGGCTGGAGAGCCCACATTGACCTTAGATGTTCCTTGACTGTGGATCATGTGGAAAGCCAGCTTCTGAACCAGGTATATTCTTATGGTGCAAGTGACACTGTCCCTTTTAGCTCCAGAACCCCCATGCCTCCTCTGGTAATCCCTTCACCCCAAAGCTTGGGGCTTCTGCCCTTATCACCTTCATCCACTTAATGTCTGTCTTCCTATTCCCCACATGTTCTTCAGAACGGAAGACTTCCCCCTTTGCTGGTGCACTGCTCTTTCTACAGGTGGACTCTCATGAGAAGCAGCTGGGAGGGCTGTTTCTAGTACTCAAGTCTTCAGTCACCCCTGGTCCCTGAAAGCCTAGCCCTGGCCAGGGGCACTCACCCAGGTCTCATACATACTCTCAGGCTTCAGTTTCCTCAGGGTTGACCTAAAAGAGACAGGGGTTATCTATTCAGTGAGTGAGAAGGACACCTCCCTCTAGAGGGTCCCCGTAGCAGAGGCGGACTCTGGGTCATACCCAGTGCATACACAGCTTGTAGCCCAGAACAAAGCCATCTGGCAAAGCCTTAAGCCCTGGGCACCAGGCCCAGATCATTGCATGGTTGCAAAACAAGGGGGAGGGGGAAGGCAAAGGGACAAGAGAACTTTGAGAGAAAGGTAAGAATTGGACACTGGGTATTCACTCATTCATATATTTATTAATTTACTTCTTCAATAAAATTGAAGGCCTGGGCTGGGAATGTAGTTCAGTGGTACAGTGCTTGCCTAACATACACAAGGTCCTGGGTTCAATCTCCAGCACTGCATAGGTAGGTAGGGAGGGAGATAGGCAGATGGATCGATAGATAGATAGATAGATAGATAGATAGAAGGCCTGCTGTATTCTAAGCAATGAGCTAGGTACTGAGTAGAGTTGAATCAGGCAAACACGTTTCTGCCTTGATGAAGGGGCCATAATCTAGTGGGAGACAGTAAACAGTATTTATACTGATGAGTGGGAATTTCCAGTTGTGCGTACGTGACGGAAGAGAATTATGTGTGAATATAGGGCAGGGTTTCTCAACTTCAGCATTACTGACATTTGGGGCTGGAAAGCTCTCTGGAGTGGGGGTGGCTGTCCTGTGCACTGTAGGGTGTTTAGCATTATCCCTGGCCTCTAGCCACTAAATACCAGCAGCACCACCCACAACCAAAAATGTATTCAGACATTGCCGAATTTCCCGAGGAGCCACTTCCTCCACTTCTGTTGAGAACTACTGGAGTAATGTATGAGAAAGAATATGGGACAGATTGGGGTTAAAAACTCAGTTCTGATGCTTACTCCCTGTGGAAGCTCTTTCACCAAGGTTGTTTAAAAGGATTAAATACAACAATAGAAATAAAAGGTACTTTACATTCCTGGCCAGACCACAGGCACTCAGTTCTCATTTGTTGATAGAGATTATTTAAGTCACAATCAACATCACAATTCATTTGTGATGAATTTGCAGAGGACCTTCTCTGTGTAAGGCTCAGGGCTAGGTATTGGGATACAAAATATTGTGCAAAACTACTAGCATATCAGTGAGCACTGTTGTTTGGAAGTGTATTCGGTGGAGACCAGCATCCTGATTAGTGGAGGTTCCCCAGCCCGTCTCAAAGACCAGTGTTCTTTCTAGCCCTAGAGGAGTTCAGAGGAGCACCCAGATCCCCACCTTCTGTGCTCCTCCACGAAGCTGACAATCTCCTCTTCACTGTTGGGTTTGTCTGGGATTGTCACGGGCTCTTCCATGAAGGCCTCATAGAAATCGATCTCATTCAACTTCAGAGTCAGCTTCTTTGCCACCTGTGGGGGTAGGGACAGGAGGGGAGTAGGGACAGGAGGGGAGTAGGGTCACAATGAGAAGCAGTTTTGTGGGGAAACAAACATTAGAAAGGAAGTCAGAGAACTCGGCTCCTTGTTGCTGCCACTGTGACACTAAATGAGTGTCTCGACTTTTCTGGGCTTCATTTAAAATGAGAGGGGTGGGTTGAGATAAGAGAAATCCCTTTTCTCTCCAGCACTAAAATCTATAGGGGCAGGAGGCGCTGGCTTTGCGGTGGAGAGTGCCAGCACGTAGGATGGGACCAGGTCCCCATCAATTCTGGGAGAGGAGGCCAGAGGGCAGCTTAGAGGAGCAAACGGAGACCCAATATGGCCACAGGGAGCAGAACCTTGCTGTCGAAGGTGGCGAAGAAGGGGATATAGGGATGAAACTCTTCGGCTGCATCCTCGTAGGCTTTGTAATCTGGTGGGGAGGGGGAGATAAAGTCAGCTTCTGGGGGAATCAGGATCTGCCAGTAAATCATCCCTGTTGGTGTCTCCCCAGTTCTTCTTTGGTTCATTCTGAGACCCACCCCTTCTAATCTATGAGAACGGGTAAAATATAGTAGGACTGTACTGGGGGAGGTGGAATGCTGGAGGTGCTTGTCTGGGAACCCCCCACCAGAGTGCAGGGAGATTAGAGCAGATGGCAAAACTGACCATGCAGGAGGAATAAGAGGGGTAGGGAGCTAGGAGGCAGGGATGCTGAGACTGTGGAGAAAGTAGGAAGGTAGGACAGGTGAGATGGGGGTCCAGGCAGGGGAACGGAAGAAGCTGAGGGTTACCCACGCTCTGAATCTTTGTTCTTGAAGTAGCCAATGAGTTTGATTTCATCCTCAATGTTCTCAAATGCCTGCAGCTCTCGTTCACCCTCAATTAATTCTACAGGGTCCTCTAGGACCTGGAAGAGCAGGAGGGACATTGAAGGAAAGTATTTCTGTCTTCATTAGTAGAACCTGGAGTGGGATTTAGGAAGGAGGCAGGAAACTAAAATACGAACTAAATGCTGAGAGAGAGAGAGAGAGAGAGAGAGAGAGAGAGCGAGAGAGAGTGTGTGTGTGTATGGTGTGACCAGTATGTTGTGTACTGTGTGCGTTTTGTATCTGGTATGTCAAGTGTATGTGATCTGTGTTGTATGGCTGGTGTGTGGTTGTATTCATGTGTGTTGTATATATGTATATATGCGTGTGGTTGTTCATTATCTGTGTTGTGTACCTGGTGTGTGTTGTATGCATGTATGTTGTATGCATGTGTGTTGTGTGATGTGTGGTGTGTGTGTTGTATGTGATGTGCTGTGTGTGTGGTATGGTACATGTATGTGTTATGTGTACTGTGTATTGTGTGGTATATATGTGTGTTGTGGGTGTCAGTGTAGTGTGTGTGGGTGGGTGGGTATGGGGTTGGGATTAGTAGGGACCAAGAGGCAGCACAGTCTTAAAGCTGTCAGGCCCAGAAGAATCCTCACATCAAGCAGAAACTCCACCAGGGTGTCTGCAGAAAACTCGCCATCATACTCAATGACTTCATCTCCCTTGAACACATAAATGCTGTCCTCTTCAGTTAGTCCTAGGGAATGAGTTGGAGATGAACCATGACCCCAAACTTCCCAAGAATCCAAATCCTGGGTCACACAGCCCACTGGATAATCCCACTGGATCCATCCTCCACTTCTCCCTCTCCCTACTCCACCCACCTCCACACCCGGGTGCTCACCCCCCAGATTTAGCCCAGGAGCTAGCCTGGAAGCAGAGACCTCTAGGGAGAAGTGGGAAGTAGGAGGGAGGGGGATCAGATGAAGTGTGAGGGGAGGAAACAGGGAGGTACATATTCTGGCAATATTGCTCCCTGCCAGCCCTATCTAGAGATAACATTCCTGCCATCTTCCCTGAAGTAGCTAGTAGTTGATTCTCTGCCCCTTAACTCGCTGTTGCTGACCAGATGACTTCATTATTACTAAGCACCCCTCCCCCACCCACACCCGCAGTCTGGCCTCCAGTCTGTGCTGCCCCCTGGTGGTCACGTGCTGTAACACCCAGCTGTGGCTGAGGAGGGGGAGGGGTTGGAAGAGGCGTTTGCCCTGGCCTCTCCAGCCTTGCCTATATTCCCTCATTCCCTAACCATGTCTCCTAGGCGAATATAAAGAAGGCCACCCCCACCACCTGCTGGAATTCGAGTATTAGTCTATAAGGACTTCCAGCCATCACCCTCCCAATCTCAGTATTTTCATTTCCCCCTTTCAGAATGGACATGGTGGAAGACTTTCCAAACCCCTCAGATCCCCAAGCCCTTCCCTTAAGCCTCCCCAGTCTCACATGTCTTTCCCCTTGCTACTCCTCCCTCCCCTCCCTTACCTAGTTTCTTGGCCACAGCTGCATCCTTCTCAGAGTCCACCAGCCCAAAGCCAACACCCTTGTCTTCTAGGACTTGGGCTGCTAACTGGAGGAAGGGGTTAGGGTTAAAATTAGCCCCTAGGATTCTTATTAAACCCTATTCCCCATCTCATGCTTTCATTTTGGGTCAGCTGACGTGTAGGACGCCTGAGAGTTGACTTTGACTTGATGCTAAGATTCAGAATATTCCCAAATTCCCTACAACTTTTAAAAAGTTCCTTAATACTTATTGCTCATTTGCAACATGCTTGTTATGTTGAACTTCAAGGCACTAGGTTTTATACCTTCCAGTTCTTGGGGGATATTGAAAGTCTGAATTCAGAGTGACTGAAGATTCCTTTCCCCCTGAAGGGTCAGGCCTTGCCCTTCATTCTGATCAAAGGCCCAGCTCAGTGTAGTGTTAAAATTCCTGGGATGCGCCAATGACTCCCAACACAAGAATTGTGGAGGGTGGGTGTGGAGGTGGAGGGTCTCATCATGATGCTGAGGAGTGGGAAAGGCCAGGGAGCTGAGAATAGAGCTCACCATGTGTCACCCATGGAGGGAGAGAGACTGGCAGAGACTAAACAGCTTTAGACATCTAGGTCTCCCTTCCCCATTTCACACTCTACCTCAGCCAGTGCTTAGGCAGGGGACAATCACATGGGAGGTCCCTGCCCCCACAAGCCTCCCAGCACAGCACTCAAACCCTGATTCCCTCTGCTGTGGGCACAGCTTGCAGCTTTACCCCACCCAACACTCAGACGCTGTGATTCTTAAGGGAAGGGAGGTGGGTGGCAGGTGGATGGATGGCGAGGCTACTGAACAGTCAGGATAAAAATACTTGGCTCATTAATCAGATGGCAGTTTCCAGCACCCAGCAGAAGTGAGAGCCTCTGGTCCTGATATCTCACCCTGAAATGCTTCAAGCTCTGGACAAGCTGGGGCCTCACTATACCACCAGGCCAGAGAAGGGGCCCAATAATCTTGGACAAGGAAGTTCCTCCCAGCCCTGACAGGGGTGTGTGCGGTCATATCTTTCAATCTGAGGCTTTTTATTTCTTTCTCTTTTTGAAAGAAATAACTCTCTCTGCTTTGAGCCTGAAGTAAGACTGAGGGTGAGAAGTCTCTTTCCACAAAGAGAAGATGGGGAAAGACATTCTGAAGTCTCCTTCAACCATAAGAATTTTCTAATTAAGGCGATGGCTTGATCCAATGGAGACAGATGGGGAATTGGGGAGGGGAGAGGAAAAGAGATGGGACTTGGAGACCAATGGGAGACGTTTAAGCATATAGCCATTGAGTAAGCTATGGGCAAACAAGATATCAGTAACATTTACATCTCTGCTCTATTTGGATCCCTTTGGGGTGCAGTCTTAAGTGTGTGGAGAGGGGCACGTCTGACTAGGAGACTGGGGGGTTGGGGGGATGCATTGCACTTAGTTCTCCTTTTGCCTCTCAAGTGCCTCCCTTGCCAAACCTAGTACCACCATCTCCTGGAGGGCAATCCCCCTGCAGCACCCCTTCTAAATTACCCAACTATGGTAGGATTTTGCATTCCTGAGTGAGTTTCTCATTTGGCTAAGGCCACATGCCAACTGCACCCCGTTGGTCAAGACAGAGGTCCTGCCATGCTAGCCTCAGGCCCAGATCCCACGCTCAGAGATTTACGTGGGACTGTGTGATAGGGGTCGTAGACAGGTCTGGATATGCTCTAAAGACCTGCAAGTCCCCGACTTACCTCCAGGATCAGTTCCTCCATCTCAAATTGTCTTTGTGAGGCCTTGTCGTCCTCAGGGGGTTCATGGTAGAGGAGGGCCAGCACCTCATACTTCTTGAACACATTCTTGTAGTTCTTTGCATTGACATTGATCACACGGTCCACACCATCGTACTGAGGGAAGTCCAGCCCTTCTTCCCCCTGGACCCCTGATTTGGGTATCCCTAGCACCAGCAGTAACAGCAGTGCCAGCCGCAGCCTGGGCACTACTCTGGCCCCCATCCTGTCTGTAGCACTCATGGAGGTAGTGGGATCTGGCTCTGCTCTCCTGGTCCAGAGGAGGTTAGCTGGGTTAGGGAGGGTCCCCTGGGTACCGGATCCTGAGTTAGGGGCTCCAGGTGGGGGTGGGGTGGGAGTGGCCCACAGCAGTGGACAGAGGACACTGCTAGGTCCTGGAGAAACTGCCGACAGAGCCAAGAGAAAAGGGTCAAGAGAAGGAATAGAAGCAGGGGGCGGGGAGGGAACCCAAGCTGCCCCCCTGAAATTGGCACCCCTCACTCTCCACCTGGTCCTGTCTAAATATGTCTCTGTGGTTGGCAGGGGAGACAGATAACCTTCTGAGGCCAGGACAGCTCCATGAGGGCTGGAATCCTCCTACCTCCTACACCTCTCCCCCAGGCTCCCAGTGGCTCCTTCCCTCCCCCTCCCCCAATGTCCAGGGCTCCTCAGCCCCTGTCCCCAAACAGGACTAAGAGCTCATCGCCATATTAAGAAAGGAAAAGGGAGAGAGACTGGATCTAAAAATAAGACCAGATGAGTCGGAGGTAAGTGAAGCTGGAGCTGGGGAGGGAGGTGCAGGGTAACTAGGGATCACTGAGGGGGGCAAGAGTAACCAGAGAGAAGAAAATGCAGGTGGAGGGAAGGCAGTGTTCCTGGTCAGAGGCTAAATTGCTAATATAGGACAAAAGGGGCACAAAACGTGCTATTGTCTCTGCATCCTAAAATCTGGGAATCTTTTATAGGTAAAGTCTGTTTCTTTGATCCAGTGGAAGAGAGGGGGGCAATAAAAGTACAGCCCAGGCTTCAGGAAAGAACCCCCCTGCAGTTCCCTTTAAAGAACTGGGACCAAGGATGAGATCATTCTCTGAATAAAAGATGGAGCTGAGTCCAAGACCGGCGACTTGGCTCAGCTCCAGCCAGTTTCCTTTGCTTCACTCAACAGTCCTAACTCGGGAATGCAGGGGAAGAACAGGGCTGGCCCAGATCCCATCCTGTAGGGATGTGGATTTGGGATTTCTCTGTCCATAAGGCCTACTACAAGGAGGGGGAATGACACTTGGCTGCTACCTCCTGCATGCACTCTCTGCCCTGATCCTATGGGACATGGTTTTCTAGGGCACAGTGGGAAAGGAGGATTCCCCAGGTTGCATGATTCCAAAGACAGCTAATAGCTACTATTTGTTTCTATGCCTTTGACAAGACAAAGAGGACCAGGTATAAACACTGGGGGAAAAAATAACAAGAGGGAAACATATGCCCTGCCCTGAGGACATTGATTAATTCTGTGCACCTGAGACCCAAAGTGGAGCTGGGTGGTAAGAACTGAAGCTTCTAGATCCCAGTGGATAAGTTTAGCTCTGGGTGCCTAGGAAGAAACCTTTCTATGGCTCTCCAAGGGTCTTACTATGAAAGGCAAACTGAGACCTGAGGAGGATCATAGACTAGATCAAAGTCAGACACCTCTACCTCTACCCTAGGGTATCTCTCATTCTGGAAGGATAGTGTTTATTTTGCTTCCAGGCAGGGGAATGGAATTATGTTAGCAAAATAACTTTTCCAAGCTCCCATGGGGCGGACCTTACACAGCTAAGTAAGGAAAGCCACAGAAAATCTCAGGAGCATGGCAGGAGAGGATCCAAGAGGGACAGCTGTCACTGTAGCAGGAGAGGCCAGAGCTCGCTCAAGCATGGCACGTTAGAGCTGAAGAGGTCTCAGAATCCTGTCTCCTGCTCTCCCAGGAGAGAGATGACGTGTCACAGACCATAACCAGAGCCAAGACAGCCGGGAGTGATGGACAGGCTCACCCAGAAGTGACCCAGATGACCACCAGCTCCAATTCCTCACTTGTGCAGCATTCTGGGGAGACAGAAACATTTGGATGGACATTGGAGCGTTAGCCTTGTTCCATTATGATTTGGACCTTTTGTAACTCTAAGGGCGTGAGATAGGGCTCTGTGGTGACCTTGGCCCCTTCTGCAGCCACCATTCCCCCGGTGGCCCTTTCTGGCTCCAGTTCCACCCTTACTCTTTCCAGCTCCCACACCCCTCTCCTCCCACCCAGTCCTTCCTTCTCTGATGCTTTGTTCTCTACTCAGTCTCCTTCCTTCTAGGCCCCTGTCTTCAGGCCCTTGGACTTAACATGCCTCAGCCACTGGTATCAAATGACCCTGAGTTGGGGCGTCAGTATTTTTAACCCACCAGACACCCAAAGCTGCCTCTACTGAAACCTGAGGAGCTGGCCCCTCCGCCTCCCCCTCCCCACCTCACTCACATACCTCCTGGCCCCTCCCTCCATCTTCCAGGGTCTGGTTCAGCAGTGTCAGCAGCCGGGGAGTACCCCAGACTTATATGGCCCTGTCCCTAGGAGACCTTGTGTTGGAAGAAGGAGGGGAACCAGAAGGAGACATACCTCATCTTTCAGACCCATCTACTGTTCTTCCTCCACCACTATCCTGTGTTTTGCTTTTGTTTTGTTTTTATTTGTGCTTTAGTCCAGCCCTCACTGTAAGACTAGTATGTAAAGTGGTTAAGGGCACACGTTTTGGAATCAGACATTGGTTTCCTCTTTATGAAACAGGGTGAAGAGGTAGGAATATATTGGTGTGAATTAATTGATGGTGTGTGTACAGTCCTTGTCTCAGTGCCAGGCATAGTATGAAGTCACTTAATATATCCATTTTGTTTCTGGGAACAGCTGATTGGGCTGAGCATGTGGCTCCAATGGTAGAGCTCTTGCCTAGCAAGTGGGAGGCCCTGAGTTCAAACCCAGTACTGGCCACAAAAAGAGAGAAAATTTATAGTTGACAAATTTCCCCCAGTTTTCCTTACATTTATTTTTCTGTGTACTTTTGGGAAGACTCAACTCTCTACTCTGAAAGATGCCCAAGAATGAACTTAGCTACAGGGCAAAGTGGAAGGAGAGGAAGGAGGAGAGGAAGGGAAAGGAAGAACCTTGGAGAGGAGGATGGACAGGAAAGGGGCTCCCAGGGCCTTCTCACTCATCAGAAACCAGACCAGCAAAGGGCCTGGCTTCAGGGTTGGAGGTATAGCTCAGTGGTAGAGCATTTACCTACCAGAGAAAACAGGCTGAGGGTTGGGATGGGATTGAGATGCCCTGATGACAGAATGGGATGGCAGGGGCCACCACTCTGAATCAGAGGAGGTCACTCCCACACCATGCTACTGTTTTCAAGTCATGGAACTTCTCTGAACCTCAGATTATTCACTGTGGCATAAAGTCTCTTCTAGAACCACAACTCATGGCCAGTAATCTGAATGAACTGAGCCATGGGGCCAAGTGGAGGGGCTCACTGAGAAAAAAGCAAGTTAGTGGGTGGGGGGAGAAGAGGAAGGAAATCCAAGGTGGAGTCTCAGATGGGTGCTGTGGCCTTCTCTATAGGATGTAGCTCAGCTGCTTGCTCCTCTCTCACCCACCTTCCATTCTCTTATCCCAGTTGGACTTTTGGGGCAGTCATTTGTTCTTTTCCAGGATATCAGAGAGTGACTTTAAGATAGGGGATAACCCTCAAGGGGCAAGGATACTTGACTCGAATCCCCAACCAGCCTCTTCTCAGGTTCCTGAAGGACTTTCCTTGCCTGGTTACTATGAAAATGTAAGCTTCATTCATAGCAATCTCCCACTCCCCAAAAATCAGATGTGACACGTCCAACCAGGTGAGGGCTGTTCCAAACATTTACTCTCTAGACTGACTGCTGGATTCTACAGGACTGTGCCCCTCCCCATTGGGCTCCAGCCAGATGCAAGCTGGGTTTCCCCTCACCCCACCCCATCTCCTACTCATGATGCCCTTGGTCCAATCCCAAGATTGCCTGTCTCTCTCATCCAGGGTAATTCTTAATAGTCTCTGCCCCAGTTCAGATCTCTCTCAGATGTTATGTTAAACTCATAATCCTGGCTCCTGTGACACCATGTCACGTGACGCTGGTCTTCTGGTGGGTTTAGTAGTATGTCTCCTCTTCCAGCCAGCCTATGGAGAAGAAAAGACCAGAGTAGACTGGGAGAAGGTGGCAGGAGAGACATCCAGGGGAGTTCAGCAAAAGGACCAACGAGGAGAAGGTGGGAGGCCTGCCATGCAGACCATGGCCCTAAACATTGGAAGGAACAGGGTGTTGTAGTCAAGGAGTTGGGTTTGGTTCCAGGCAAAGGAAAGGGCAGACAGTGAGGTGGGGGAATGCTAGTGAGTCTGGAGGAAGCAGGCCCGATGGGAAAGGTCATTAGGGACTAGTGACCACTCTGTCAGAGGAGGGCCCAGGGCAGCCTCACCGCCAGGCCGTTTACGGATGATAAGTTTTCTGATTTCGTCATAGATGAAGATAAGAAGGCTGTAGGGAATGGCACAGAACCACCAGTTTATCCTGTAAAGAGCAAAAGTTGGTCAGTGTGGCTGAGGGATACCAGGGACCAGAGAAGGGCAGGCACAGAGAACAGTGCACAGGAATTATGTGTTTCTTTTATTGTGTTCATGTGTTCCTGAGATGGTGCCAGGTGCTGGAAAGAGTGAGGTGAGTTGATTCTAGCTTTGAGGAGGTCAGGGCCTGAGGGGTGTGGGATTGGGGGTGGAGAGGAGAAGCACAAGACAGAAATATAAGAAGCCACGGTAACATGATAAATGTCACGTTTAGTTACATGCAGTGTTCAGAGAGATTGTCTTCTGAGTTTTGCGGAGTTGCTGGGGAAAGCGCCGTGCTTTCTGCATACTCTAGGCCCTTCCCTTACAGAGGGAGGCTTGTCAGAACAGGATGAGTCTGATATGGTCTCTAGACACCTAGTGTGGGGAGAGTCTACTGGGGTGGGGGGATGGACAATGTTTATTTTCTTGACCATTTTCTATAATTAGAGACAAGGAAGATGGACTCGGGGAGGGGTTGAATCAGGACCATAGTTGTTCCCTTGGGTAACAGAGAGATGGCTAAAACCAACAGCATTATTCAATGGAAATACAATGCAAGCCACATGTGAGATAAACTTTTCTAAGAGCCCCATTAAAATAAGTAAAAAGAAACAGATGAAATTAATTAAAAAAATTTCAATCCAGTCTGACCCAAATATTATCATTTCAATATGTATGTAATTAATATAAACTTTATTTATTTATTTATTTATTTAGCCATGGGCCCAGGATGGCCTTGAACTTGAACCCTTCTACCTCAGCTTCCCAACTACTGAGGTTAAAGACATGTGCCACCAGGCCTGGCTCAACATAAACAGTAAGATAGTTTATATTCTTCTTTTCATCCTAAGTCTTGGAAATCCAGTGAGTATCTTACAATGATAGTGCATCTCAACTCAGATACTAAATTTTCAGTGATTAAAGGGAAATATGGTCCCACCAAATGAATAACATTGTATTTATTTATTTATTTCTACTTCTGTTTTTTGAGACAGGATCTTGCTATATTGTTCAGGGTAGCCTTGAACTCATCATCCTCCTGCCTTAGCTTTCCAAGTAGCTGGGATTTCAGGTATGTGCCACTATGCCTGGCTAAAGTTGTATTTAATAGGCAAATATTTAATGCTGCTTTCTTTTTTCTTTTTTTTATTTTGCGATACTGGGGTTTGAACTCAGAGTCTACACTTTAAGTCATTCCATATTTCAAGAGCTCAATAATCACATATGGATAGTGGTTACCACATTAGAAAGTGCAGGCTTAGGCCATGGTTCATTTTACACACACACACACACACGTATGTATATATATATATAGAGAGAGAGAGAGAGAGAGAGAGTATTTGGGAGCACAGATAATGTTTGGCTGCATTTTTCATTACTTCTATGTTGACATTGATAGTCACAGGAGTAAAACAACTACAAAGCATCCATCACCGTGATCCAAGAATGCTCAGTGCTTTATATTCATCACTCTGCCAGATGTGTCTTTTTCAGTGCTGGTGATGGAGTCCACAGCCTCACACATGCTAGGCATGCTCTCCACCACTGAGCTACATTCCTAGCCCTGCCAGATGTGTATTATTGAGACTCTGCAGATAAAGCTAAGGCTCAGAATGGATTTACTTCTCTAAGGGCATAGAATAATGTGCAGTAGAGTTGAGGTCCAAACTCAGTATCTAAGTCTAGGCCCTTACTAAACATTAACTGAGCACTTACATTACATAAAACGTGTGTAACTGCAACGGATGGAAAGATGAGCAAGGCACGTGAGTGCATAGGAAACGAGTTGAAGAGTCATTAAAGGCTACTACTAGTGCAGGATGGGATAGTGGGGATTGGTGTAGAATGGCACTTTTTTCTGCTTTTTTTCTCTGTAAATTTTAAAATAAAAAAAAATTCATAACTAGGTGTGGTGGTCCATGCCTGTAATCGCAGCTATGCATGAGGCAGAGACTGGGAGGATTATGGTTATAGGCCAACACTGGCAAAAAGTTAGTGATTCCTCATCTTAATTAGTAGGCTTAATTAATGGGTATGATGACAGGCATCTGTAATCTCAGCTACTTGAGAGGCTAGCCCAGCAAAAATTCAAGATCCTACTTGAAAAATAACTAAAGCAAAAAAGGGCTGGAGTCATGACTCAAGTGCTAAAGCATGTACCTGGTAAGTGCAAGGCCCTGAGTTCAATCCCCAGTACCACCAAAGAAACACAAACTCACAACCATATACTAATGTTAAAATAAAAGATAAGAAAAACCTGGGAGTTGAACAAGATAAGGTATCGGTCAGCAGGAATTTTAATATGTCCACTCACATATATGCATATTAAAACATGTTAACATAATATATAACAGAATTAGCTAAGCATAGATTAAGCTATTTTCATGGTTATTCAGCTCCAAGCAATATGTATCCTTATTCAGCTATACCACATGTTCTTATAAAAAAAGATTTCACTTGATTAAACACTGGCAAGTCTGCTAAGTTTGAATGGTTAGTGGCTTGTGATCACTTGGCACTGTCTGTAACATCTCTAAATAAAATCCCTTTCTGAGCACAAACGACTCTCTCCTTAATCACTGAGTATAGCCCACTTATCCTGGCAGCCCCTAGCTGGTGACTGTCCTGTTCAAACACACACTTCCTCTCACATGGCACCCCGTGCCTGGACAGCTGCATCCCTGCACCCCTCCTCTTACTCACTTCAGTGGGTACATTCGCAGAGCCACGTTTGTGCCTGGAGTGTAGGACAGTACAGCCGCCAGGAATGTCTCCTCCAGGATCCCGAAAATTAGGATCTTGTTTCTGGGAAGAAACATTTATGAGTATATGGAGACAAGGAGGAAAAGTTTGGGGAACATCGCCTGTCTGTGTGTGGATTTGGGAATGTGTTGGGCCCTTTGCTAGGCGCTCACTTCATGCCCTGCTGGAAGATCGAGTTGCGGCGGGTCTTGCAGATAAGGAGGTCGGTCCATTGCACCATCACGATGCTGACAAAGAAGGCTGTGTGGCAAGTGAACTCCACCATCTTTCGCTGCTCGTAGGTCTGGGGGAGGACAGGTAGAAAGGCTGTATCAGGGCCAGAAGGGTATACCCAAAAGCTTCTTTCTTCTTCTGCTTTTCAGGACCCTTAGGCTGAGTTAGGTCCTCTTTCTCAGGACTCCCATCGGACTTCACACACGTCTGCCTTAGCACTTTCCATGTTGTGTTGTGATTTGTTTGGGAGCACCTCCAGAAGAAGGACCTGGTATTATTTATCTCTGTATCCTCTCACCTGGCTTACTTAGTTCAGTAACAGCATACAGCATGGGTCAATAAATATTTACTAAATTAGCTAGAAGTGTGGTATAGAAGGTGGACATAGAGAGGAAGGGAGATTCAGAGGTCACAGGTTAGAAAGGAAGATGGGGCTAGGGGCCAATATGAATACAGAGGGGAAGGAATACCCCAAAGGGCTGGTAGATGGGAGGCATTCACTCATTCATTTCATAGTTCTTTCATTCACATTTTGCACATAAGGAACTTAAGAGTCTAGTGGGAGGGATAAATATACTAACTCTGCCAGTGCACCAGGTAAGTTATAAGAGAGATCGTAGAGAGATGTAGGAACACAGAAGAGGTGCGTCTAAATTAGGCTGGAGAAAAAGCCTAGTTTTGTTTTTTTAAAGCATGTTTATAAATAACTCATAGGGCAAATAAATTTGAAAATATGTAAGACTGCATAATATAAAAGTAACTATGTATCAAACCACATGGCATGTGGTTAAAGTTGTACTGGGAGAGCAATAGAGTCTTAAATGATTAGAAAACAAAAGCCCAACATTGATGAGCCAAGTACAGAATTTAGAATAGACCAGCCAGCATGTTTGTGTGGACAGGTCGCCCCACCCCCCGCAGCCAGGTACCACTGCCCTACCACTTCCTATAATTTCTTGACAAGTCTAGCTTCTGACTCACTGTTACTTTACTTTTGCTCTTCTCATTTTTCTTTTCTTAGAGATCTGGATGATCCTTCCAATACCATGGTCCCCGTTTCTTATCTCTTTCTCCTCTAATCCTGTTGTTCTCCACTCCCCAAGTGGGCTGCTTGCTCCCATGTTTAAACTTTAGATATTATCCTTCCCAATACCTGCAATTTCTCTGTAATTTTCATTTCAACCATTCCTCTCTGTCTTTACCTTTCTACATCTCACTCACTCTGGTATCTTAATTCCAACACTCCTTGGACTCCCTTGGACTTACAATCTGTTGACTTGATATGGTGGTTTTTAATTTAATTAATTAAATTAATTAATTTATTTTGTGGTACTGGGGTTTAAACCCAGAGCCTCGAGCACATTAGGCAAAGTAAGTGCTCTACCACCTGAACCACACCTCCAGCCCGATATCTTTTATATACATATTTGTCTATATATACATATATGTGGTTATATCTATCTCCTCTTCTACCACTAGAAGTAAGCTCCATGATAGCAATAACTTGGTCATTTTTATTTACTATTGTATCCTCAGGGTCTAGAATAGGACCTGGTACAGGTGGTGATCAATGAAATTATGGGGAAAGATGTTTAGAAGCTAAGGAGCTTACTGCTTCTAGCAGTAAGTAGTGCATTTCCTGGATTGGCAGCGCTATACTAGATGATATGACAATTGCAGTAGTGGAAGACACATGAGGCCTGCACTTACGGATTTTATTCCTCCGGTAACTGTTCTTAAAACATCTTTGTGACACTTTATGATGTCTTCAGCATACAAGAGGAATTCCTAACTTGCTACATCAAATTACTTTTATTTATCTTTATTATAAATAAGGATATGTCAGGCTACAAGGGCTTGAGTTGAAGGGTGAGGTGATGTTGGTGGGCAGATGATGACGACTTTGGACATCATCTGGACTGACTTCTGGAGCAGTGTTGGTGACTGGAAGCCTTGACATTTGACGGCTTATGAGGCCTAGCTGGCGGAAGTTACGTGTATAAGGGGAATCTTTCCAACTACTTAGATTTGAACATACTTTCGAGAAACCTGAAATTAGCTTAAGTTAGAAGGCATTGTGGAAAAGTGGGAAAGAGCTGGACAGGAATCAACAGTCTAGAATTCTACTTCTTACTCTTTCTAGGGATTCACTGTAAGGAGATTGTGCATCTACTACAATTCTGTAATTCTAGTGATAACTGGTGTCACATTTCCTGCTGCCTTAGAAATTGGGACAGGAAAGTTCACAGATACTAAAAAGCATACTTAACTAAAATTCTTGGACATGTTACTGGGGAGAGGGCTTCAGTTTGAGCCCTATTCATCTTGAGTATTAGGAAAGATTCCTACAGAGAGATGTCCTCTAGATTAAAAAAGGTTTAGAGTGATGATAAAGGAATATACAAAGAATATAGGTTTTCAGAGTTTAACTCATATTATTTGAACTCTCATGAAGGGATAGGGTGTAACAGGAGAGGACACAGCATTCATTTTGGGGGCAGGCATGGTTAAAACCTACAAAAACAGAAATTAGAAGACCTCCAGCTTCCAAGGAGCCAAAGGATCCAGAGCATATAACAAATAGAAATAGCAAGAATGAATAGAAATGAGATTACTGTAACAAAAAAAAGGAAATTTAGTGTAGTTGGAGATAGTGGTCAAATGTTAATGTACTCGGGTAAAACTGGAGATGAGGCATCAACTCTGACTTATACCTTCCTTTCTCCACCCTTCAAAAATTTGCTAACTTCACTCTCCCTGCTCACTTTCTCACTCTTATTGGTCACTATGTACTAGTCTACCCTTTCTACTCACCCACTGCTGTCCATAGCTGTCCTCCAGGTCATTTAAGAATTTGTTTTCCCAGTTCAGGCGGATGCCCAGCAGATCATAAGGCTTAAAGCCATTCTCAGCCAGGATCACAAAATAGGTAAAGAATCCAGCCAGAGCCTGGATCATCCCTGTGAGTAACAGAATCACAGAACAGGGAGCCTAGGTCAGAGAAGGGCTCCAAAAGGCAGACCACAGAAGGAACGGGCTTTGGGACCTGCTTTGAGCTGGTATGATGTATGTATGCAGTGACCTAATCCTGTGATCACTCGTCATCAGTGATCTAATCCTGTCATCTCTGTGGGACTGGTCTCTACCCAGATATGTATTTCTAAACTGTAACCCAGAGTCATCTTTGAATCATGTAATCTTAAAACTAAAAAGGACTTTGGAGGCAACTTATTCAGTCTCCCTTTTGAGTGATTGCTGGACTCCTTCTTCTCTGTTTCCTTTGACATTTGGATATTAACCAGGTTTTATTCTCTCCTGAACATCTGTGCTGTTTTCCCCTTGGCTCTTTCTTAGTCAAAACTTCTGTCTCCCTGGCCTGGATATGGCAGCAATGGCTGACGGTAACCTTTACTTACTCAGAGTTGGCATTGTGTAGGTACATTGTGGACATAGATCCTCACAACAATTCTGAACTACTATATGTATTTCATAAGGGGGAAAACCAAAACATGAAAAGGATTCAGTTGTTGTCCAGGGTCATACCGGTAGTAAGTGTTGCAATTAGGATTCAAATACAGGTCTGACTTCTAAGCCTATGCTTTTTACATGTTTTCTTCCCTAGATATTGGGATGATCTTTCTTATCCCCAATCTCTTCCCTGTTTATCCCTCACTTGACATCCTGACATGTTCTGTTGTACCTGGCAACTCAAAAGATCTTTACCTCTTATGGCTTCCCAATGCTTTTTAAGGCTGGCCTCCAAATTAATACTGTATGTCTACAACCTTATTTTCCACCACTTCATCAAGACTAAGAGCACCAACAAAATGGTTTATTTACTTTTCTCTAACCATGTCATATGAATTTCCCTTGCCTGCTGGCTCCGCACACCTACTACCACTAGTAGTATCTACAAAGGTATCTACTTACTAGACTAAGTTCTAGCCTTCTGATACCAAATTTAAGTCCTGTTTCTTCCATAAAACCTCTCTGTCCTCATAATTGGTGAATGTGTATGCTTTGTGCTCCTGTAGTGTGTTAGGTCTGTACTTTTTGCTAGCATGTGGAAAGATGTTATCATCTTATGCATGTTTGTTCCTTTTCTTCTTTGTTGGTAGGATTTTTTTTTTTTGATGGGACTGGGGTTTGAATTCAAGGCTTCACATTTGCAAAGCAGGTGCTCTACCACTTGAGCCATTTTGCTCTGGTCATTTTGGAAATGGGATCTCACAAACTATTTGTCTGAGCTGTGGTCAAACTGTGATCCTCCCCATCTCAATCTCCCAAGTAGTTAGGCTTACAGGTGTGAGCCACCAGTGCTTAGCATTTGTTCCTTTTCTACTGGACTTTAAATCAAGGGAAGAAAAGAGACCAACAGATCTTGATGTGTACCTAGCACAGTTTGTTGCTGAGAAAATACCTCCCTGGCTTCCAAGCAGAATTGCTCAAGTTATCCAGGCAGGACACCCACTCTCCTCTCCCTTCACCCTTCACTTGTCTGGGCTCACCAATCTGTCCATAGGACATGGCAATGAGACGGCTGTTCACTAGCTTATCAATCTTTGGGTCCCGTGGACGCCTCTTCATGATGTCACTTTCAGCTGACTCATAGGCCAAGGAGATAGCAGGGACCTGGAATGTGCAGGGTAGGAATGACAGGTACACAAAGTTCAGAGGAAAACTCAGAAGTAACTCTGCTCTGTCCCCTCCCTTGACACAGATTTTCCCCCCTCCTAATCTATTTCACAGGAGTTCCAGAGCAGGGGTCCAGCCTGGTGCTCACCATGTCAGTACCCAGGTCAATGCAGAGGATGGTCACAGTGCCCAGAGGGAGGGGGATGTTGGCAATAATGAACAGCAGGAAGGGGGTGATCTCGGGGATGTTGCTGGTCAGGGTGTACGCAATGGACTTCTTCAGGTTGTCAAAGATCAGGCGGCCTGGGGAGGTCAACCTTCTGTGAGAAGCACCAAAAGGATAGATCTCCCACAAATGAGGTACTGGACAGAGAGACCACTGTGAAGAAGTGTCATGGTCCATGAAAATGTTGGTTGCCCTAGTTTTGTTTCTGAATTGTGTATTAATTAGAACTGTGATTTATTAGCATGCTCTGACTTTGTGCTCTTTGTTCCTGGATTCAACATAGCTAATGTTTTCTGACCTCTGAAAATTAAGCAGGGTTGGGCCTAGCCAATCCTGAGATGTCTGAGAATGTCAGTATTAAAGCCTTTACAAGATTATTGCTGAAGTGGAAAGAGCCAGGGCCTAGGACAGGTTTAGGTTTGAATCTCATTTTGTGCCCTAACCAGCTGGTGACCTTGATTGCTCCTTATCTCTCTCAGTGTCATTCCTCCTGCCTTGCAAATTTCTGAGTCTTTCCCTGACTACTCTTTCAAAGACTGAAATCTCTCCCTGCACAACTTCATTTTTCCCATTGCTCTTAACACACTATAAAATTTGCTTATTTTATTGTCTATCTTTCCCTTTGGAAATTAAGTTGCACATGGGCAGGGACTTGTGTCTTTTGTCCCTCACATCTAGAATAGTGCCTCGTATATATTCAGCACTCAAGAATTTATTGAATTGAATGGGTAAAATACCAAGCAAAGTGTCAGGATTTTACTAGGTTTCAATAAAATGGGAATTGTTATTACTATGTAGACGGTCATGTTTTAGTACACAACAATCCAGGCAGAAATTTGGGAGCCTGGGATGCAGCATTTTCTGAGGAAAATGGATTTTCTGAGGAAGAGGGTACTTAATGGGACTCATGAAGTCAATTACACTCTATTACCTCTAAACAAATTTTTTCTTTCTTTTTTTGGCATATTGGGGTTTGAACTCAGGGACTCACGCTTGCTAGGTGGGTGCTCTTACTACCTGAGCCACTCCACCAGCCCATGAAGTCAATTTGTACTCTCCAGCTGATCTTGAAGTGTCCCCATCACTCAGGGAACAGGGGGTCTTGCTGAAGACTGTGGAGCATGGAGCTTTCCCAGGGCTATAGTTACATGTTGGCACTTGCTGTAGCCACTCCTGAATCCCAGTGAGAGGACAGGAAGGTACTATGCTATGACAGAGTCTCAGTCTCCCTGGCAAATCTGGACTCTCTAATCGCATGAGCTCTAAGTATCAGCTGGATCCAATTTGCAATATTTTGTCTTACAGAGATTTTTTTTTGCAGTCTCTATAAGATATTGGAGGTTGCATAATGGGAAAAGGGAGTGAAGGTAATGTACACCAAGCCCTACCTTAGTTGATGGTCAGTCCCAACCCTAGACACCTGGCTTCCTCACCCTCCTCCACGCCTGTGACGATGGAAGCAAAGTTGTCATCCAGCAGGATCATGTCGGCTGCCTGCTTAGAGACATCAGAGCCAGAGATGCCCATAGCAATGCCAATGTCAGCCTTCTTCAGAGCCGGTGAGTCATTTACCCCATCACCTGTTACCGCCACAATGGCTCCCTATGAAGTCCAGACAGAAGAAGTGAAAAAATGACTGTTAAATTCAGGAATAATTTGATTTCAGGATCCTGAATCAGTTTCAGTTTGATTTCTTGATACAATCATGATTGACTTAGGACTCTTGGCCCTTCCTTTTCTTGCTCCCCCTGAGATATTTAAACCCTCAAGAAGCCTCCAAACTGAGGGCCACCTAGGTGGTTCAAGATGATACACTCAAGAGTCCTACCCAGCCCACACATTCCCCTGCTTGGTTGAGGGCTGGGCCCTGACACATGATTTCTGGCAGGTTCTCCAGGGCTCCTTGACTTCCCTTACCAGCCTCTGACACCCCTCCACAATGACGAGCTTCTGCTGTGGGGAAGTCCGAGCAAACACGATTTCTTTATGGTTTTCGAGAATTTGGTCCAGCTGCTGTGAGTTCATACCCTTCAGCTCTGAGCCGTGGACCACAATGGCTTTAATGTTACTGAGGGAAAGAATTTCGAAAGACTACATGTGAGGGTGGAGAACTCATCAGGGGTCCTGGTGCCTTCTAGTCTAGTTCCTTTTTTCTTTCCAGCTCAGTCTCCTCCTTTGTTCCCAGCATACACTGTCCCCAAGTTGACACATTTCATCCCCTCTCTCCTTTTGCCAATCACTCCTCACTTTCCTCTACTTCTTTCTTGTCATGCTTCCTCTGAAAACCCCTTGAAATATTTATGTGTTTCCCTATTACATTTTACTTTATAATGTGTAAACACCGCAATCCTACCTACTGAAGAGACTCTAAGAATTTTAGTAAGTGGTATATGGGTAGAGCAGGTTGAGGATGGAGGGGACAATGGCAGATCAGAGTTCTTTAGGGATCTTACCTGGTATCGACCTGACTGATGGGAATCCTAAGCCGGGCGGCAATGTCTTCCACTGTTTCATTGCCTTCTGAAATGATGCCCACACTCTTGGCAATGGCCTTGGCTGTAATAGGATGATCCCCTGTTATCATAATCACCTGGGTTGGGGTGGGGGAAGGAATAGGAGCATAATATCTTCAGAGAAGTTCTGGATCCTTCATCTTTCTCCCCTAAGAATAATAACTTTCAAAATATTTTCATTCCACAAGGGTTTTTTTAAGTAACTCATTTGCAAAAACTTGTAATATAGACCAAGAGCTTTACTCTTGTGGCTTCTACCTTAGTAGAGAATCAAGACCATCAGACCATATAATGCAGGACGATTCAGGTTCTAGATTACCCAGGAACAAGTCAGAGATTTGGATGTATTGCAATATTGAGAACCTAGTTGTTCTAGAAACTATTCTGCAACATTAAGCATCAACACAGGAACACTTCTACATAGGACAAGTGGTAATGAAGGAATGACTGGAATAATCCCTCAACCTTTCTTCCAGGCCCAGTGCATTCAGATCCTCACTCTACCTCTCTTTATCCCAGTTGTCTTACCCTGCCTCACAGTTTCTACCCAAAGATGAGGTGCCCATGCTTTGTGCCTTAACAACACTCTGTTCTTCCCATATGTCAGCACTTGTCACCTCTCTCTCTCTCTCTTTCTTTCCATTTTCCCTCTCTTTCTCTCCCCACTGGTCTGAGAGCTTTGTGAGGGTGAGATGTTTGTTAAGTATCTCAACAAATAACTGAGCGAGGGAATGAAGGAATTATGGCTATCTGAGAACCCCTGCCCAAGGTTCCTGGAAGCCCTCCAGGCACACAATTTTTCAAGGTCTGATGTGAGGGAAAGTGTCTGACAGTGATGAAATTATCCACTTCTTTTAGGAATGGAGGCCCAGTGGAGTAAGTATGTTTGTTTTCAAAGTATGGAAATAAGCATTGAAGGAGTTTTCCCTAAAGCACCAACAATGGGGTTCATGAAGCCTCATCATTCCACACTGGTTTGCTGGAAGGAGACAGAAAAGTGCTAACTAAGGTGTGATTACCAGAAACACAGTAAAACTGCACTGAGCTGTTAACCACAACCACTGATGTTAGTGTCCTGGCTGAGCTGTGAACCACTGGATCCTCACAAGCTTGGCCTGTGGGCACCTAATAACGGGTGAGGATCTGGAAGGGAACTACAAGAAGCCTATCTTCCAGATGCAGTTGAGATCAAGCTCTCAGCAATGCCATTTAGGCTTACAATACTCTGAAAGCTTCCCAGTGGCTCCTCAGTGGTGGCTGAGGACCCGTGGGACAAGGCATGTCGTCATCCTTATACTTTCCTGGTACCTCACCCAGCCCGATGGGCAGATGGTCTGCTCTATAGTAACTTCCAGCAGAACCACTGTACCATGTCAGAGAAATAAAAATACAAAGTTAGTCACCCCAAGAACGAGTTCCTGTGAAACAATGTCACCAAGCACTGAGATGCAGTCATACAGTGGAGCACCATTCTACAGAGAATGGCTCTCTCTGAGGTAAAGGGTATCTCGCAGTTTCTGGAATTTAGCAAGTACTGAAAGAAGTTTGTTTTCAACTTCTTGGTGCTGACTATACCTCTACTGTTTCCATGCAGTCTTATAAACTGCCCACTTATTCCCTTCCCATCTTCCTCCAGATCAGACCCATCTGAGAAAAACTTTGGTGTTGGTAATGAAGTGTAGGCTCTTGTCATAGTATTCAAAGCCTAGCTACAGTTCTTTGAGGGGGCCAAAGTATCTTCATACTACTGAGTTCCTTGGTTAGTGGCAAATATGATGGGAACATTTTTTAAAATCACATTTATTTCACAATTGTGAGCAAGTGGCCACCTGGGAAACCTTAGTCCCCCCAATCATTTCCTTATAAAAACTTTGCTGCTATACAACCATTATGCAACCTCTTTTATCCAGCAGTCTGTAACATATATCAGCTCTGCATCAACACCATTTCAGAGTTGACCTTGGAAGGGTCTCCCTACAGGACAAGCTCCTATATGTCCACTGTATTTTTTCCTCCCTGAAGAGTAGCACTATTTGTATGTCTTATACTTCTCTATAAGTGAGAGACGAGTCACAATTCCCCACTGAGTCTGCCAACTTTTTGTCAGTTTAGAGATCAGAAGAAGGTAAGAAATTGTAGTGAGATCAGTAAACTTGGGACCAGAACAAGTACTGGCCAGAAAGCACTGAGGTCTCCTGCTTTAGCTTCCAGCCAAAAACCAGCTCTCAGAGTTCTTCCAAACTACCATGAGCTGGGCTCTGCCTCAGGCTGTGATGACATTCTGATCTGGTAGGTATCCTAACTAAAATTGCCCCTTTTTGTCCTATTGGGCCTCCCCACTTATTAGCACAATTCTGACTATCTTTTGCTAAAGGCATCCATAAACTCTCAGGTGAGAAAAATTGTAGACTTCATGCCACGATGTTATTCCTCATTCTGATATTTGGCTTCAAAGCTCAGAAAATTCAGATACATGCCTTCTTCTACCATATTATATGGTAGCTTGCAGAACTGTGGGGGAATGTCAAGGTAACTTGGCCATTTTATGTGGATGTGCCATAATAATGCTCTCTACAAAGAACTTACCACCTCAAGAGTTTTGAAAGGTAGTGATTACAGAATTCATTTACAATAATTTCACACATCCTTTCTTTGGTTTCTACTCTAGTGGCCAGTCACTAAACTGAGCATAGCCTAGGCTGACCCTTAGACAAACTGCCAACAGTCACAGGTCTAAAATAAGGCTCTCTACTCTAACCTGTCCTCCCCAAGGACCCAAAATTGGCAGGTAACCTATCATACAAAGTATGAGCAGCGAAGGTGTCAATATCTAATCTGTGTCATTGACCTGGAAACATGGGACACACAACATCTCAGAATTAGAGGAATTCCACTGTTGGCATCCCATGAAGTCCAACATCCACCCTGACCCAAAGGGGACTTCCCAGGTCTGAGTTTGTCCTGCAGCTGAGTTTCACTCTTGGATCAATTCACTTTAGTTTCTAGCTTTTACTCCAAGGTCAGAGGTTTGTGCCTGTTAGGGAAGCTGCTCACTCCAAGTCAGACCCATTGAGGGCTTCCCAGCTGTCAATATCTCATCCTTACCATTGCCTGCTGTGGATCCCCACTCCCTTTGCCTCACTCTATCACCACCCATCCCAGCAGTTACTCCTTGTATGGTCTGGGATCTGCAGCAGCAGCATAACCTTGAAGATTGTTTAAAATGTGCAACCTCCAGGGGTCTTAGACCTACTGAATCAGGACTTGCATTGAAAAAAGAAATCTCTAAGTGACTAACATACTCAATAGTTTGAGAAGCATTTTACTGAACACTGATTCTCAAACTTGTTGGCTCAATGGAATTTCCAGTATTTTTTTTTTTTTTTTTGGTAATACTGGGATAGAACTCAGGCTTCATGCTTACCAGACAGGTGCTCTACCACTTGAGCTACACCTCCAGCACTTTTTGCTCTGGTTATTTTGGAGACAGAGTCTTGCCTTTTACTCTAGATGGTCTGGACCAAGACCCTCCTATTTTTCACTTCCCACTGTAGCTGGGATGACAGGCACACACCACCAGGCCCAGATCTTTTCTATTGTGATGGGTCTAGCAAACTTTTGCCCTAGCTGGCCTTGAACTGAAATCCTTCCAATATCAGCCTCCCAAGTAGCTAGGATTATAGGTGTGAGCCACCCATGCTTGGTTCCAGGAAAAATTCTGAAATACAGATGCCCTGGACTCATCCTGAGAGTTTTTAATTTAATGGGTCTGAGGTGTGGCTTAGACGTCACAAATTTCAAGTTGCCCCAGTGATTCTAATGCTCAATGCTAATCTAATATTATTAACTATCTCCCAAATCTAAAAATCATAAGCTCAAGGAGGCAGAAACCAGCTTAGCTAAGATTATTAAGCACCTACACTGAGCTGGGTTTTCTACCTAGTTGCCCCAATTTGTGACAAGTGAGGGGCTTTTGGCGTTAGTAGGTATTTACCTTAATCCCTGCACTGCGGCACTTGTTCACAGCATCAGGCACAGCAGTTCGAGGAGGGTCAATCATGGATATGAGGCCCACAAAACACAGATTTTGCATGGGAAAATTTAGTTCATCTGTATTAAACTGGAATCCTTTAGGAAAGCTGCTAGGCAGATTCAAGAAGCAGAACCCTGGAGAAAAACAGAAGGGACCAGCACTCATTCACCTCTCTATGTCCCTATCCCCCTCACCCCAATATACTAGACTGTTCACCCCAAGTGACCCATCTCAATGCCATTCTTTCAAAAGCACCCCTCCATAGCTCCTCACCCAGCACTCGCTCCCCGAGACCTCCCAGTTCCAAGTAGGCACTTTGGAAGGCATTCTTCATTTTGTCATCAAGTGGGTACTCCTGTCCATTCAGGAGGATAGTTGAGCAGAACTCCAAGATCCTCTCAGGAGCACCCTTCATCAGCAGCACATGGGCTTGGGAGTCATCCTCCTGAAGGTGGATGGACATCTAGAGGAGAGGAAGCAATGGTGGAATAGGACAGGAGAGCAGGGTCAGGAAAGTTTTGAAGGTAAAAAAGACAGGCAACCTGTTTCATATTATCCCCTTCTACCCCACCATCCTGCACCACTGCTCATGTCAAATCAGACATAAAACCGGCCCCAGCCCCTCCCCTTTCCAGGAAATCCCAGCCTAGTATTATTTGCACATGAAACTCTATTATGATCTCAGCTAGACTGGATGCTCTCTGAAGGCAAAATGGCATTCTCATTTTCCCCCTGCTTCCTTGCTGATTGGATGGTTTGAGGGCAGAAATAGTGGGGCTGGTGAAGAAAGACAGCATAGTAAGCAGGAAAGAACACTTAGAGCTCAAAGATTGTGTTCTGCAGCCAACGTGGATGCCTTACTTGCTGTACGACTTTGGGTCAATCCACTTAATTCTGCAAAACCTTAGTTCCTTCCCTAAAACGTAAAAGGTTCTGACTTACCTACTTCAATAAGTGATTGGTGGTATTGGGGGTCTGAGCTCAGGGTTTCATGCTTACTAGCTGCACTTGAGCCATGCTACCAGCTTCAGGGGGGTTAATGAGAGATAGTTAGCTGGGCACCGGTGGCATGTGCCTATAATCCTAGCTCCTTTAGGCGGCTGAGATTGAGTTCAAGGTCAGTCTGGGCAAATAGTTCATGAGACCCCTGTCTCCAAAATACCCAGAGAAAAATGGACTGGAGGTGTGGTTCAAGCAGTAAAGCACCTGCTTTTGCAAGAGTGAAGTCCCTGAGTTCAAATCCCAGTTCTGCCAGAGAGAGAGCGAGAGAGAATTGGTAAAAACACACAAACAAAAAACAAAACCTTTGAAAACTGTGAGATGTAACCCAAAAATAGGTTAGTCACATAGTCACTCTAAAGTCACACACGAGCCTGGGTGTCCGGTAAGGGAGAGTGTGGTGTGGTAGAAAGGGGACGTGTTCATGAAGTGAACCTGAGGAAACCATAGCAAGCAGGAGAGTGCAATCAGATGGCTTAGGTTTTGCATTTTCTCTTGATCTCTGATCTATGAAAGGAACTTTATGGGATTCCTCTTGTGACTGATAGAAAATGTCTGCTATGTTGCATGTTGGGAACAAAATCACCCCACTGAAAGGAATTGTGGGAGCACAGGGGGAGGCTAGACTTTGCAGTCCAAAGGACAAGTAGGGTGAGAAAACAGTGCATAAAATGTGGTCACAACTGTTCTGTTAGAGATGGTTCAATTATGCTCAGAATATGCTTAAGCAGTTAACAGGAAAAACCTTAACTTGTTTCAGCAGAAAGCTGTGAAAGGCTAACAAAGCTCAATTTTATGAGTGCTCAATAAATATTTGTTGAGTGAGTGAAAGGCCCAGAAGTGAGAGCAAGAGGTACTTCCGCTAGTAACTTGGTCACAGAAAAATCACATCTTAGTAGAAGATTATAGATAAAGAAGAAGGAAGGAGAAACTGGAAATGCCAGAAGAGGAAATCTTCTCTGTTTCACTTCCATCTCAGGGTGGGAACGAGACAAAGCTTTGCAAACGATGAAAGGCTGCAGCCTCTACCCTTAGAGCAAGTTAATTAAGGCAGTTTACTGAGAGCCTCCCAGAACTTGTGCCTGCCACTCTGAGTAGCCAGTGGTCTGACCTATTACACATGGTGTACCACAGAGGACAGCCCTGCTATTTGAGTGACAGTAGCTCAAGAAGCATTATCATAGTCATTTTGGGGAGCATCGTTACTTGTTGGACATCCTAACAATGTTGTGAATATGTTTTACTCTTACTTTGAATCACATGGAGAGAGAAGTACCTAATTCTTTCCAAAGGCCTTACTCAGGCCTTGCCAAGCCACAAAATCCCTGTCTGGTTAGTGAAGCTACCAAATGTCAGAAAAAAAAAAAAAAAGTGGAACTGCAGCTTGCAGTTGGAGCCTAAGAGACCTATTTTACTACCCTGACTAAAATCAATTGAGACAGGAAGTATGGATCTATTTAACTCTTACTTGCTCAGTGTTCAATATAAAAATACAGGAAATTGAGTTTTTAAAGTTCTATATAGACTATGTTATTTTGTTATGCAATGGAAAGGCAAAACTGAGTTGGGAGTCTTATTTCCCTTGTTTCACATACCGGAATGTCTGCCTTTATGGTCGTGCAGAAATTTGGAAAACCTTTTCTCCCTAAGGAAAATGTCCTGGTCAACTTCAAGTCAAGGTAAGGCTATTATTCGCTACTTTCTACTGGAACTCTCTCTTCAAAATCTACAAGGATTCTTACTTGGGAAAGAAATACTGTTTCTCCTATTCCTCTATGGACTTTATTTGTTTGTTTGTTTATTTAAGACCAGGCTGGCCTCAAACGCACATATATCCTAGTCTGGCTTCAAACTGGTGTTCCTTCTTCCTCAGCCTCCCAAGGGCTAGGATTACAAGTATGTATTGACATGTCTGGCTTCTATAGATTTTATTTGTGCCACCACTCTCTGTCACTCACATTTCCTTTTCTCTTGTCTACAGTCCCTGGATAATGCATCAAAATGCTCCTGGGAAATGAAAAGCTTAAACCTACTAGAGGTCTTTAATCATCACCTGATGGCAGCTGCTAGAATTGTAGGCATGGAGGGAGAGGAAATATTTGACAGCAAATGAAATAAGAGTTCCTTGTGGACACAACCCTATTCTGCAGTGGCAAATCTCACAGTAAATACTGGTGCCACCTAACAGCTGCTTATGACTCTGACATAACTTTCACCAATCAGCCTCTACTACCTATGAACATTTCAGAGAGCATTTTATAATTTACCTTCTCTGCAGATGGCACAGGTCAGAGTTCTTTGGATAAATGCCTCTTACCTTATCAACTGTTCGTCACTTTTCCTTGGGGCAAGCCTTCCTCCTAATTGAGATACTGGCTCTCCTCTGCTCAGAGGTGCAGTTGAAGGCAAAAGCAAAACTCCTGTTCTCCCACTGATGATCCCACGCCCCCCTCCACCCCATTCTCCTACCTTTGTCAGTTCTGTACCTGGTATTTATTGGTAGAATTAAAGGGAATCTCTGCCACCTTGGGGTTTTTCTCTCTCATTTCCTTCACAGAGCTGTAAGACTGTTCGATGAACTTGAGGAGGGCTGACTCAGAAGCATCCCCTGTTGTTGCCCTCTGTCAGGATGGGTTTATATAATAAGTCCCAGAGGCATGCTACCTGGGTGGGGGGCTTACCTCTGGCCACAAGTAGAGGGGAAGATAGGGAGGGTAGGGAGTGGATAGGGAAAATCACTAAGCACAAGGAAAATGATATTTTGGGAGAAGACACTTGTTTCTTTCCCTTTAGGCCTGACACCTTAGTTATGGGCAGAGTCTCCTGATGAGGTTTAAAGTCAGCACGGTTGCAGAGGCCAGCAATTCGGGCCAGGATTAGCCAGGTAGCAGAGCCCTCAGCAAATATTTTCTCTAGGGAGAAAGAAGGAAAGAACTGTGAGCAGGGACTAGGAGAGTTTAAAGCAAGGGGTTAATCACATCCTGTTTAGTACCCAAATACACTGAGGTGATATTGCTTTTCCTCCATACCTCCCCTCTCTCCACTCAACTCTCCAGCTCTCTCTTCTTTGTCTGGACTCATTATTCTTTAAGCTCACTCATCATATCTCCCAAATCCTTCCACTCTTGGCCTACCAATACCACTAGTCACCAGTTTGATTTCACTGGTGCCAGCTGCATACACCTTCCTGTCGAACCAGAGGTGGGCCACCGTCATATGGTTCTGGGTGAGGGTGCCTGTCTTGTCTGAGCAGATGGTGGACGTGGAGCCCAGTGTCTCCACTGCCTCCAGGTTCTTCACCAGGCAGTTCTTCCGTGCCATGCGCTTGGCTGTCAGGGTCAGGCACACCTAAAGCCACCAAGAGGGGAGAGAATGGGTAGAGGGGGGCTACTCACACCACTTTGTGTTTTGGAAATTTGATCATTTTTATTTCCATTTTGTTTCTGTCTACTTTTTATAAATTCCATGTGTAGTATGGTAAAGGATATTGGGAAAGTGATTTTAGTGTGTGCGTTATAGCAACAGTTTCACTGTGTTCCTTTACCAGTGTATCACAGAGAGGGAGCCTCTTCCCCAGGATCCTTGCAGCTTTACTATTCAGTAAGCTGTTTCAAGTCCAAGCCACACCTTTCTCCCTAGGTCCAGTTTTTCCAGGGCCACATAAATAGATAGTCTTTTATTGTGGTATAAGATGCTAGATATGGAGGTACCATTATAACAATAGCTTAAAACAAGAATGGACAAGATAAAATGATGACATCAGGAAGGAATACAACAGCACTGTAAAGACTTTAGAAATCATATAAACTGTAAGATTTTGTTGATCATAAATTCAATATAAGTCAGGTGTATGCCAAGATTGCTTTAAAAGCTAACAAATTCTTAGGCTATGGTTATGCAAGTACAGAATTCCAATGATGTGGTTATCATTTATTTACATAATACCATCAGTCCCAATGTTTTCATGTTGGTAGTATTCTCATTTCTATTTTAAGAAGAATGTTGATAAACTAGAGCATACTCCAAATGGGTCATCAGCAAGACAAGGAATCTGAAGACCTTGCCATAGGAAGAATGGCTAAGGGAAACAGGATTACTTCACCTCCTACCCAGAGAGTTTGAGGAGACATAATGACCACCATCAAAAATCTATGGGGCTAGTGACTAATGATAAGAATAATCACAAAATTAAAGGAGACATGTATAAACACCTGAATGAATTCAAAGCAAATATAAATAGCCAAATAAAATAAGGAAGACAATGCAGATATGAAAGAGGAATTCATATATTCCACAAAATCAAATTAAAATTCTGAAAATGAAAAGTTCAATAACCCAAATAGAAAACTCAGTTGAAAGCCTTGCTGAAACAGTTGAAAATAGAATATAAAGATAAAGAATTAGAACACTCAGATCTTTATCTAAAATACTTAATATCTAACATACTAAGAAAGTATGAACAGAACATGCAAGATATGTAGGACACCATTAAAAGACTAAACCTATGAATTATGGATATAGAAGAAGAAGAGGTGCACACTAAAGGCATGGATAACATATTACATAAAATAATGGCAGAAAATTTCCCCAATTTTGAAAAAGAGGGAGTTTTCCAGGTACAGGAAGCTTTCAGAACACCAAATAGACAAGATAAAAAGAGAGCCTCCCCAAGACATTATAGTTAAAACACTAAATACACAGAACAAAGAAAGAATACTGAAAGCTGCAAGACAGAAGTGACAAATTATATATAAAGGGAAGCCCATCAGAATAATGGCAGATTTCTCAACAGAAACTCTAAAAGTTAGGAGGACATGAGATGATATATTCCAAGCACTGAAAGAAAATACCCATCAACCTAGATAGCAAAAGCTCTTTCATAATTGAAGGAGAAATAAAAGCCTCCCATGATACACAAAAAATAAAGTAATTCATGACCACTAAACCATTACTGCAGAAGATACTGAAAGGAATCCTACACCTAGAAGAGGAAGATAAATGCAATCATGAAAATATAAGAAAGAATAAATCTCACTACATGAGTAGATAAGCAAATGAGGATTAGGAAAGAAGTAAACATCCCAGAACAACAAAATGACAGGAAATACTACACACCTTTCAATAACAGCACTGAATGTTAACGTTCTCAATTCTCCAATAAAAAGATATACGTTGACAGGTTGGATTAAAAAACAAGACTCTACAAGAAATGCATCTCACTGACAAAGACAAACATTGGCTTAGCAAGCATGATGCCCCGAGTTCAAACCCCAGTACTGCAAAAAAAAAAAAATGCTGGAGGTATCACAATACCTGGTTTTGAATTTTACTACAAAAACAGGCATGTAGATTAATAGGATGGAATAGAAGACCCAGAAATAAACCCGTACAACTATAGCTATTTGATTTTTGACAAAGGAGCTAAAAACATGTGTTGGAGAAAAGACAGTCTCTTCAACAATGGTGCTGGGGAAAACTGGATATCCACATGAAGAAGAATGAAACTAGACCCTATCTCTCATCTTGTACAAAAATCAATTCAAAATAAACAAAATATTTTTATTTTGGCAGTACTAGGATTGAACTCAGGGCCTCACACTAGCTTGTCAGCCTCTCTGCCACTTGAGCTACACTGTCAGACCTGGATGAAGATCTTACTGTAAGACCTGAAACTTTGAAACTATTTATAGGAAAACAGAGAAAATGCTTGAAGATATAGCCATAGGCAATTATTTTCTTAGCAGGACTCCAATTGTCCAGGTAATAAGAGAAGGATTAACAAATGGAATTGCATCAAATTAAAAAGCTTCTGTACATCAAAGGAAACAAATACAGAATCAAGAGACAACCCACAGAATGGGAGAAAATCTTTGCAAACTTTGCATCAGGATTAATATAATGGATTAATAAAAGATTAATATCCAGAATATACAAAAAGCTAAAAAAATTAAAACACCAAAAGAACAAATAACACAATTAATGCATGGGCAAATGAATTGAACAGACAGCTCTCAAAAGAGGCACAAATGGCAACAAACACATGAAGAAATGTTCAACATCCTTAACTATAAACGAAATGCAAATCAAAATGACACTGAGATTCCATCTCAACCTAGTCAAAATGGCTATCATCAAGAAAACAAACAACAACAAATGTTGGTGAGGAGGAAGGGGAAAAGGGACCCTCATACACTGTTGGTGCCATTAAATTAGTGCAACCACTACAGCAGTCAGTATGGAGATTCATCAAAAAAACAAAAATAAGCTGAGCATGGTGGCTCATGCCTGTAATCCTAGCTACTCAGGAGGTGGAGGTTGGGAGGATCACGTTCAAGGACACCCAGGGCAAAAAGTTTGGGAGACTCCATCTAACCAATAATAATAATAATAATATAAAAAAGATGGGTGTGATACTGTGCATCATTCCAGCTATTCAGGAAGTGTAAGTAGGAGGAGCATAGTTCTGGCTGTCTTGGGCACAAAAGTGAGATCCTATTACAAAAATCAACCAAAATATAAAATAAAAAAATTAACTAAAGCAAACAGGGATAGGGATGTGGCTTAAGTAATAGAGCACCTGCCTAGCAAGTACAAAGCCCTGAGTTCAAACCCCAGTACTATCAAAAAAAAAAAAAGTTGGGGGTCAATGGCTCATGCCTATAATCCTAGCTACTCAGGAGGTAGAGAATCGAGGTTCAAGTCCAGCCGGACAAAAAAGTAAGACCCTATCTCAAAAATATCTAACAACAACAACAACAACAAAAGGGCTGATGGAGTAGCTCGAGTGTAGAGCAAACCTACTAAGTGTGAGGTTCTGAGTTCAAACCCCAGTAGTGCCAAAACAAACAAACTAAAAATAGACCTATGACCCTCCTATACCACTCTTGGGTATATGTCCAAAGAAGCGTAAGTCAGCATACAAGAGAGATGCCTGTACACCCATGCTTCTCACAGCCTTATTCACAATAGCCACGTTATGTAATCAGCCTTGCTGTCCAATACCACGGAGTGGATAAAGAAAATGTGATGTATACACAATGAAGTACTTTTCAGCCATAAAAAAATAATGAAAATTTGTCAATTGCAGGAAAATGGATGAGACTGGAGATCATGATGGTGAGCAAGATAAGCCAAGTTTAAAAAGTCAAATATAGCATGCTTTTGCTCATGTGTGTAATCTAGACCTAAAGGGATAACAATAATAATGATGGGACATGAACATAAAAGAGAGACTGTCTGTGGGGGAGGCAGGGGGTGGAGGGGAGGAGAAAAGGAGAGACTGAACATGATCAAAGTATGTTACATAATGTATGAAGATGGCATAATGAAACCCACTAAATACTGTTTGAAAAGGGGGATGCTAGAAAGTATAATGGAGGGGTGAGTTGATCAAAGCACATTGTATGTCTCTATGGAAAAAATCACAACGAAACTTTTATACAATTAATGTACACTGATATAATAAAATAAATCTAAGAGCCTAGACTATAGGAGAGATTCAACTTATTTTTAATCTTCAGCCGGGAAAAGTAGGATGAAACAGGACATGTATTTCTGCTCAACACAATGAAATTCAACCAGAGTAATCCAAGAATGAAATGGGCTGAGACAAAAAGGGGTATGCTCCCCATTACTAGAAAAATATCATCGTCCATGGATTTTATAGAGGATATTCAGTGTTGGCTCAAGTGTTGAATTTATATGGCCTCTGAAGTTCTTTCCAGTAGGATTCTATAATTCTAAATTAATCTTTCTCTACAAACCCATGAATAATTGAGGCTGGAGATGTTAAATGATTTGGCCAAATTCATCAGCCAGTACACCCAGGACCAGAACTCATTTTCTTTTTCCATCTCAACTTGCTTCCTATCTCTCATCAAAGAGAAAGAGCAGACACTAGAAAATATGAATCGATGAAGGAAGTCAATGCAATATTGGGAGGTAAATTATTTCTGACACTTATATATCAGGAACACTCTGCAGTTGAGAGGTTCAACAACAAAAAAGAAGCTAGTGGCCGGATGCTGGAGGCTCACACCTGAAATCCTAGCATCTTGGGAGGCAGAGATTGGAAGGATTACAATTTGAGGTCAGTTTGGGCAAATAGTTCCCAAGACCCCATCTCTAAAGAATAACCAGAGCAAAATGGACTGGAGGTATGTGGCTTAAGTGGTAGAATGCTTGCTTTGCAAGAACAAAGCCCTGATTCAAAATCCAGACCAACCAAAAAAAAAAATGTGCTAGTGATATCATTTCCCTGAATTAGTTTGTCTGCCCAGATGCCACCCTCTACCTTGTCTACTTACCGTGACAGTGGCCAGTAGCCCCTCAGGCACATTGGCCACAATGATGCCAATGAGAAAAACAATAGCCTCAAGCCAGGGATAGCCCAGGAAAAGCGAGAGACCAAAAAAAGTGACACCAAGGAAAATGGCCACTGTTGTGATCAAGTGGATGAAGTGTTCAATCTCAATAGCAATGGGGGTCTTGCCCGTCTCTAGGCCTGATGCCAGTGAGGCAATTCGGCCCATCACTGTGCAGTCTCCTGTTGCAATCACAACACCCTTGGCTGTTCCTGTGGATGAATGGAGAAGCTGTGATGTGATACTGTGATATAATAAGAAATACCTGTGTTAGCCTTTGTCCCCAATTCCTAACATAGAATTTCTAAAACTCTTATAGATAGGGTTGCTAGGGGAATATTTTTGTCTTAATATTTGGTCTTTGCCCCTGGTTCCTAAGACCTTTGTAATTTCCTGAATAATAGGAATGTCTGAACTGGGCGCTGGTGGCTCACATCTGAATCCTAGCTACTAGAGAGGCAGAGATCAGATTTGAGATTCAAAGCCAGCCCCAGGCAAATAGTTCCTGATACTCTATCTCAAAAAAACCCCTCACAAAAAAGGGCTGGTGGAGTGGTTCAAGTGGTGAGGGCACTTGCCTTGCAAGTGTGAGGCTCTGAATTTAAACCCAAGTTCAGCCTGACATAGAACTCCTAAATCCCTTAGAATTTCCTGGGTGATAAGAGAATCTTTTGTTTTAATGAGGCAATCCTTGGTGTGCTCTTCGATAGCCATAGCAAAGGAGCTAGTTGCTAGGGGGAAAGCAACATGTGATTAGAGGGTTGAGCTTTCAGCCCCACTGCCTGACTCTGAGGAGGATCTGGAATGTCTCTCAAAGACTCATGTGTTGAAGGCTTGATCCCCAGCTGGTGGCACTATTGGAAGGTGGTAGAAACTTTAGGAGGTGGAGCTTAGTTGGAGGAAGTAGGTCATTGGGGCAAGCATTTGAGAGGTATATTGGGACCTCAGTTCCTTCCTCTCTCAATCCTGGCCACCATGAGGTGAGCAGCTTTGCTCTACCATGTGCTTTAATGTTCTGCTTTGTCACAGCCCCAGAGCAATGGGACCAAGTGACCATGGACTAAAACCTGTGAAACTGTGAGCCTAAAGAAATTCTTCCTCATAAGTTGCTTATCTAGGTATTTTGTCACAGTGATGGGAGATGACTAACACAGGGGTTGAAGGTTGATGTAATGGCCAATGATGTAGTCAATCATGTCTATGTAATAATTTAAAAAGCCAAAAAGACTAGGTTTGGAGGACTTCCATGTCAGCAAACATCAGAGAGGTGCTTGCAGGGTGGCACACACCCTGCTCACATATCCTGCCCATGTGCATATCTCTTCCATCTGGCTGTTCACTTACATTCTTTGTAATATCCTCTATAATAAAAAAGAAAATGTAGGTCAAGTGTTTCCCTGTCCTAGCATGTTAATTGAGCCCAAGGAAGAGGTCATGGGAACCATGACAGCCAGTCTGTCAGAAGTATAGATGATGACCTGCTGCTTGGATTGGAGTTTGAAGTGGAGGAAAGTCCTCATCTGACGGTGTCTCCAGGTAAGCAGTGTAAAGATTGAGCCGAATTTTAGGACACCTAGTTGATGGCTGCTGGAGAACTGGTTGTTAGTAGGGAAAATCCCCACATGTTTGGACACAGAAGGGTTCTATGTTGAGTGTGGGAGAAGAGAGATTTTTTTTTTCCTTTTTTGTCAGAGACACTCAACTAAGACATGCCAACTGTGAATTGGAAATGCTTGTTATTTATTTGGTTTATACAGAGAGAAAGCTGTCAACAGTCTAAAACATGGTAGGAATGGAAGACCTACTGAAATGTCATTATATTCTATTCTCACATTTAGTTGATACAAATAAGGGTCTCCAAGTTGGAAAAATTTCTGAAGAGCTCTCATAGTTCTCCAGGATACCCAGAGTTTTCTTTCTTTCTTTTTTTTTTTTTTAAACTCAGGGCCTCACACTTGCCAGGCAGGAGCTCCATCACTTGAACCACTCTGCTAGCCCAGGATACCCAGTTTTACTGTTGCCTCCATTGTCTTCACCAGGATACCTTTAATCAGAATATCTCTGGTCCCTGAGTGTTTCTTCTTGTAGACTTTTCTTTTTTTGGAGGCATTGGGGTTTGAACTCAGGGTCTCACTCTTGCTAGGCAGGTGCTCTACCACTTGAGCCACTCCACTAGGCCCTGTATGTTTCTTGCTTTGTCAGTTTTTAGAGTCACAGGAACACTAGCTACCCTTTTGGTGGATTCCTTTGTTCCCACATCTCTTTATCTTCCAACTAGTGCTTCTCAAGTGGGAGCAATTTACGCCTCAGGGGGCAATGTCTGGGGACATTTTGGTTGCCCCAGTGGGGAGGGAGTGTGGAGGGGTGGGTACTAATACTGTTATCTCATAGGTAGAAGGCAGAGATGCTGGTAAACATTCTGCAATGCACCGGACAGCCCTCTTCTCCCACAGTAAAGAGTTCTCCAGCTCCAAAGGTCCTTAGCTGAAAAGTGCTGCCTAACCTGAGCCCCCTTCCGCTTTTCTGGCTAGAGCCAGTCTGACCCCTACTGGGTAGCATAGGCCATAACAGCTAGGTTTCTGTGTTTTTCTAGAGCTTCCTCTCCACCAGCACTGCTTCTTGAGTTAGAAGGGTGACCAACATATTTTTGGGGGGAGGGGGCTGTTTTTGGTGGCACTGCAGTTTTTGCTGGCTAAGCAAGGGCTGAGCCATGTCTTTAAGATCTTGAAGGGCAACTTGAACACATACACGATGCAGGCCACTCACCTACATGACTCGAAATGAGGGAGCAAGACTTTTTATTTATTTGGTGGTACTGGGATTTGAACTCAGGGCCTACACACCTGCCAGGCAAGCACTCTACTATTTGAGCCACTCCACCAGCAAGACTTTATTTAAAACAATTCTTCCTGCTTTACCACAATGAATGACTGAAATCCCTTCCACTAAAGTCAGAGTAAGAAAAAGGAACATATTATAGAAATAGCACTTATTTGAAAGCTAAAATGCTCCAACTTTCTAAATTACTAGCCCTTTTCTGTGGGGGAAAATTACATTAAGTTGTCTGAGACTCAGGCTCCCTTATCTTTAAATGGTATGGAGTCACCTACAAAGCTGTGAAATTGACTTTTTTTTTTTTTTTGAGTGGGACTGGGGTTTGAACTCAGAGCTTTGTGTTTCCAAAGCAGGGAATCTACCACTTGAACCACACCTCCAGTCCATTTTGCTCTGGTTATTTTGAAAATGAGGTCTTGCAAACTTTTTTGCCTGGAACCATAATCCCCCCTCCCTATATCTCAAGCCTCCCAACTAGCTAGGATTATAGGCATGAGCCATTGGTGCCTGGCTAAACTATTGTATTTGTTGGATTTTTTTTTTTTTGGCAATCTTGGGGTTTGAACTAAGGACCTCATGCATACCAGGCAGGTGTTCTACCACTTGAGCCACACCTTCAAGTAAAATTGAATGTTTTTAGGGTCTAGGACAGGCTTAGGCACATAGCAGACATCAAATATGCAGTTCTTTCTTCTCTTCATTCAGATGAGCTGAGGGTCTCCAGAAAGATGGATAAGAATCCCACATGTGATTGAGTAAGGGTGGCACTAGTCTAGCAGTTCCCACAAGCATCATATCATAGAGCAGCTGGCAGGGGTGTCTCCGTTTCTAAGGGTACCTTTAGCAGAGACCTATTCATGTCATAGACTGGTCTGGTCAGTGTTTATATGAAAGGGGAATTCTGGAAAGGTTTACGGTATGAAGCACTCTACTGATGACCTTCAAATTGGTTGACAGAGGCATTGTTAAGTCTCAGGAAGTTACTAAAGTAATTGAGAGGTGCCAAAAGGACATCACATTGTAATGAGGTGAGGGTAGGCAGCTATAGTATCACCGAAATCTATTCTGTACCACAGTTTAGCCTACTTCTAGGGGCACATTGAGGAAGCAAGCATCCCATATTCTAGGCCAGACTGGCTGCTTTATACACCTTCCATATCATCAGAGAAATAGCTCAGGTTTCCTAGAAGAGGCATAGGGAACCAGAGAGAGGCATTTTGTACCATAGCCCAATCAAGTAGGGAGGCAAAGGTAAAGATTAAAGTTGTGCCTCTAGTTTGTAAACTAGCCTAGGGTAAATTGGTCTAGGGTAAACACTACTACTTTGCACAAAAACTTCTCAATTTAATAGTCAAGAACCTCTTCAACCCAGCTCTATCTTCTTGGCCACATCTTGGATTCAGTCGTCCCCTGTTAAACCCTCATCGGCCCAGACAGACCCTGTCTCCCATGTGGAGTGCCACCACCCATTCCTCCTCCTCTTGTCTGCAGCATATACTAAGCTGATGAAAAACCCACTTCAGAAGGCCAAATCTGAGCAAATATCCTAAAATGTAAAGCAGAAATCTAGTTTATTTGAAGAAAGTTTGTTAGCTTGCATTTTTCTATTCAATTAATTTAAAAATTTTCAATTTTAATATGCCTTGTATTTTCTGGTTGGATTCTTCCTCAGTGTCTATTCAGTCAATGTTATTCTTTATAAAAACATTTTTTGGGGTTTAAACTCAGGGCTTCATGCTTGCAAGGCAGGTGCTGCACTGCTTGAGCCAGGCCTCTAGCCCTTTTTGGCTATTTTGGAAATAGAGTCTTTTTTTTTTTTTTTTTTTGCCCAGACTGGCCTGGACTGTGGATCCCCTATTTTAGGCTTCCCACTGTTGCTGGGATGACAGGCATGAGTTACCACACCCAGCTTTTTTCCTTGAGTTGGGGGTCTCCCAAACTTTTTTTGCCCTGGCTGGCCTGGAACCATTATCCTCCTCCCTATCTCAGCTTCCCAAGTAGCTAGGATTACAGAGGTGCACCACTGGCACCCAGCTCAATGTTAGCTTTTGAAGTATTTTCAAATTAGACAATTTGATTATGAGAGAGGTCTTTAGCAACCATTTAGTACAGAGCAGAGGCTCTGAGAAACCCCAGGCTTTGGAGCCAGGTTTGTGTTAGAATTTCTCATCCTTCTCCTTTCTGTGGTGAGCATGTAATTTCTTTGAACCTTAGTCTTTCATGTATGAAATAAGGATAATATATACCTGCTGTGCAGCACTGTGAGAATCAGAAAATATCTCTAGCTCTTGACATAGTGCATCCAATAAAATGCATTTATGCACTCAACAAAAAGCAGCTATTTCTGGACATTAAAAAATTTATTCTTAAACACTAATAAAGGGTTTCAATTGTATACCAGGGAGTCTTCAGGTCTCCTTAAACAGAAAGGGCAAAGGAAAGAATGACATAAGGATATTGAAGCTTTTAGTTACCAATTGATCAAAACTGCCTCCCAATTCAAAGATGCTGTATATTCTAGGAGCAAAGCCAAAGATGATTGGCAAAGCCTGAGTGGCACCTCTGGTAACTCGAATTTCCATTGCCAATGTCTTCTCTTGGAGAGGGGATAGTTAGAAGTTAGGGTTTATCTTAGAAGAATGATCTAGCTGGGGTGAATAATTTTCCTCTTTTCTGTGTCATTTTTACACCTAAACCATAGTCCATTCTCTTGATAGAATAACAGCTGACAATTATAGGGCACTTACAATGTATTAGACCTTGGGCTGAGCATTTTATGCTAACCCCATTTAATCCATACAAAAATTGATGGGCAATGACTTTTAGCATCATCATTTTGCAGATGTAGAAAGGCTGGCTTTGACTTTCACCAAAAGTCATAGAGCTCGGGAGTGATGGAGAAGCTGGACTGTTTACTAGTTCCTCCCACCCTGATACTTTAGAGGACAGAAGGTTCTTGAAATCTTTTTGTTTCAGTTGCTGCTTTCAAATCTATGCTAGTTTTGATACAATATTCACCTTCCACACAGTTAGTAGAGAAGAAGCAGAGGTTTCGGCTTTCCAGAGGGTTCTCATGGGTGAAATCAGTAGAGCGACTTTGGGGCTCTGACTCCCCAGTCAAGGATGAGTTGTCCACCTGGGATGGGAAGGAGGATAGGTTGTAAGGTAATCATGAGAAAAAAAGCAGATTCATTTATAAAGACAAATCTTTATCTGTTACCAACATCATTATTTTGGACATACAGAAACAGTCATACAACCCAGCACCTTATTACCTCTAACCTCTAATTCACAGTTGTCATTTCTCAAAATTTGGAATAATAAGATCCTTCTTTCTCTAACAAGCCCAGCTCCCCAGCATATCTTAAGATCATGGTTGGCCCTCTCCTGTAGATTTCCCCATCTCTTCACCTTACATCTTTGTGCATAGATCAGCCGAAGGTCAGCAGGAATTCGGTCTCCACCCTTCACTTCTACCAGGTCTCCCAGCACCACTTCTTTTACATTGATTTGCATCCTCTTTCCTCCTCGAATCACCAGAGCTTGCTGAAGTATAATGCAGAATTGTTTAGAAAACTATCTGCTTCTCCCATCCTTTTCCTATTCTACAATTTCTTATTCCTAGCTTCTTCCTTCTCACTCCTTCTCCCCGCCCCCTTTATTTTAACTATGTCACCCACCATGACATCTTGAAAATGTCTTTGGTAGATTGCATATTCCTACCATCACTACCTTCAGGGTCCTTCGCAATGTGACTTTGGTGGTCTTGCCATCAAGAGGAAAGGGTCTATTTCCACCCCCTAAACCTAACATTTGCCACATGACTTGAGTTGGCCATAGAATATTAGCAGTGTGATACATGAAGAGGTTAAAAGTGCTTGCATGTTGGGGCTTGCTCTGTTGTTGCTGAAAAGCCCTCAGTTCTCATATGAAAGAAGAGCCTGGAAAGAAGAGAGATCACGAGGAGATAGGACCCAACTGTTCCAGTCATCCCAACTGAGGCCCTAGACAAGAACACAAGGTCACCTTAGATGACCTAGCACCCAGCTGAGGTTAGACTTGACCACAGCAACAAGCTAGGCACAGAATTATGAAAAAGATATGTTGTTTCAGCTGGGTGCCTGTGGCTCATGCCTGTAATCTTAGCTACTTGGGAGGCTGAAGTCAAGATTGCTGTTCGAGGCCAGACAGGCAAATAGTTCATGAGACCCCATCTCCAAAATAACCAGAGCAAAATGGACAGGAGGTGTGGCGCAAGCAGTAGAGCACCTGCTTTGTAAGCACAAAGCCTTGAGTTTAAACCCCAGCCTTAAGCCAGGCACTGGTGGCTCATGCCTATAATCCTGGCTATTTCGGAGGCAGAGATCAGGAGGATCATGGATCAAAGCCAGTCCTGGGCAAATACTTTGAGAGACCCTATCTCGAAAAAACCTATCACAAAAAGGGGCTGGCGGAGTGGCTCAAAGCATAAGAGGGCCTGACTAGCAAGTGTGAAGCCCTGAGTTTAAACTCCAGTACCACCAAAAACCAAACAAAAACCCCAAACCAAACAAACAAGCACACAAAAAAACCATCAGTCTTACCAAAAAAAGAAAATGTTATTTCAAGCCACCAAATTTTGGGGTGGTTTGTTAGCCAGTAAAAACTGTTAATCTCCAAGCTGCTAGATCAACACTACCAAAACACTATCTCCCAAAACTCTTACCAAAGGAAAAAATTAAATTATGCTGATTCCTAAGAAGAAAAGCACAGGCTATAATGCTAGAATGTGATAATACTATTGGGAAATTTTGGTGCCTATTCTGTTACCAGTTTCCAGGCCTATGATTAGGAAGCCCTGTCTATTGTCATGCCATTTCCAGGTACATTACATTTTTTAAAATTTGAAAATACTTTTAAACTTTCAGAAAAGTTGCAATAATAAAAACAGTGCCTGAAACACTTACGTAACCTTTACCAATATATACCTATTAATATTTTACCTCATTTGGTTTGTCATTTGTTTTCCTAATCTCTCTCTCTCCCAGCCCTTGCAAACTAGGATATTCTCTTCTATAACTACAGTACGATGAGTTTCACATCAATATGACACTTAAGTTTACCTTCGGTATTCCAGTTTTGTCAATTGACCCAAAATATCTTTTTTTGGGGGAGGGGGGACTAGAATTTGAACTTAGGGCTTCATGCTTGCCCAAAATATCTTTGGAAGCATCATTTTCTCCTTCAGCACAGCAACAGGTCTAGGGCTAGCACTACATTGAGTTGTTGTGTCTCTTTAGCCTCCTTTAAACTGAAGCATTTCCACAGCTGTTCATTGTTTTCAATGTCACTGACATTTGAAGCATTCAGCCTGCTCACCAACTCCTGCCTTTTTAAAAATAGAATATTCTCATTTGGGTGTATGGTGTTTTCCTCACTGGAGTCCAATTGTGCCTTCCAGACTAGACTACTACTTGGTGGTGTGTCCTTCTCAGGATTTTACAGCTTTTCCTAGTACTTTTAAGGCCTAAAAGAGTACCTGGCCCCTCATCACCAGCCTCACTTGGTTCACTCAGTGTAGGAGATAATTCTCCAGGAGACTGAATAACTATGTAATTTGGTCACATTCTGCACCTTTCACTTAATTCTCCCATGCCAGTCCTACCTGTGGTACCAAGTTCTTAAAAGACTCCATGATCTTGGAGCTCTTGGCCTCCTGATAATAGGAGAAGCAGCCAGTGACGATGACCACGACAGCTAGTACGGCGCCCAAATATAGCTGGGGATGGGGAAAGACAGGCTCATCAGTGGGTCCATTTCTCCCTCTTTGTCCTCAGAAAATCAGCTTGCAAAGGTAACAGCCACTTATCCAGGTAGAAAAAAACATGGGCTTGAGTTGGAGGGCTGAGGGGCTGAGAAGAATCTGAGATAGGGCTAACACACTTGGCTTCCTGAGCTATGATGAGTGATCAGAAAAATCTCAGGTCAGAGAAGCCTGACTCTTCCTCTCCAGGATGGCTATTCACGGGTGGAGGGCAGATAGCTAGGGAGGCAATGAATGAGATGAAGAGGTAAAGTTCTGGGGAAGGAGAAAGGTTTACTGCAAAGTGCTTTGATGATCAACTGGGAAGATCATAAAAGGAGAGTTTCTGAGGATCCAGGGATTTCTAAGAGAAAGGCTAGAGGAACCAGGATGGACCAAGGGCTTTCTTAGAAAGTGCTAGACTTTTGAGATTGGGGCTAGAAGACTTCAGGAAAGCTAGGCTGTTGAGAAGAAGAGTTTCAGGGCCTAAGCAGGGACTGGGCTGGCCAGTATTGGTCGAACAGACTCACATTATCTTTAGTAGGTTCATCATCAAAATGCTGCTGGATGCCATAGGCCAAGAAGCAGAGAATGGAACCAATCCACAGCAGGAGAGAGAAGCCACCAAACAGTTGTTTGCAGAATTTGGCCCACTCTGGGGTGGTGTGGGGAGGAGTCAGTATATTGGGTCCATCTCGAATCAGGATTTCTTTTGCCTTTTCTGGGTTATGGCCCTGTGTGGAGAAGAAATGGATGGATGGAAAGCTGTGAAAACAAGAGGCGATTATAGCAAAGGGGGTGGTGGTGGTGGTGGAGGGGCCTTGCCATTCATAACCCCAGAATAGGTGGAGACCAAAGTATCTCTCTGAACATTAATCTGGAGGGTCTTCCTAGATAAGGTTTTAAAATTTTGCAGTATAGAAGGGACATCACATAGCATGCTTCCATAGGAAGAGTTTATTATTGTGGATTGACTTACACATCTTTTTGAACTTGAGTATCTGTTTTGGTGCCTAGGACTGTGATAGGTGCCGAGAATACCAACATGAATAAACATGGCCTCTACTCTTAAGAAGCTCAAGTGGGGAGATAAATATATATAAATTATCGTGTCCAAGGCTAATGCAGTGATGAGCTACAATCCATGATGTTGATAACATACTGACAGCTACACTTTGGCTCTTCAACTTGGAAAAAGGAAAAAAAACCAAACAACTAAAGTCATGAAAACATTGACTTTCATTCTAGGCTTCCTCTAAACGAACATGATAATAGAATCTACCAACCCTCTTATCTTCTTTCCAACCTCCCCTAGAAAAACCCAGGGGGCCCCAAGACTCTTTCAGGGAGTCTAAAAGCTTTTCATAATAATTTTAAATCACTGCTTTTTTCACTGTCATTCTCAAGAGTGTATAGGTTGGGCACACCTATAATCCCAGCACTCAGAAGGCTGAGGTAGGAGGATCTCAAGTTCCAACCCAGTCTGGGGTACAAACAAGTTCCAGGGCAGCCTACGCTACACAGTGAGACCCTGCCTTGGGAAAAAAAATTAATAAAGCAAACCAAGAGTGTATGGTAAATGTTACGGTCTGGATCTTAAATGCCCCCAAAGGCCATGTGCTAAAGATTTGGTCTCCAGCTGATAGTGCTATTGGGAGATGGCAGAAGAAATAGGGCCTAGTTGGAGAAAGTAGGTCATGGGGGGAGGGGTGCCCCTGGCCCTTGTCCCTCTCTCTCTGCCTCTTGTCTGTCATGAGATAGGTCACTGCTCCCTGCCACAATGCTCTGCCTCACCTTAGGCCCAGAAACAACAGAGCCAAGTGACCATGGACTGAAACCTCTGGAACTGTGAGCCAAAATAAATCCTTTCTTTTAAGTTATTTATCTCAAGTATTTTGTCACAGTGACATAAAGCTGACAAATACATGGGATTTTCCAAAGATGACATGACACATGATGTATCACAATAAATTTAAAACAGGAAAGGTATGAGAATCCAGTAGCTTCTATTTAAAAGCTAGACATGAAAGAGTTTTGCAAAAACTAGGATCACACTAGTTTTTTATTTTGGAAAATATAGTTATTTGGCCAAAAATATTTTATTATTATTATTTGGCAGTACCAGGGATTGAACTCAAAGACTCACACTTGTGCTCCACCACTTGAGCCATGGTCCTAGTCTTTTTACTCTTACTTTGTTTTTCAGATGGGTATCATGCTTTTGCCTGGGCAGCCTCAAACAGAGATCCTCCTACCTCCTCTTCTCAAGTAACTGGGATTGCAGGTGTGAAACACCAAGCCTGGGCTCCCAAAATATTAGTGGTATTAATTTATTAATATTAATGAGTTTACTATTCCTCCCTCCCTCTCTCCCTCCTTCCTTCCCTCTCTTCCTTCCTTCTTCCCTTCCTTCCTCCCTCCCTCCCTCTTCTTCCTCCCTCTCTTCCTTCCTTCTTTCTTTCACAGTGCTGGGGATCAAATCCAAGGCCTTGCAGATGCTCTTTAGAGGTGTACCTAAGTGGTAGAGCATCTGCAAGCACCTGGGTTCAATCCTAGCACTATAAATAAATCAATGAACATTTTATTTATTTATTATTTGTGTCGCTGAGGATTGAATCCAGGGCCTTGTGCATTCTAGGCAAGCATTCTACCTGAGCCACAACTTTATCCCTCTTATTATTTTTAAATGAGTTGTGAAACACTTTTCAAATTTCTGAATTTTAATTTCTAATATGGTAAATATAGATAACTGTAACTCACATAAGCTCGTTGGGGTCGATGATAAATTTTAAGAATATAATGGGGTTCTTGGGACAAAATGAGAAGAAAGGTCCTAAACCCTTTTTACTGTCGTATCTAGTTCTAAACTCTCTTTGGGGTATTTACCATTATCATTCAAGTAGTGTCCTGTGGAACTTGGCCAGGCCAAGGGTAAGAGGTATGAACACTGGGCTTGAAGTTAGGGGACTTGATTTCTAGCTCTGCTTTGTCCTGGCAGCCTCAAAGTCAGAGCTGGAGACCCTCTTCTTCCCTCAGGGAGTTCATTACTCACCATGGTCAGGTTCACAGAGTACTTGGCACTCAGCTCTTCCAAGGTCAATTTGTGATCCTCCTAAGGAGACAGTAGAGTCATCGAGGGAGAGTTGGTGACCCCAGGTCATTTGCAGGGAGAGGGGGAAAAACACTGGAGAAGAGGACAGCCCTGGTCTGTGTGATTTGCTCTTAAGGTAAGATGTTAAAAGACCATCAGGTGGAAGGTTGAGGGATATTTTCAAGGGCAATTGTCTTGGATGTTCTTACCATGAGTACTTCCTTCTTCAGTTCTTCCATATCTTTCTTCTTTTTCACTGTTTTCTTCTTACTACTTTCAGGTGTTAAGCTTGGATTCTGTGTATGAGGAGCCATGGTCTCTTTCTTCCCTTCAAGCTCCATGATGATCCCTGGATATAGCTGACCCAGCTCAACTGGTAAGAAGAAGGCAAAGACAGTGAGGGAGTGAGGGACAGGGGAGGAGGAGAGGAGGGAGTGGGCTGGAGCAGAAAGAGGGGAGAACAGTGTGGTAGGTAGAGTCAGAGGGAGTAGAAGAGCAGGGGTAACGGAGTCAGTGCAAGGGTGTGAAAAGGAAAAGTGAGGGGGCAGGTGAGGGTCAGACAGAAGAGCCTGGGCTCTGGATGTTAGCCAGGAGGTAGAACAGTGAAGAGTAGCTGTGGCTGTGGGGGAAATAAAGAGTGATGTGAGGGAAACTAGGTACCTTAGTGATGAAGGTACACAGGTGCTTAGCAGGTGGGAAGTGCAGCAGAGCTAGGAGACCTGAGTGAGCTTCAGGGAAGGTGAGAGCCCCAGTCCTAGGCCCTGTGGATGCCATGGCAACAGCCCAGGCCTGGCATCATAATGGCCTCATGGAAGTTCTAACCAAGAACTCAAAAGTCTCATCTTTGAGTTTGAGGAAAACTGGAGCTGGTTCTGTCACACAGAGAATTTGGGTCTGAGGACAAAATAGAACAAAGCTGTTTATGTCCTGTGACTTCTGGAGCCTTAAGAGATACCTCAGATAGCTGACTTAAAAAAATAAAAATAAAGCAAGTACTCTGTGTGTGTGTGTGTGTGTGTGTGTGCATATGTGTGTACTCACGCATGCTTTTTTAAATGAGGTGCACTTCTTTATCAACACCGAATTTTGGAGATCAGCTAGTCAAATAGATCAGATCTTGGGCTTTGGAATCCTTCCTGGGTTTGAATTCTGACTCCTCTGCATATCAGGTGTGTGACTTTGGGTAAATTAACTAACCTCTCTGTTCCTTTCTTTCCTTTTCTGCCTTGAAGGGTGGCAAGAATAAGAAAGTGAGGTGCTCTATGTAAAGCCCAGTATCTGTTATCTATAGTAATAGCTTGAATTTGGTATTAACAGTTTTATCTGTTGTTTAATGTACCGTTCTTCTTAGAGGAAAGCTATACTGTTCCATGTGATGACACAGTGTTTCCTCATTTTAAAATGATGTACTTATCTCTTCACCTTCTCTGACATCTCAGTGGCTTTATATGTTTTATATGCAAATTCAGATTCAATAGTATCTGAGGAGCTGAAGTAGCAATATGTTTCTGTCAATCATTTGTACAGATTTGTTAGCTGTGTGTATCACATGCGTTTTCTGTTGTTTGATATTTACTTCACTGCATTTTGGTTTGGCATGGTTTTAAAAAATATGACTCTACCTGAAAACATCTGTCTTGGTACTGATGCTATCCTCCTTCAAATTCACTATGAATGCCAGGTGGTTCACACCTCTAATCCTAGCTACCCAGGAGGCAGAGATCAACAGGATCATGGTTCAAACCCAGCCTAGGAAAATAGTTCATGAGACCCTATCTTGAAAAAACCCAACACAAAAAAGGGCTGATGGAGTGGCCTGTCTAGCAACCATAAGACCCTGAGGTCAAACCCCAGTACCACTCCCCCCCACAAAAAAAATTCACTGGAGGAAATGCTCCCTTTTTGTCTGGGTTTGCTTCCTTAGTAGATTGGATTTTTCTTCTTTATTAAAAATGTATAAAATAAAGTAATCCCAGCACTTGGGAGCCAATGCAGGAAGACTAAGAATTGGAGGCCAGCCTGCGCTACATAGCAAGACCCTATCTCAAAAAGAAAAGCATAAAATAGAAATTGGAAGTTATCCTCTCCCTTTCTCCAAACTCCCAACTCCTTCAACCTGAGGTGACTGCTGTTAACTTGCTATAGTCCTTCCAGTCTTTTCCCTATGTTTACACAAATAGAGACCTTTACAAGGAGATGTGTTTTTATTTTTTACACAGTCATTGGATTCTCCTTTCATTTATCAATTTGTCAGGTATATAAGCTTATCTTTCCCAGCATCCTCATGGTTTTCCATATTCTGTATTGACCATGACTTGTTAATCATTCCCACTACGGATGGATTTATAGGATTATTTTTCATTTTTTTTAACCGTTAAAAACATTGCCACAATGGCAATCTTGTTATAGGGTAGCTTCAGTCTCTATTTCTGTAGAATCGATTTCTGTTGCTGACTCACAGGGTACACTCATTTAAAATCTTAAAATATTCTGCCAACTGCTCCTTAAAAGGGCTTTACCTATCTACAGCCCAGCAACGAGATGCAAGATGTCTCCTCTCTATGCTGGATGACCTTTATTGGATATTTTGTAGTTTTGCTTTGCATTTCTTTATCATCTTTGTGAGCATTTTCTCTTCCTTTTATTGGCTTTCTGGAGTTCCTTTTCCTTTTTTGTGAATTGTTATTCTTGCCATTTGCTCAACTTTCTATTGATTTATTTAAATTAATTTGTAGAACCCCTTGTCATTGACATTGCAAACATTATCTCCCAGTCTTTGACAGGAGTAAAGAGAGAATTAAAGTTAAATTCATTTACACATCTTTCTGGGATGACACTTAGCCTTACATGCGAGAGGTCTTCAGAAGCAAATTTGTGGAGATAACAATCAATTGTAATTATTTTTGGAAACCCAGTTCTGATCCTTAGCTCAAAAGTTCACCTCTTCAGAGTGATCTTCTCTGATAGCACCTGCTGCCAGCTTACTGCTCCTACTTCACAGCATTGTTCACCTTCTGAAGTTATCCTGCCTGTTGATCTGTTGACTTGCTGTCTCCTCCATGACCTTTCCTGGCGTATTCATGGCTACATACCCAGACCCTGGAATAGTGCCTGGCACAGAGCTGCTGGTCTACAAACAGTTCATGAATCGATGCTGAATGAGTGATGAGTTTTCAAATTTCATCTTAATGTTATCAGATTTTGATAATGAAGCCCCTTTGGTCTGAAGTGTTTAAAATCGGTTGGGGTAAAAAGGTTAGCATTACAGTTACCTATTCATTTACTTCATAATTACTGATTTAAAAACTCAGATTCTTGCCTGATTACTCTTGCAACAGAATGTCACAATGAACATGTTATGTTTTATAAAAATATAGCAAAGATTTTGATTGATAATGAATTGACTCTTTTATAGTACTTAATTTTTATCCTTACTACAGAAGTCAAGTTTAGCTCTCCATGTTTTCATGTTTTTATTTCCCTCATCCTGCTTTTAAATTTTCTTTAACACCACATGTTGCACACACTAAATCCTGAGTGTAATTTATTTTGGTTCAGATGTGAATAGAAGCTCTTTGTGCTCTATTTTATATCTCTCTAATATTTAGGGATACATTTAAAATTGTATATATGTACCCTGTAACATTGAGCTTGGTGCTTCCTGGCTTTTGTGTTGTGGTTGATGGTGCTTTGTTTTGGCTGTCTTCTTTGGATTTTGTAGGTAATTGTGTTCTTTATACAAAATAATATGTTTTTATTTACTACACTGTCTCTTTATTTTGACCTTTTGTTGACTTTTTTGGGGGGGTGGTACTGGGCATTGAACTCCAGGCCTTGTACTTGGTAAGCAAATGCTCTAGAGCCCTTTTTGCTCTGGTTATTTTTGAGATGGGGTCTTGTGAACTTTTTTGCCCAGGCTGCCCTGGAACCATGATCCTTCTGATTTCAGACTCCTGAGTAGCTGAGATAAGTGAATACCACCTCACTCAGCTATTGGTTGAGATGTGGTCTTGTGAACTTTTTGCCCAGGTGGCTTTGAACTGCAGTCCTCCTGATCTCATCTTCCCAAGTAGCAAGGATTATAGGCATGAGCCATTAGCACCCAGTTTTTAGTTATTTTTCAGATAGGGTCTCTTGCTTTTTGCCTATGCCAGTCTTAGACCCTCGTTCCTCCTATCTGTGCTTCCCAAATAACTGGGATGACAGATGTGCACCACGGTGGCTCGTTTTTTTGATAAGATCTCTCACATTACCTTTTTTTTTTTGCTGAGGCTCGCCTCAAACTAATCCTCTGATCTCCACCTTCCTGGTAGCTGGGATTATAAGTACGAACCACTGTATCTGGCTTATTTCAACTTTACTCCTTATACAAGATTTCATATGTTGTTACTATCCTTTCTGTTGTATTTGCTGTTACTATTTTCTAGACTTCATTCCTTCCTCTCTGCTCTGAACATGATTATATTCTCCAGTATTTTTTTCCTCCAACATTTGGATCAGGTCAGGGGTAGCTACTGAATTTTACTGGTAGCCTTTTTGGAACCATTTGAAATGATTAATTATTCTTCATCAATACAAGTTGTTTAGTTACATTTTCCTGGCAATATATTTCCCTCCAGCAATAGTCAAGTTATTATATGTATTGCAAATTTTTATCAAAATGGTACTTATCTCATAAAATAGACTGGGCAACACAAAACTCTTTTCTATACTCTAGTATGGTTTAAATAATATAAGGATATTTTTTGATGACTTTGGAAAAGACTCCCCATTGAATTCTCTGGAGCCAAAAATGTTTTTGAGACTCATTTTTGTATTAAATGTCTTCCTTTAATAGTGGTCTAATCATTTCCTTTTTTGCAGCATTTTTAGCATTTTAGATATTTAGTTTGTCATCTGTCTCTGGTGAATTATCACATTTCCTGTTCTGCAGATAGAAGCAAAATGCCATGCGAAGTGTGCTCCCTGGGCCAGAGGGTGGCCTTACCTTCTCAACAGAAAGATGCTCTCATCTCTTCACTGAGAGCCTCTAGCAGATGGTTGCGTCTCTTTGCATCATTTTTCTTAACCCCTCCTACATATTTAAGACCAAGTCTTCTCCCTTTCTCTGGTTCTCATTGTATGAGTCTGTCTAGCCCCTATTGCTGCATGGCCATTGTCCACAAATTCCTGGCTCCTTCACAGCCTCCACACTTCACTAAGTCATTGGGCTGTCACAGGCTTTCTGTGCTTGCTGGTGCAGATGAATATGGCACGGTAGTGCAGAGGGCTGGCCCTGGAGCCAGACTGGCCCAAGTTTGAATCCTGTTTCTTATGCTAAGTACCTTTGAGATTCTGAGCACATGATTTAACCTTCTGAGTCTCCATATTCTCACCTGTAAATTGGAGATCAATAATACTGGATTACTGTGAGAATTCCTTTGGTTATCCAGCCAATCCTTGTTAATTGCCTAATGTGTGTTCAGACATTGTTTTAGGTGCTAAGAATAAAGGTGGTCAACAACACAACAAAAACCTAGCACAGTGGTGCACACCTGTCATTCTATGACTTGGGAAGCTAAGGCAAGAGGATTGCAAATTTAAAGCTAGCCTGGGCCACATAGTGAGTTTGAGGTCAGCCTGAGCTCTAATAGCAAGACTGTATAGCAAAGCAACAACAGAAACCAAAGTAAAACAAAAGAAGAAAAAGCCCTGTCTTTATGGAACTAATTCTGGAAGAGTCAGATAAACAAATAAAAGCGTAAGTTAAAAAACCAATGAAAAAATATATGTACATATAGATACATGTACAAATGTACATATATATGTGGAATGCTAGGCAAACCCAGGGTATCACACATGCTAAATAATTCTTTGTATGTGTGTGTGTGTGGGACTGGGGTTTGAACTGAGGGCCTCATGCTTGTTAGGCAAGTGCTTTGCCACTTAAGCCATGGCCCCAGCCACACATGCTAAATAAATACTCTACCACTGACCTACCTCCAACCTGATATGTATATATTTTTACATATTACATCTATTTATCTATCATCTGTCCATCCATCCATCTACCTACTTACATTTGAGTTAGTGAGTATTTATGAATAAAAGCAAAGAGAATGGAGCAAAGGTATCAGGAGTGTTACTTTATTAACATGGAGGTGGACTGTGGGGACCTTTCTGAGGAGGTAATGTTTAAGGAGTGATCTGAAGGAAGCCAGGCATGTGAGGGGAAAGTGTTCTTGGCAGAGGGGCCATCAACAATAAAAGTCCTAAAGTGAGATTAAAGAAAGTTTAATCAAAATTTTACAAATAAAAGCCTGATATCATTATGGCACAAAATGAGCTGCAGTTACTGCACCTGCAAGCAGTGCTATGACAGTCACCATCACTATCACCATTAGAGTTGAATAAAGGGCCAGGATAAGATTCAGGCAGGAACTGACTTCTGACTGTTACTCTGATATCCTAGTGTTTTTCATTCCCAGAGACCCCTGGAGGAACGCACACCACCCATCCACCCCTCCATCTCCAGGACACAGCATCCTTCCTTACTGCTTGTCAAACCCCACCCAAGAAGCTCATCAGTACCTCAGGTGAATTTCAAGGCTGCATCCACATTACCTTTGTCCCCTAAAGATGTCCCCCAGAACAAGCTCTGTGTGTAGTATAGACTATAAATCGGTACTGATTGTCACATTCCTCAACAATCACCCCCTGCCCCTACCTTGTCAAATTAAAAGTGGCCTGATTTTCATCTGGAACAGAGAAAGCAGAAGTGGCCATAATGTTTGGGCCCTTATAGACTCACATGTTTTTTGCTGTCCTGGACAAGACCTTCTGGCTCTTGGGGTAGAATTGGCCATGAAGAAGGGTGTCCTCCTGTATTTTTTTTTCTAGGTTATTTTGTAGTCTAACTTCTTCCCCTCTAGCTTTCTGTACCAGCACCGTCTGTTCCCTGATCACTTGTGTTCTCTGTATTGTTCTCGCTACAAGCCAAGTCCTGTCTCAGCATACATACCAATACTGAAATTTGGGAGGAGGCAAGTATGAATATAAAAATCAATTATGGAAGAGATTTCTTTTTTCATAAAGAAATGCAACTTTATTATTTTCAAGTACATATATAGTGCCTCAAACTAGTGACTTACAAGTCACCAGTAAAGATCCTGTAGATGTTTCTTTAACAAATACATCAGGATTGATAATTAGCCCATGCATTTGCTACTTCTAAATGGATATTCCTAAAGTGCTTGTAAAGTCTAGTTTTAGATAGGCTAACTGTGCCACCCCAGCAATACTGCCTATGCTTTTAATTTCCTAAACAAATGCCATTTTTATTGATTGTGCACAGATAAATTTTGCCCACAGTCCATATTCTCAAATTAATCAATCTCAAATAAAAGTGATGGTATTCCATTTAGATTTCTAACACAAGGCAATGACTCACTTATTTCAAAGTACTTCTGATAAAGCAAAATTCCAGTGCAATGAGATAATAACCATTGGGAGGCTATTTATGGACCTGACCTAAAATTTGTCTTTTGTCCTTCCTTGCTGCCTTAGGCCTTCCATTTTCCTTAGGTGTCTGTCTAACTTTCTTGGCTTCTCTATTTCTCTATGGAGGACATTCCCAGTGTCTTCTAAGCCAGGCTTAGAGAATGGGCAGAACTGCCTGCACAGCAAAAGTGTTAGCTGGAGAGGGTTAAAGGAAAGAAAAGTATCTACCATAGGAACCTGAAGCCAACTCCCCATCTCAGAGTAAGTGGGCACAATGATCATCAGTGTGAAGGGCACTTGTGTCTGGGGAGTGACCTTACTATCTGAGGACTCAGACAGGTCTTAATATTTTCCCTCTGTCCAAAGGTTCTGGCCATGTCATGACCTAAGCTGATTCTGCATATCCCCGGAAGACAGGAATGTTCTGGAAACTTCACCCCAATTCCAGCCAATGGCCAGGATTCCTTTTCTGGGGCTGGCTTGGCAGTTCTGGGAATGATGCGGTTTCATCAGGGTGGGCATGGAGTTGGAAGGGAGTGGGGACTGAGAGAGAACTGGCAGCTGTCTGGGGTCCAGGAACAGCATGGAATGAATACCTGAGGACTTAATATTCTAAAGGGTGGGGTGTTGCCAAGAGCATGTGATTGAGACAGCTGGAGCTACTGTGACATCTGGGCCTCATGGACCTAGAGGACCACCAGCCAAGAGCCAGAGGGACATTTGGTAGCACACAATCTGGTCCTATCGCTGCTGCTACTCTGATGAGATAGGAGTTTGGCCTGGGATAGTCTAAAAGGGCAGAGCTGACGGCCATGCCATATACCTCAAGACAAGTCCAACTTTTGGTCATTAGTGGTATATCTCTCCTTTCCCGCCTCACTTCCTTTGCTGTCTCTCCCCCCAACCTCCCACCTGCTGCCAGCTTTCCTCTTGAGTTTCTAACTGGCCTTGACTGGGGGAACAGGCCTGGCCTCTCCAATCAGCTTCCCTTTCTGGCCTAAGGCTCTTGCACTCATGGGAGGAGACTTTGTAATTTCAAGGTCTGAGGGGAAGCAGAGGGGACAGTCAGGCAGGAAGCTAAGGAGGGGTGAGAGCATAAGGAGCGTGGAGACATAAATGGACATGTGGTGATCTGAGAGGGTTTCCTTCTTCCAGATTACACAGGTCTCTGCCTTCAGATGTTGACTATTTGAGTAGGAGTGTGGGTGAAGGGCTAGGGCATGGGGAGGGCTGGGGTAAGCCCCAATTCTTCAACATGGTGGAGTGGGATGGAAAAGGATCTGGGCAGGGGACCCTAACATGTGTTCACAGGTCTACAGCGTGATCATTCCAAGCTTATTTACCCACTCCCATCAAGTTAGCCTGCTGAATTGCTTTACTCTCTCCCAAATCATTCCCCAAAACACCACCCCAGGCTTTTCCATCTCACTACACCACCTTCCCTGCAACATTTCCAGAGCACCCCATTTCTCTGGTACCCTCCTCTTCTTTCAGTGAGCTCAGTAGTATGTCTCCTTCTCCACCCAGCCTGTTAGAGAGATTGGAGTAAAGGTGCAGTGTAAGCTCAAAAGGAAGCAAGAGACCAGTGTGTTTGTTGGGGTGGGGGTGGGTGGGTGGGGAGGAGTGTTATGTAGCTTAGGCCAGGTGGAAAGAGAGGCTTGGGGGGAGGAGGTGGAGGGAAGCAGCTGCAGAAGGGGAGGAAGGAGAGACTTTGGGCCATGGGCGGGGCTGTAGGTTAGAGGGAGGAGAGGAGGAACCTGTCTTCAGGGAAGACTTGTATTTAGCACTGTGGAGGCTAAAAATGCAAATGCCTACAAGGCAAATGCCTACAGGGCTCTCAGGTAACACATGTGACTGTGGGAGCAGGTGTTGTGAAGTCACCAGTGTTTTGAAGAAATGAGGCTAGAGGACTAAGAGTTCTGATTTTTCAGAAGTCAGAAATTCAGATTTTATGTGGAAGCCCCTAAATTGTAGATACTACGCCAATTAAAAACCACACAAATACAAAATAGTGGGCACGGTAAACGAAACATGACTGTATTTGGTTTGTAGGCCATGCCTTTTTAACTCAATTAGTGATCAAAAATGCTTGTTGAAAAAAATAAACAAACTCCTGATTGATGCCTGGGAATCAGGAGGTCTGGGTTCTAGTGCCAGCTCTGTGACTCCTTGCCTTATGACCCTGAACAAGTAAATTCATCTGTGTGCCTCCCCTCTTTATTTGTAAAAAATGGAGGTGAGGTGACTAGATGATCTTGAAGGGCCCTTCTAATTCAAATATTCTGTGACTTCAGGAGAAGGCTGGGACCTTGGAGCCCCATGGTCAATTAGGTGGGACATAGAATCTGAGAGGAAGCGGGCAGGAGGGCAGGTTCCTGGGGCTTGGGGCCAGGATCTAAGGGCTCCAAGGAGCAGGAGCTGGGATGCAAGGTGGGAGTGGGGTGTGGGTATGGAGTTTTGGAGTGGGATACAGGTGGGGTGGAGGTACTTACCCCCAGGATATCGCCGCAGGATAAGCTTTCGGACCTCATCATAGATGAAGATGAGGAGACTGTAGGGGAAGGCACAGAACCACCAAGTAACCCTAAAAGCAGTGGAGGAGAGGGTCAGGAGCCTCAGGAGTTGGCACATTGTCACACAAAGTAGGATTCAAATGATTAGAACTTGGATCCTAGAGAGGGTCCAGGGCATGTCTGTGCCACTCACTTGGCCACCTTAAGAGACACTCACTTGAGTGGGTACATGCGGAGGGCCACCCCCATGCCTGGGCAGTAAGACAGAAAGGCAGCCAATGCTGTCTCCTCCAGGAGCCCAAAAATCAGGATCTTGTTCCTGGAAAGACAAAGAAAGATGAGTTTGAAGGTGGGTAGTGAGGGAGAGATTCAGGGACACTCCTGAGGGGACAGAAGGGAAAAGAGAAGAAATGTGAGGGAAGATTTAGAAATGGCATCTTCCTATGTCCTCTTTAAACACCCTCTTCTCATGCTTTATGCAATCAAAGAAAAAAAATTTTGTACTTACTGAGTTTACCTCTAATTATTGTCTATCACATTCATTACTTGTTTTTAATGTATTGGGTGATGTATTCTGTACCAGAGATACAGTGACCAACAGGGACTTTCCCTCATGCATCTTATAATCTTGTTATTGCTCCAGGTAGATGCTCTGGGAAAGTGTCATCTCTCCAACAAGATGCTTTGAAAGGATAGGTTAATGGGGCACTCTTATAATCCTAGAGCTCAGGAGGATTGTCAGTTCAAGGTCAGTCTGGGCTACATAGTAAGACCCTGTTTCAAAAACAAACACAACCCACAAACAAACAAGGTTCTTTGAAAACTCCTTTGGTGCAGAGCTTATGCATGTCTTATATTTCTGTGTTTCTTACAACCCTCATGGTGGTTCATCAAAGATATTGAGTAAAGAAGAGGATGTTTCTAAAGTACTTAGCCCAGGGGACACTCAGTGGTTAACATATGTTCACTACATCAGAACTGGAAAGCAGACCAGAGCAAGGCTCTGAGGGAAGTTTCTGGAAGTCAGACAGGTGGAGCCTATTCTCAGCTCTGCCACTTCCTGGCTTTGGATGGTAAACAATCTCAACCTCTCTGAGCTATGTGCTCCTTCTCTGTAAAAAAGATTTTACCTTTATATCATCGAGTTGCTGGGGGATATTAAGGGAGATGTTATATGGAAAGCTCTGGAACACAGAAAGTCATCAGTCATATTACTTGATCCTTTGTAGTCTTATGCACAATGCCTCTTTATGACTGAAGCCAAAGGTTCCCCAACTTTTCACTCACCAATGACTCTCTTGTTTTTCTTCAGTAAAGGCCACATTTAAATGATTTTTGTCTCTCAAGTTGCATTTGTTAATTAGTAAATAATATACTTCCCTATTTAAAATTTGTTAGAAATATTCATGACCTCCAAACAGAAACTTGTAGATCAGCATGTAGTCACTGTACTTCATGATATATTTCATAGCTTTTGCTAAAAAATAACGTTAGCAAGCCTGGCAACCTTCTCACATATAAGTGCTCATTTCATACATAAAGCTTTTTGAAGTAATACAATTGCATTTCTGAAGTCCCCCAATGGCCCAAGGACCTATGGTGAGGCCCAGGTGCTGGGGCTGCCTCTGGCCAAGGTATTAGCACTTCTTTCCCTGTATCAGCCAGAATCATTTTTTCTTTCTCATTTGCCTCTCACCTGGGCTGGACTTAGCTAGTTTGGCTGAGATCTTACTTTCCTATGTCACCCAAGTGCTGTACCCCAGTCCCAGGTCCCAGGACTATACCATTTCTTAGACTTTCTGGGAAAAAAAAACAAAAACAAAAAGTAACTTGGGAATAGTGGCCATTGTTTATACTAGGAGGACACTTTCAGCACTCAACTCTCATCCATGCCAGAATCACAAATTATTGCTTTGCTTTTCTAATAAGTGAACAGACTCTGTGACAGGCGAACCACCACGATGTAGGCTGGGAGCTGAGAGTTTGGGTTTTAGAGACAGGTCTGGTGTACCATTAGTACTGGGTGACTGCAGGCACATCATTTAACCTTTTCAGGACCGCTTGTCTATGCAATGAACAATAATATTCACCTTGTGGTGAGGCACTTGGTACAGTATCAGGCACATGGTACCATGCTGTAAGAAGGCCTGAATCTGCCCACAGGTAGATGTAGCATCACAGGGCAAGTGCCATACACTAGGCTTCTGGCCAAGTGGTGGTGGAGAATGCAGGACACCCTGGATTTAGAGTTGTGCAAAGGTCAGAAGTGGGTGCTACTAGAGTAAGAGATGGGGAAAGGAAGGGAAGCAGGGAGGAAGAAAGGAAAGGAAAGGAAAGGGGAAGAAAGGAGAAAGGAAAGGAAAGGAAAAGAGGAAAAAGGAAAGGAAAGGAAAAAGGAAAAGAAAGGAAAAAGGAAAGGAAAGGAGGTATGGAGAGAAGATGAAAAGGAAGGTGGAAGGAAGATCATAAACTAAATTTTAGGAGCAAAGTTAGAACTTATTAGAACTATTCCTGTCATTCATCCTGTCTTTCACCTATTTCAGATCTGCTATGGATGAACAGCTGGGTAATTAAAATCATATGAGCCCTCCCAGACCTAGGCCCAGGGGTTTGAGGTGATCTGGCATTGGAATCCTGGCCTATGTGGGTTGGTGACCCTCCTCAGAACACTTTGGGTGGGTGGGTACCAGTAGGGGTTGGTGCTCACTTCATGCCCTGCTGGAAGACGGAGTTGCGGCGGGTCTTGCAGATGATGAGGTCGGCCCATTGCACTACTACGATGCTGGCAAAGAAGGCTGTGTGGCATGTGAACTCCACCACCTTCCGCTGCTCGTAGGTCTGGGGGAGTGTGGACAGAGAGAGGTGAGAGTGTCAGAGGAAGAGGTAGGACCAGAGTACAGGATGGTTTCAGGGCAATTGTTAAACCTGGTACCTAATCTACACTTTGCCCTCAGTTCCACTGAGGAACTGAGGCCACTAAGTTCTGGCCACTCTTGTGAGGCATTCAGCCCCTTTGTACATGTGCACCACACTTACCCAGCCCTACTTACCCACTCCTGTCCATAGCTGTCCTCCAGGTCGTTCGTGGTTCGGTCGTCCCAATCAAGGCGGATTCCCAGCAGTCGTGATGGCAAGAAACCATTCTCTGCCAGGATCACAAAGTAGGTAAAGAAGCCACCCAGTGCCTGGATCATCCCTGTGAATGTTGGGCAAACAGCAGGACCTGGGTCAGAGAAGGAAGCAGAAGGGGCCCACCTGCAGGACCAGAGATGGAAGTTCCTGGCTCTTGGGGCCCCTGTCCTGGAATTTTGCTTGGGGTTCATCTCTACAGAAATCTGGAAAAAGAAGCTGTTGAGAGTTCCCTCCCAGTCCCTGGGCTTGCATACCGATTTGTCCATAAGCCATGCTGATAAGTCGCTCATTCACCAGCTTGTCGGTCTGGGAGTTCCGTGGTTGCCGCTTCATGATGTCACTTTCAGCTGCTTCATAGGCCAAGGAGATGGCAGGGACCTGTATGCATAGGACACAGGGTGGGGATGGGGGGCATTTGAAGGGATGTGGGAGACAACAGGAGAAGCAGTAGATCAGCAGTGAAAAATCTTCAACATGATTCAATACACATTAAGATCCTATTCCCCCACCCCCGTCCCCCGGCTTCTCTTTAACAGTCACAAACTGGTCAGCTGCCCTGCTGCAGCTCCATCTGCTGCTCACCCCCCCACCCCTTGGGCTATGTGACTGCCTTGCCTCCCCCCTAGTCCTCTGGCCTCACCATATCAGTGCCCAGGTCAATGCAGAGGATGGTCACAGTGCCCAGAGGGAGGGGGATGTTGGCAATAATGAACAGCAGGAAGGGGGTGATCTCGGGGATGTTGCTGGTCAGGGTGTACGCAATGGACTTCTTCAGGTTGTCAAAGATCAGGCGGCCTGTAGGGAGGTTCTGAGGATGTCAGAGATTAGAAGGACCCTCCCCACCCCAGCCTGTGAGGTGTGGCTGCCCATTTTCCTGAGAGAGGCAGGTGTTATGTTTGAGGGAAACTAAAATAGCCTTGGGCTGCCTAGAATCCTGAATTGATTCTTCCTGTTGGTAGAAGGCACAGGCAGCAGAAGGGCTGGCTTCAGATATCCTGGATGCCACCCCAACCCATGCAGCCTTCTCACCCTCCTCCACGCCTGTGACGATGGAAGCAAAGTTGTCATCCAGCAGGATCATGTCGGCTGCCTGCTTAGAGACATCAGAGCCAGAGATGCCCATAGCAATGCCAATGTCAGCCTTCTTCAGAGCCGGTGAGTCATTCACCCCATCTCCAGTCACTGCCACAATGGCTCCCTGGAAAGATGATAATGCCAGCATTTAAGGATGAACCTCCTGCCCAAGCAGTCCCTGACTTTGCCTTGTCCCTAACTCCTACCACCTGCTCACCTGCCTCTGACATCCCTCCACAATGATGAGCTTCTGCTGAGGAGAGGTCCGAGCAAACACGATCTCTGTGTGGTCCCTAAGGATCTCATCCAGCTGCTCTGGTGTCATGTCCTTCAGGTCTGAGCCATGCACCACACACGCCTTGGCTTCTCTGGAGGGTAGAAATGTTGGTGGCTGACTACTGTGCTCATGTCAGTCTCACTGCCTCTCCTCACCATCTCTGGGCCTCAGTCTACCTGCTAAGTCAGGTTTCCACTTTGCCTCAACACCTCTCTCTCTCAATGCCTTGTTCTTACATCTATCTCTCTCTCTCTCTCTCTGAGGAGGTAACACTATATCCTCACCATGTGGCATCACCACAGGCATAAGTACAGTTTGGTAGGCTGTGTGCTAATTCCTTCTTCCCACTTCCACAGCAACCTCACAATGTGGACAGAATTCTAATTTTGTAGTTGAGAAAGTGGAAGTTCAGGAAGGCAAAATGACATCTCCAAGATCACATAGCTTATCAGTGTGGACATAACTCAGGACTGAGAAACTAATCACAGAGGCATCAGAGATAAGGCCTTAGGCTAACCATCTGAATAACCCCAGGGCGCACTCAAGGCCTCTGTGGGGGAAGATGTGTTCATCTGGAGCAGGAGTTCTGCAAAAGGCCTCACCTGGGGTTGACTTGACTCACAGGAATGTTGAGCCGAGCTGCAATGTCCTCCACAGTCTCATTACCTTCTGATATGATGCCCACACCTTTGGCAATGGCCTTGGCCGTGATAGGGTGATCCCCGGTTACCATGATCACCTGGTGGGGAGAAGACAGAAAAGGAAAGCAATATTGAATTTTTCTTTTCTTTCCTCAAACCAGGGAAAGCTAGATCACCATAGATGTTTGAGGCTGGTAAATTCCAACCCCAAAAAATGGAAATGTGTGCATGTGTTTTGGGGGGGTAAGGCAGAAAGATAGTAACAAGTTGTGTTCAAGTTGTGTTCAAGAGATGAGACACAGACATAAGTTTGCTTAAATGAAGGAAAGCATCCATGACAGTGACAAGTTAGTGAAGGTCCCTTGGAAGAGAAGCCTGGGGTTTTTTTTTTTTTTTTTTTTTGGTGGGACTGGTATTTGAACTCAGGGCTTTGTGCTTGCAAAGCAGGGGCTCTATCACTTGAGGCACACCTCCAGTCCATCTTACTCTGGTTATTTTGGAGATGGGATCTCAACTATTTACCCAGTTTGGCCTCAAACTGCATCTTCCTTTTCTCAGCCTCCCGAGTAGCTAGGATTACTGGTATAACCCACTGGTGACCTGCTGAAGCCTGGTTCCTTTAGGAGAATTTTTAGGAGTTTGGATTTCAATGGGATATGAGGCAGTCAGAGATGGATGGGGGCTCCCTTATTTATACAGATGAGAAAACCAAGGCTTTGTGAAGCCATGATTTGCTCCAGGTCATAGGGACTCAAAACATGACTTTCTTAGTATCTAATGTGATTGCTGCAGAAATCTAAGTAGGGATAAGATGGAGAAAATGGCCTGCTGCCACCATCTTGTTCATTTGCTTCCAAAAGCCCTGTACAGTGTAGGAAGAAGGTGATTTCCACCTTAGGATAATGTTCATTGCTATTGGAGAATGGATAGGGTTACATGGGGACAGTGGTTGGTATTTGAAAGGCCAAGTAAGATGCTATTATCACCATAAAGTGATCAAAGCTGGATTAGGGTAGCATTTGCATATGTGGGTTTGTGGGGAAGTTCCCACAGATCCTGAGAAGGAAACCTCTTCAGGCCCCACTGCTTTCCCTCCCACTCCTATCACTCCACTGAAATGGTCCCCCAAAGGCCACATGAGCCTCCCACTGAATAAACAAAAGCATCTTTGCAAACCTCACCCTCCTTGACCCTCTGAGACATTGTCCCTCGTAAGCACTTCTCTTGAAACCTTATGCTTCCTTGGCTTCCAGAACTACTTTATTCCTGGCATGTTCTTTCCAGCCTCCTCAGGATGGTAGCCTAGGAGAATGAGCAAGCACTGACTTTGAAGTTGGACAGGAAACCTAAGTAAAAACAGTGACCTTCTCCACCTGTAGGATCTTAAACAAGATAGTTTGCTGAATCTGGGCTTAATGGTGGGGATGAGTGCCACATTGTCATGATGATTAGGTAGATGCCCAATAAATGTTAGCTGTGATCTTCGATACCCTCTCCCCTGTTACTGGTTTCTCTTTTTCCACTTGCTCATAAATTGGTGTGGCTGAGGCTTTCATTCTCCCTCCCTTTTCTTGACTTACATTCTCTTCCTGGGCAGTATAATAAAATATACTAGCAAGCCTTTAGTGTGTGCCTATTTGCTAATAAGATGCAAATCTCCAGTCCTGACCCTCTTTCTTGAGTTTTAAACCATATTCCAACTGTTCCTGGAATCTCTCTCTGTGTTTCTTTTTGATGCTTCAAATTTAAGGTACAAACTGAACTCTTATCTCTACTCTCAACACCCCCACCAAACCTGCTCTCTCCTCCCTCCCTTATATACCATCTGCTCTATTCATTCTGTCACTCTCTCCTATCTTAACTCCCATATCCAGTTTGGTCATCAAGTTCTCAAAACATGTCTCAAATGCAACTATTTCTCCAATCCTTTGTTGTTGTCCTAGTTCAGGTCATCATTTCTTGCCTTAACTATTGTATAGCCTCTTAACCTGTCTCTCTGACTTCAGTTCTTTTCCAAACCCAGTCCTTCCTCTGTCCAGATAGCCTTAAAGCACATCTGTGGTCCTCTGTGACCCACAGGTTAAAGCTCAAGTCTTGTATTTAAGCAAAGTCCTTCCAACTGGACTTGACCCAACATTCTAAGCTCCTCAATGCTGTACCCACCTCCTGCTGACCACCCCCCAATATAGGCAAGTCAGGGTACGTGCTGTTCCCTGGTCTTGCCATGCCTTCCTCTCCCTTACTGCCTACAGAATCCTCTTCAGCCTTGAAGATCAAGGCTATCAAACCCTGTCCTATTCACTGAGACAGAATTAACTGTTACATGATGACTTCCCATAAAGTCCTTGTCCAGGTCTCTGTGCTAGTTCCCACCACTGCAAGAGGCATCTAACCTGGCAGGAGGAGAGCTTGGGCTTCCAGACAAGCTGACTGTGTTTTGTATTCCCAATTAGCTATTTACCAGCTCTGAGTTTCCTTTTTTTTTTTTTTTTTGCTTTTGTGAGACTGGGGTTTGAACTCAGGGCTTCATGTTTGCAAAGCAGGTGCTCTACCACTTGAGCCACATCACCAGTCCATTTTGCTCTGGTTAATTTGGAGATGGGGGAGGTCTCACGAATTTGCCTGGGCTGACCTTGAACTGTGATCCTCCTGATCTCAGCCCCCAAGTAGTTAAGATTACAGGCCTGAGCAATTGGTGTCCAGCCATTTGTTTTGTTTTTAAATGTGGGAAATCATGCCTACCTTAGAGAGTGAGTGGTTGTAGGGTTCAGAATTCATACACATGTAGAGCACCAAGTTCTCTGGTGTAACGGTTAAGAAACAGAAGACTACTTTGGTTCAAATCTTGGCCTTGTGACTTAGTAGCTATGTGGCCTTGGGTAAGTTACTTTGTGCCTCAGTTTCCCTCTCTGTAAAATAGAAAAAATACTAGTGCTTTCTCAGAGGGCTGTTGTGACAGTTAAATGAAATCATACAGGCTTAGTGCTTAGCATAGTGTCTGATTCATGCAAAAGTTTTTTAAAACTTTGGCTTTTTATCAGTGGCTAACCCATAGTAGGTGCTCAATGGCTCTAACTATTACGATTGTTTTGTGACAGGCTGTAAAGACATCTGTTTCCCCTGAGAGACCATGAGATGTGGGGCCTGTGTTCTATTCAATTTGGATCTCCAGCGCCTTGCCATGACCTGGCCCTCCAGTGGTCAGGGTGTGTTGCACTGATTTGGGAATCTGTGAGATGCTGAAAAAAAGAAGACCAAGGATGATACCAGAATTGGTAACCAAAAAAGGTAGATGGCAAAGAGCTGTCTTGGTCACCAGAACTTGACCAAGATGGTCACTTCACCAGTATGGAAGTGAGGTTTGTTTGTTAACTCCTACACCTTGCACAGTGTCTGATGCACAGTTGATAAACAGTAAATATTTGTTGAATCAGGAACAAACTTAGCACAGAGGAGGGAATGGTGTGCTTGAGTTGGGGGCAGTCTATGGGGTATTGAGGTAAATGAAGGGAAGCAGACAAGAGTTTGCTAATCTTACTCCAAATGGGTAGAGACAGAGGGGGTACTAGTTGTGAAAGGTCATATAAACAAGTCTCCAAGAGAGGGGCGCTCAATGAAATTGGAAGAGAAGAGTACACACACAGTTAAGTCAGTGTGCTGTGCCAAGAGGACCAGCATGGGGTCCACCTTTCCCTGCAGACAGACAGCTTCTCTTCTGGGTCAGTGGGAAGGAAGCCACTGGGGTCCTGTCTCTCCAGTGCAGCAATGCTGTAGTCCCTTGACTTTTGGCATGAAGGACGCAAGGACAGAGGGAAAGAAGGGAGGCTAGTACCTTGATGCCTGCACTTCGGCATTTGCCCACAGCATCTGGCACAGCTGCCCGAGGTGGGTCAATCATAGACATGAGCCCCACAAAGCAGAGCTTCTCCGTGGGAAAGTTCAGCTCATCGGTATCGAATTTGAAGCCCCGGGGAAACTTTCCCGAGGGCAGGTTCAGTTGACAGAACCCTGAGGAGAGGCCGAAGGAAGGAGTGAGAGTAACAAGGGCCTGGACATTTCCAAAGTCCCTCACCCAGGGATGCTACAGAGACTTGGAAATCCCTTTCTCAGCCCTGTTCCCTATTTCTGGCCCTCACCCAGCACACGTTCTCCCAGTCCTCCGAGTTCCATGTAGGCATTTTGAAAGGCGTCTTGCATCTCCTTGTCTAGAGGAATCTCCTTGCCCTGTACCAGGATGGTGGAGCACCGGTCCAGGATGCGCTCTGGGGCACCCTTCATCACCAGTACGTGGCCCTGGGGGCTGTCTTCTCGCTCATGGATGGACAACTGGAGAGGGGAAAGGCAATTACTGGAAAGGGGGACATATTTGGGTGGCTCCAGTGCCCAGCACAAGGTCTAAATACAGAGCAGCTGCTTCTAAGGAAACCTTCCTTAATAAAATAACCCAAATTCATCAAGGATTCTCAGCAAAGGGAGAATCTGCGTGTGGAAGGGTATTTCCAACTTGAGAGTCACTTCCATAAGACAGTGATTCACGCAGCAAATGGTTATTAGGGTCAGTTAAGATAGGCACTGTGCTAGGGATGAATAGCTCCCATTAGTATCCCCACCCAACACCAGCAGGGAGCTTTACCTCCACAGCTCATACATAACATAGCTGAAACTGTTCCTGACATTTAACAGGTGCCTAAAGACGGAAGGATACCATAATGGAATTACAGAAGTGTGCTTCAATTAAATGGGATGGCAGAGTTGAAGGACCATGATGGGGAGCTTTGGGAAGATGAGTTGAGATGAGTGATAGGTTGTATGTAGTAAGGACTATAGCAAGGTTTGGGAGTTAAGGTATGATTGCAACCAGACATGCAGTCAGACAAGTTGTCCCTGGGGGAGACGGGTGAGGAGACACAATCTTCAGATGGCCCTGTTAAGTCATTCTATGGATTCTCCTTTGGCTTTGTCTACTCCCCCCATTTTTGTTCCTTTCTCTTCCTCTGTCCCAGCGGCCCAACAAGACCTGGTACTTGTTGGTAGAGTTGAACGGAATCTCTGCCACCTTAGGGTTCCTGTCCCTCATCTTCCTCACTGAGCCACAGGATAGCTCAATGCACTTGAGCAGAGCTGACTCAGAGGCGTCACCAGCTGTATCCCGCTGTGAGAAGAGAAGAAACTTCAGTATCACAGTCGGGGAGGGAAAAGAGTGGGGGATCAGGTGAGGAGGGCATGGAAGTTCCCAAGACAACCTCAGGGTGTGTGAGGGAAAGCTGGGAATCAGCCAGGGGACTTTGGAGACATCCCTCCAAACATACTTGTGTGTGCGCTGGCTGACCCCTACCTTAGACACAGAGATGTTCTCCTGCCCAGCCTTGAAGACAGCACGGTTGCAGAGACCAGCAATCCTAGACAGGGCTGTCCATGTGGGGGATCGTTTGTCAAAAGTGGCCCCTGGGAGAAAATGCGAGAAGCAGGAGCTTGGCTTCCCTTTAGAGCATTATCTCATCCCCAGCTACACTGCCCTTCCAGTGCCACTGATCCCTCCACTCTGCCCTTCCAGTGCCATTGATCCCTCCACTCGCTCTGGAGCACCCAATCACCAGACTGATCTTCAGTGGTGTCAGCCTCATGGATCTGGTTGTCAAACCACATGTGAGCCACCGTCATACGGTTCTGGGTGAGGGTGCCTGTCTTGTCTGAGCAGATGGTGGACGTGGAGCCCAGTGTCTCCACTGCCTCCAGGTTCTTCACCAGGCAGTTCTTCCGTGCCATGCGCTTGGCTGTCAGGGTTAGGCACACCTGGTAGAGAAGAGAGCAAAAAAGGGTGAAGTCTAGAGCACAGATGTCCAAGACTTTTCCCTCAACTGTAGCTTTATTTCTTCTTCCTTAATCCAAATCCACAAATATGAATGGGACCTAATGGTAAGTAGTTAATGTGTTCAACATAGGAATATTGAATGAGATCATAGGTACATACTAAGGTAAATGCCCAGCAGGGAGTTGAAGATATTTGATTAAAACTTCAGAGAAGGCACAGGAATGTGTACACACACAGTGGCACTAGAAACTGTGGGAGGAAATGGGTTTATTTTAGAGAACTGGGGTTTGAGAATCAAACTGGGAGAAGAAGGAACAGTTGCTGTAGGGAACAGAGAACAAGAGAACCAGGATAGTGACATGGTAGTTGATGAAGGATGGAATTCTAGAAGGGTAGACAGCAGTATCCATTTCAGCAGCAGAGTTAAGGACAGGAGCTAAGAAATGTCACTAGATTTGCTAGTAAGTTATTGGTGACCTTTGAGAGAGCCTTTATAGGCAAGTTGGCCAGGATAAGACCAACACTGCAGGGGAGAGAAGAGCACATGGATGGTGAGAAAAAGCACTGTGACAAACTCTAGAGGAGAAGTGCCCAGATATAGCCCAACCTGAGATTTTTTTCAGACTTAAACTCTGACTATGTATTAAGTGATATATGAGTACAGCATCTAATATGTGACATTAGGGACTCAAAGGGGAAAAAAATAGCTGAAAGGCAATAAGCAACTACGCCTCTATCATTTTGAGGAAAGGGTAGGAGATTGTCCTCTGGTGACACTTTAGCCTGATCCACTCACAGTGACAGTGGCCAGAAGCCCCTCAGGCACGTTGGCCACGATGATACCGATGAGGAAGATGACCGCCTCCAGCCAGCTGTAGCCCAGGATGAGGGAGAGCACAAAGAAGGAGACACCCAGGAACACAGCCACCCCTGTGATCAGCTGAATGAAGTGTTCAATCTCCATGGCTATGGGTGTCCGCCCAACCTCTAGGCCTGAAGCCAGAGTGGCTATTCGGCCCATCACTGTCCGGTCACCTGTTGCAATCACGATGCCCCTGGCAGTGCCTGCAACAGAGGAAGGGACACAGAATGGGTGCCAGGGGTTGCCAGGGACTAAAATCTTGACCTAATTTCTGAGCAAAGAAAACCATCTCCGAGTAAAAAAAGGCCAAAGATTCAGATCCTGGAGCCTACTTTCAGTAGGTAGTACCTCATACAGGTTTATCCTCCCTGCATAGATCACCTATTCCAGACTCAAAACAACAACAGCTGATTTTCTCTTAAACTGGGACCTGAGGAGAAACCTTGCAAGCAATTCTAAAGTTCAAAATGAGGAGATTCAATAAATGAAATAAAGTTGCCTACAGCACTTCAGTAACATCAATCTTATATTTGATATCAGAAAGTATATTGTGAATACAAAGCACTTAGGGTTTTTTTGTGAAGTCTTAAGATTTTCTTTCTCAATGTTAGGCATAGATATAAAGGAAGCTTGGCAATCATTAACCCTTGTTACATGACAGGGTCTTTGGGAAAGGAAGTGAGGTATAGTGGAAAAAGCATGAGTGCTGGAGTCAGCAAAATCTGGGGTTCAAGCCCTGTATGAATTCCTACTCAGTGGTTGTTTCAGTAATTAAATGATATAATAATGTAATGCACCTAAACCAGTACCTAGCACATAGTAGGCATTTGACAAATATTAATTACATTCATCACCACTCCTTCCTCTGTTCAAAGCCAGGTGCAATATGAATAAATGAAAAAAAATAAAATTAAAAAAAAAAGCCAGGTGCAGAATAAGTAAGTACTCTTACTTATTCTGAATCTTATCTGGCATTTCTGAACAAATCAATTGTGGGTAATGAAAGTAAATTTCAGAATCTCAGTGATTTTTATTGTAATTCCAACTTGCTGAAGGAGGAAAAACAACCTCAAAGAAACATAACAGGCTAAGGAGAAATGAGTGATGGGAAGGGAAAGGTGTGAAGTTTGGATACAAGGCCTTCTTTGCCCCACTTCAGAGGCCTGTGGTCTAGTTAGGCCTCTTTCTCCCACCTTTTGCCCCATGCTCTTTCTCTGAGTAGCCCTGACTCAGCTCACTGGCTTGACCGCAGAAGGCACAGGCTCCACTTGTGCTTGGGCCATTGCCCTTTTTTCAGTGATGGCACTCTGGGAGTGCATCATTTTTCATTCCAGAACCCAGAATAGATATGGAACAGACTGGGAAGCCTGTGCATGATAGAAATCTTTTGGTTTTCTTTCTGCACAGGCCTAGATGCAGCCTGAAGGAAAACCCAAGTGTTCACCTTGTTTGAAAACTTTCCTGACCCTCACCCAGCCAGGGGCTAGGGAAAAGCAAGGGTTGTGGAAGGAAGCAATTAATCTAGAACCATAAGCAATAGAAGTCATCAGTTATATCCAAAACCTCCTGGTTTGGGACATATATGTATCTGTGTGTGTGTGTGTGTGTGTGTGTGTGTGTGTGTGTGTGTGCGCGCGCGCGCGCGCGTGCGCACGCATGTACTTGTGGGGGTCCTGACTCATGATCTGAAGGCTTTCGAATCAACTCAGTCTGGAGGTGTGTAGAACAGTGATCTTCCCGTGGAGGTGACTTCCCCATGAAGCTATGCTGCCCCTGGCTAATGCCCTGCTTTCTGGAGGGGACAACTCAGGGCTCTCAACCACTCAATGCTCCTCTATGCCAGAGCTTTTGCCAAGTAAGTTCCATCACAAACCCCAATCCTGACCAAGGCTTAAGGGCTCAAAGTCTTCCCTCTGTGTTGGGATGAAGGGCTCCTCTGGCAGCCCAGCTTCTCACCTTCCACGCAGTTAGTAGAGAAGAAACAGATATTGCGAGTCTCCAGGGGGTTCTCGTGAGTGAACTCGGGGGAGCGGGTCTGGGGCTCCGACTCGCCTGTTAGAGACGAATTATCTACCTGAGGAGGAAGGGATGTGCAGTTATCAGAGCAGCAGAAGCACTCGTGTGCACACAGCTGTCTCCTGAGCTGGCTCCAACTGCCCTCAATCTTCATGACATGGGCAAAATTACACTTGCTCTCATCACATACTTATGGCATTACTCAGCCATTGCTTCTGCTCTGGTTTGGAGTCCTGGCTCTTACTGACTTCCTATGTGACTTTAAGTTATTTATTTAACCTACAGAGCCTCTATTTGCTTATCTATAAAATGGGGAATATAAACAAAATCACTGCATAGCACAACTCCAAAGACACCACTAACATTGTATGTCGCCTATGAAAATGCTGCCTCCTGGGGTTCTTCAGGGCACAACTTGTGTTGTTGCTACATGCTGCAGTCCTACAGGATCACACTGTTCCTTTTTTTCTGAGAGGATCTTGCTATGTAGCCCAGGTTAGTCTTGCCTTCAATAGATCCTCCTAGGGCTGGGAATATAGATGTATGCCATTTCACCTGGCTACATCATTCCATCATTCTTTCAGAGTGAAATTAGATAGCATATGTGAAGCATCTGACCCATAATTGGTACTCAGTACACAAGTACTATAGCGGCTATGGAAGAAATCCTCAGGGCATAGAGCATTCATAATGCAGATACACGGAGGCAGTACATAAGTACCATATGCTGAGAGAAGGCTCAACTGGGAAGTATGGGGAACTTGACATTTAGAACTGGGTCTCTAGTTCAAGTGGACCCCTATAAGCTCTATACAGCCTGCTTCTTAGACCCAACCACTTGCTCTGGTGTGACATTCTCACCTTACAACCATGAGAAGAGATGATCCGGAGGTCAGCAGGGACCCGGTCTCCACCTTTCACCTCCACCAGGTCTCCCACCACCACCTCTTCTGCATTGATCTGCATCTTCTCTCCCTCTCGGATAACAAGGGCTTGCTGTGGACAGGCCATGGACATCTCATGAATTGCTTATCTCTATCCCCGCCTTCCTCTCCTGCTGGTCTCCCACCTTTCTTCCAATCCCTAGGGAAAGAACCCCCCATATTCTTTGTGATAAAACTAGGTCTTGATGTGGAAAGCTGGAGGGTCTTCTCTGCCCATCTCCATCTCAGAGCACAAGGAATTCAGAGGGGATGAGCTGGACCTTATGCCCCATAAACCTTATGCCCCAGCCTGGATGGAACGCAGCCCTGCCATCTACCTGAGGCACCATGTTCTTGAAGGAATCCATGATCTTGGAGCTTTTTGCCTCCTGGTAGTAGGAGAAGCAGCCGGTGACGATGACCACAGCTGCCAGCACCACACCCAGATATAGCTGGTAAAAGGAGAGAATTTGAGGGACCTGATGTTCCCCACCCTAGAGGGGCAGTGCCACTCTGGATAAGCAAGCACTCAATGCCATCCTACATAAGATCTCAGACCTTCATCTGTGCCTGGGAGTGAGAATGGTAGGGGAAGGTCCTTCTCTCCAACCTACCACAATCTTCCAATCCCCACCCACCATCTCCTAGGATGGGAGGAACAGGGAACATCTTAGTGAGCTCTGAGGACTAGGACTTCTCCAGGGGTGAAAACCCAGAGATTCAGACAAGCCCACTTAAGTGTGAAGGAACAGGAAGTAGCTGTCTCATTCATTATTGAGTGCATGTGTATTGGGGGTGCTTTGTATATATGTACAGGAGCCCCCCACTCTTCAGCCTGAGGTACTGGGACTGAGATATGGGGCTCTCATTCCCTACACCTTCCCCACCGCTGTATTGGGGATTCATAGTTGGCGGACAGAACCACAGGTTGGTCTAGGGGTCAGTTGTGTGGCTTACATTGTCATTGGATGGTTCGTCCTCCATGGCAGCCTGGATACCGTAGGCCAGGAAGCAGAGGATGGCTCCAATCCACAGCAGGATGGAGAAGCCCCCAAAAAGCTGACGACAGAACTTGACCCACTCAGGGGTTGTGGGGGGTGGAGTGAGAGCATTGGGCCCATCCCGAGCCAGAATGTCCTGAGCCCGCTGGTTAGTGAGACCCTAGGGAGTGAGGAAAGGTATGGGTGGGCATGTGGAGCCAACCTGTCCCTCACCACATCCCTTCAGTTCCTTGGCAGGGGAAATAATGTCCTTCTGGAAAAGAAACATCCCATCTGGTAGGAAGGGGCAGGCACATCAGGAGATACCACATAGAGAAGGTAGAATTTGTGATGGGACCTGGAGGCCTTGAAGACTGAAGAGGCTTTTGACCTCCAAATCTGATTATTATTCGATTGAGACACATTTTCTGGTCAGGCCACAACATCTCCCTGGGGACAGCCTGGATAAGAATCCCAAAAAGAGGCCTTATTTGATTCTTTCTCCTGTCTCTGTTCCTTTTAACCCCACTCCCTCTTTACTAGGGCTTCAAGAAGAGCCCTACAGCCTTGACCATTAATGTTACACAACTTTAGCAATAATCTGTCAGTTTCCACAAGAAACCTGGCCATACTTTGTTCCCCGGCCCTGAGCTGGCTCAGATGCCCCTTTCTTGATCCCAGTAGTGTCCCATGCTTGATTCTAGGGTGACAGTCACTATATTGCATTGGAATTCTATGTTTGCTTTTTGGTAGTTGTTATTTTGTTACTAGACTTTGAGCAGGGACTACTTCTTATTTATCTTTGTATCCTTCATTCATTTATTTACTTGATGTGTGTTGAGCAGGTATTACATGCCAGGCACTACTGCGGATCCAGGGATAGACAAGACCCACAATGTCCTGCCCTCAGTGAGAAGTTAGAAGCACAGTGAACAAATATACATTAATGCCAGACAATGACATGTGCTGTTAAGAAGATCCTGTAAGGTGAAGGAAAGGGGCACTGAATTTTAAGATCTGTCAGAAAGGAGTGTAGGAGGAAGTATCCATCCCACTAAATTTTTGATTAACAATGGTTTTTTGTTTTTCTTTAACACAGGGTCTTTCTTGCTTTGTTGCCCAGGCTGGTCTCTAATTCTGGACTCAGCTTCCCAAGTATTTATAGCTACAGCCACCCACCACTATACCTGACCTATTAGCAACCTTTTTTTTTATATTGATTGAATTTAGGGCCTCACACATGCTTGACAAGTGCTCTACCACTGAGCCACATCCCAGTTCTCCTATTTTTGAGATAGAGTGTCACTAAATTGCCAAGTCTACCCTCAAACTTGCAATCTTCCTGCCTTAGCCTCCTGAGTAACTGGGATTATAGGCATGTGCTACCACACCCAGCTTTGATGAACAATTTTTAAATAGTTCAAAATGATAGGTGTGGCAATCTGATTGTGCCATTTGTTTATGTGACCTTGGGAAGCTACTCTCCCTTTCTGAGTCTGCTTGCGTTAGTAAACAGGCTAACAACACCTGATAGAGTATACTGTAAGGATTAGAGAAATGTATACAAGCATTTATCACAGAACCATGGATGGACAGATGGACATGGTAGCAAATTACCATAATTTCAGGAATAAGTCACCTCACTATTTTATGTTTGTCAGCTCTGTGAGTGACTGTGTGTCACTGGTTCACTTGGGGTGGAGAACAGAGCCCTGCTCAGAGGTCTCTGGGGCCTGGGTTCTAAGGTATTAAGGGAAGCAGGGGTTCAGTGACACCAGCTATCCACATGAGCAAGTCTCTTGTCTTTAGACTGTTTCCCTCACTTGTAAAGAGTATTGCATTTTAGTTTTATGGCTCTCCCACCTGGTGGTATATGGTTCTCTTACCTCTTGGGTCCCACTCACCTTGGACAAGTCCACTTGGTATTTACGTCCCAGCTCATCCAAAGACAGCTTGTGGTCATCCTGTGGAAGGGAAGTGGAGTTACTTTGAGGAGGGAGACTGAGCACACTTGTGGTCACAGGGGTGAGGTGAGGAGGGAGGGGGCACAGAGCTTCTCTGTGTGCACAGGGCTGCCAGAGCAGCATTCCCAGCATGAGGCCCTTTCAAGGTCTTGCTGGATAAGCTGTGGGCCTCACCATGGTCACCTCCTTCTTCAGTTCATCTAGCTCCTTCTCTTTCTGTTTCTTCTTGCCACCCCCATTCTCTGCAGTGGTGGCGGCAGGCGAGGACTCTCGGCCAGCCTGCAGGAAGAATGGAAAAGCACAGAGTCAGGAGCTGAAGCCTCTGTTCTCACTAGCCAGTCAGGGGACCTAGGCATTGGGAGTGGGGGCAGTAGATTCAAAGGCACTGCCAGTCCTGGGAGAAGAGAGAGAGCAAGGGGTGGAAGGGGCCCAGGTCCTCAGTTGTAGACCACAGTCAGAGCTGTGAGCATCAGGGAAGACCAAGGGGCTCAAAATTAGAGAGCTGCACTTTGGCTGTGATGTGGGCTTCTGCTATATACAAAACAACACACAAATTTTGAAAACCACCAACCCATACTATTTAGAATTCTGGATAAGGAATGGACAGGGCGGGGGGGTGGGTGAGGGAGTAGAAGCACCTGTAGGTGTTATCTTTGCCTAGCACTATGGTTATTGTACTTAGAAAGGAGTAGGAGTAGGAATCTGGGGGAATAAGAATTGCGGCATAGCCAGGAGGAAACGAGGGTTTGTGGTTGAGTGGTGGAAATGCAAAGGGCAGGCTCGATGGACTGAGAGAGGTTAGAGTACATTCAAGAAGTGGGAACCCAGGGTGTGCTGGGCAGGCTGGCCTGAGCCTAGAAGGAGGTAACTTGCAGGACTTGACATCCCTAAGCGTGGTTGGGTAAGAAGGGAACTGGGCATTGTATCTGAAAGCAAAACTAAAGTTCATGTAATTCTTAGGTCCAGTCAGTCCTGCGTTGTCTGATGAGATCAGACAAACATTTTAAGTGTAGCTTCATGAGGCCTCAATTTCTCCTTTCTTCAACACTACAGTTAGGCTTCCAGAGTCTCACAGGGAGTTTCTGGAGGAGAGAGTGGGGACTTTCTCTGCCCAGACGAGGCCATTTTGGAGTGAGAAGATAGGAGGGGCCTAAGGAAGGCCTGGGAGCTACAGCTAGTTCCAAGAATAGTGCCTTCCGTCCACCTTCTCCTCTTCCCCCACACCCTCAGGATGCAGGGTCCTTGTCATGGAGGGGCTGCTCAGCTTTTAGATGGTGCCTCTGGCTCTTCACTGCACCCTAAAGGCTACACAGGGTGGCCTGTACTTGATGCAGCTTAGACTTTCAAGAATGATTTGTTTACCATGAAGAGTAGATACCTGGTAAGATTAACTGTCAAAGTGCTTTTTTCAAGATATGTATCTGTGGGGAGGATTTGTTTGTTTTTAAAAGATAGAGTTTTGGGAGCAATTTTTTGAGTCACTGCAAAATTGAGTGGAAAGTAGAGAAAATTCTCAGCTACCTCCTGTTCCCACCCACAGATAGCCCCCCTGACTGTCAATGTCCAGCACTAGCATGCTGCTTTGCTAGCTGATGGCCCTACATCAGTGCGCCTCTGTCGCCCAGGGCTCATAGCTCACATTAGTGCTCACTCTTGTTGTTGCATGTTCTGTAGATTTGGACAAATTTATATTGATAAGTACCCACCACTGTGGTATAATATGGTTTTGCTGCCCCAAGTCCTCTGTGCTCCAGGCTAATTTTTTATCCATTAAAGAGTCAGAAGTGATCTGGGGAATATGATCATTTGCCCTGATCATATAAGGTCACAAATGCACACCTTGAGAAGTAGAATTCTGACTAATGAAATCAGGAGCAAGCATAGGTGTGGGAGATGCTGTGGAAGGTAGACACTTGTCCCAAGATACAATGACCTAAAAAAAGATATGAGCTCTTAGAGGCTGTACTGCTCAGAAGTGCTCTTCTCAGAAAAGGTGGCCAGTAACTCATGCATTTGTCTCCATCTGAAGCATCTAGGAATCCAGTCTATTTTTGTACTTCATTTGAAGGCCTTTAGGCTGGTCATCTTGGGAAGACTGAAGCAGTCCAACAGAAGGAGTGGGCAAGGGTTCTGGAGTAGTTCTAGCTTTTCCTTTCCCTGGTGGTTTAAGAGGGTTAATTTAATTGGATGGATTGAAATACTTTGACTTCAGTAACTCTGTCCTTGGTAAGACAGGGCTGAGAAAAAGATGGAAAGCAATAAGGGGACCAGAGGCAAGAGATCAGGCTAGACCAACTCCAGTGTGACCCTCAGGAGCTTCAGGAATGGGAGCCTGGGCATGCATCAAGGAGAGGCTGGGGCTGGGAGCAGAGGGAGCCTAAAGGAATTTCCGTACATTCAGACTTGGAATAAAGTATGTGAAAATTAGAACCAAATTCATGCTTCTAGAACCAGGCATGGTGGTACACACCTATGATCCCAGCCCTCAGGAAGCTGAGGGAGGAGGATCTATAGTTCAAGGCCAGCCTGGGCTATATAACAAGACTCTGTCTCAAACAACAGCAACAAAAATGCATGCTTCTAAAAATCTGCTGGTCCATGTATATTGGCATGTTGGACTGTGGCTGAGTTAAGCAGCTCCACTCAGCACCTCCTTTCCCTAAGCTTCCACCGTGTTCTCCTACAGGCCCAGAGCTGGGGCACACTGCCCCTTCCCCCTCCTGTCCTGGCAAAGAGCTCAGGCTCCATAGCCAGGATCCTGCAGAGATTTGGGGCCAGTGGCTGCCCAGGCAAGAAAGAAAGAGGAAGCAAGGACCCCCCCTTCATCCTGCTGCTCCTCCCTCCCCCACTACAAGTTCTTCTCTCTGGGTCTTGAATGCTGAAGGAGAACAGAGAGTTCTTTCTGTCCCAGAGGCTGGGACAGAGTGGGGGCAGCTGGAAATCAGCCAATGCTCCCCCTACATTAGCCTCTGGAGTAGGCTGGACTGGCTCCCACCACTGGTGTCCCTTCCCCCAACTCCCACGCTGCCCTTCACGGCACAAGGCAATGGGCTGAGAGTTGGGCCTTGCTCTGGAGTAGAGAGGCAGGGAAGAAGGGATAGAGGGCAAAACGAATCCCAGAACAGAGTGTGGGTAGTGGATGTTTTCCCTCTTCAGGGCTTTTCTGGTAGGTAGGACTCTGAGCCCTAGGCTCTTAGCCCCCAGACTTTGCTCAGTCTTTCTTGCCAAACAGACCAGATCTGCTTCTGCTTCTTTCTGTTGCTCCACCCACAGTTACTGCAGTTAAGGGGCTACAGAGTTTCTAGGGAAGAAGGACAGATTTGGAAAGTCAAGGTCAAATCACTTCCCAGGCAGGACCTCCTGAACTGGGTCCACTTTGCTCTAAGGCTGAACAAGGTGGGAGGCTCCCTCCTCTCCTTCTTTTCACTTGAGTGGGAGGAAAAGGACTTGCCTGACCCATCAGCCCTGGCCTCTCAGAGGCTCTGCATCTCAGCTGGAGACTCCTTTTCCATGGGGAACAAGAGATGCAAGAGATGTCAAGGTGCAGCTGAAGCTCCCAGGACAGCATGTCTTCCCACTGTTGTGACCTCTTCCTCTGTAAAACCTACTCTCACCCCATAGACAGCTCCTAAGGGTAGGCCCACAGGTCTTCAAATCCCCCCCCACCCTACCTCAGTGACATCTATGCCCATGCATGCTCAAAGGCTGGTACATTTGCCCCTTTGCCTTCTGAGACAAAATGCAAGTGCTCATCCATGAATATTGGAGCACTTCTAGTTTATGGAGAACATGTGGTTGTGGACACACACACACACAGTGGTTCTATTTCTAGCTCCCACCCTAGCTTAGGAACCCTGGTGTTCAGGCTCAGAGTTTTCCCAGCTGCTGAACTTAATGCAATAACATGTCCCTGCCTGACTCCTCTGGGGCCCAGACATTGGCCCACAGTACCCCTTTGGCACTGTCTTTCTCATACCCTGTGGTGGCTCACCGCACCCTTTCCCTCCATGCCCTCCTTTGCCAGCATTCCAGAAAAGGAAAACAGCCAGGCACAGAATGTAAAGGGATTGGGTCACTTCTCTCCATATGGGAATTTCATTTCCAAGAATTGAAGCCCTGTCCCTGCCTGCTCCGACGTGGTTGTTAATCTTCCCCTTGGCAAAGCCATCACTGCAGAATGCCATAGGCAGTGTAGGCTGGGGTGGGGGCAGCTGTTACCAGCCTTTGGGAAAGTCCTCAAAGCCCATGGCCTGGAGCCAAGAACAATGCTGTTGGGGACATCCGGAGGGTGCTGGGGTGGTGGCTGTGGGCACATTACTCTTCTTTCCTGCTCCCCTCCCAGCTGCCCCTGGCACACAGGGCCCCCGCATGTCAGGAACTGCTTGGTGACTCTGGGGTGGGATGCTCCACTGCTCAGACTGGCTCCTGTCCTCTCAGGCTGGGACTTTCAGAGAAATGGATATTTTCAGGGGGTGGCAAAGGCGAGAGAGTAACAGTGCGAAACATTCCTTCAGCAGAGAGGCCAGGAACTGTGGTGAGAGAGCCTGAGGAAGAGATGCATAGAGATGGGACGTGGGGGTGGCATTCAGGGAGAGACTGAAGGGGCACCTCCAGCTTCAGGGCTAGTTGTGGAAGGGGAAGAGGGCAAGGGTGGGTACAGAATAGGAGAGCATTTGGGCTCATGAGTGCCGTGGGATTTCTACATGCAAGTAGTTTCAAGTTCAAACTACCCACTCAGTCAGCTTTTCTACCTCCCTCCATCCACATCTCATTCCCACTTCATCCTTTCTCTGTTGCCTCCCTCACCCCCCAGAGAATGGCCCCTGCTCTTTGGGAATACTCACCCCTCGACCCATCTTGGGGCAGAGTTGCCTGAGGGCACCTAGGCTGAAGAGGTCACCAAGAGGATCCCAAACCTGTGCCGCCTGTATGGGGCAGCTGGAGACCCTGGCAGACAGACAGAGACAGCCGGAGCAACAGGGTAGCTTTAAATAGGTCCCTCTCCCCCTCACCCCCGCCTTCCCCTCCTCGGGAAAGAAACATTTGTTGAAACAGGATCCCTGAGGACTCCTCCCCTCCCTCCCCTTTAGCAACTGGCCCGTTGATGGTCCGTTTTCTGTCCAGTGGCATGCCCCCCTCAGTTCTTCTTCACCCCCCTCTCCACCCCGGCCTGTGGCAGCCACAACTGAGGGAGGCATGGGGAAGGAGGGGCAGGAGAATGGGGGAATGTGGTCCTTAGGGATAAGTCAGTTCAGGATTCCAGAATGCCAGAGGCCATGCGGTCTAACCTTTCTTAGACTTCCAGGTGGGAAAACTGATGCTCAGTGGAGTTCAACAATTTGAGCTAAAACAGAACCAGAGCTCAGGTCTCCTGAATATACATCCAACTTCCCAGAAAAAGAAACAGAGACTGTTACCTCTGCTCCAGAGGCTCTAGGGACATTAAAGTTAGAATTGGAACCCAAGGTTGGTCCTTGCATTTGAGGCACCTTAGAAGGGGCCCTTGTGGGAGCCAAAGGTGGCTCAAGAGGCAGCACAAAGTCTGGAGAGAAGAGGAAAGGGCCCCCAAGTCCTGGCAGATGTAAACTCTAACCACAGTTTTTTTGGATAATCAAGACTCCTGGGGCCAGGAGACAGTTGGGAAGGGGACCTGAGGGGACCGAGAAGACAGTCTTAGGCCTGGCGCAGCAGGCATTTGATAACATCTTGGCCACTCTGTTTATGGAGTGGACGAGCCTTTCCTTTCATTGCTGTAGAAGAGCTGTGGGCTAAATCTACAGTTGAGATTGGTGAGGGGCCTGGGGACAAGTCAAAAGGGGAAGATAATGGAATTTCTAAGAAGTGTTTGGAGGTCAATATCACAACAAATGCCAGACCCATGAAACTGAAAGGAGGTTGGTGGCTTTCTTCTTCCAAGAGGGAAAGGGAGGGCAAGTCTGCAGCATGCAGGTTAGACCCAGAAGGGGACTCCTATAGTGACACATGGGAGAAACTGGAAGATGTGCCTAGGGAAAGGCGAGGGGACCTTGCCTCAGTCTGGAAGGGCTGTCTTCAATCCTATACCAGCTGGAAATGGGGGCAAAGGAGATGACCCACACAAAGTCAGCAGGTCTGGGGGGTTGTTGCTGCTCATTTGATGAAAGAGTCAAAGAGTGAGTGTTGCTGCTTCATTTGCTGAAGAGGGGCAAAGGGAAGAAGGGGAAAGCAGAAGGGGCTGAGAGAAGAAAACCTCCTGCTGCTGCCTTCTCTTGGGAGCAGAGGACAGGATTCTCCTGGAGATCCCCAGTTTCCTGGGCACAGAGCAGGAATGAAGTGAAGCCAGCTGAGCAGGTGCAGGGCTGAGAGCTCTGGAAGGAGGAGGAAAGGGGAGAGGGGATGGGGCTTTGGCTGGAGGCCTAAGGTACCCGCTGGGTGGGCTGGGTCCCTCTCTGGCCCCAGAGGGAACTCCCTGCTGAGGGTTATGGACCTCACTTCTAGTGAATCCACTGTCAGGACACAGCGCTCACATCTGAATTCCCTAAATAACTGCCCCCCTCTGGGCCTGCAGCTGAGATTTTCCATTACAGGGATCCGGAAGGTCACATACCACTTGCACCGTCCTTCTTCCTCCTGTGTCTGGGCAGGAGGGCTGTGCAGGAAGAGGGCAGACATGGGCCTTCTCTCATCTCCCCATGGTCCTTTCTAGACCTCAGATCTGAGCCTGGGAAGAATAGGCAGGGAAATAATGACGGGAAATAGATGTAGTCCCTGTGTGTAATGCTGAGAGCGTGAAGGGTAGCTGAAGATGTAGCAAGATGGCTTATGGTTAGACAGCAGGAAAGACTGCCTAGTGAAGAAACCTATAGAAGAGCTGCCCAAAGGCTGGTGGGGTGTTCCATGTAGGGCAGCCTTGCTGTGGGGCTAGAGGTAAGCAAGATGACAACTTGGGTTTTAGGAGGTACCTGGGGTTAGAATTCCTGGTTATCTTCTGCCCAGTTCTCTCCAGGATACAAGGTGAGAGCGAAGAGCAAACTTCAGTGTCAGACCTGAAGGTGTACAAAAATCAGGCTCTGGAGTTGAACCGTTTTCATTCTACTCCCACCCCCACCTCTCCTGGGACATCTCAGTACTGCCCACCCTGGCTGTGGTCCTTGTAGCCAGGTTTAATATCGGAAAGGACTATGTCCCTCTGTCCATACAGCCTGTTGGGGCTTCCTGCCATGCCCAGCATTTGGGCAAGCACTGCCCAAGGTCACCACTGTTCACACACTTAGGGCTCCAACAAGCAAGGGTGAACAGGGCACCCAGGGCCTATTTTCATCCATGCCTCACTGACCCTGCCAGTAAGAGCTGAGGCTCTGGGTTGTCTACTTCCTCTTTCACCATGAACCTCAGTCCAGCACACAAGTGGTGTAACACCAGTCTGATCTGGGGTGCCTGGGTTGGGCTATTCCTTCTTGTGAATCCAGCCTGTGGTTCCTGTTTGGATCAAGGGTCTGTAGTGAGAGGAAAAAAGGAGGAAGACAGAGAGCCTTGAAAGCAGGAGGTAGGAAGGCCAGAATGACTGTGCCCATAGTGGGCTTGAGGGAAAGTCACAGGTCAGAAAGGGATCAACAGGGGCAGGATGGAGAGGTTCTGAGTCAAGTGTTTGATTGGTATGGGAATACCTGGGAAGTAGGGATGTGTGTGAGCGTGTATGCAGTACAAGTGCATGGATTGGGGGGTGATGCACAAGAGGGGGCTGGAGAGAGATAGAGGAATGTGTACTTGCTCTGTGTGTGTGTGTGTGTGTGTGTGTGTGTGTGTGTGCGCATGCTAGTTTTGGCTGAGGGGGCCGTGAGTGTGTGGGATCCTGTGGTGGGTTATGAGACCATGGGAATGTGTCAAGTGGTAATTCCAAAGGAGGAGCTCCTCCAAAGAAGGCAGGGAACAGGAGTCACTGGGATGTGTGATCAATCTGTTACAAATTGGTTGTCTGCATATGCGCATGACATGCGTGTGTGTGCACGTGTGTGGGCCACAGGGAGCGCTGAACAGCGGCTGTGGGTGTACGTGAGAGTCCATGGGAGAATGAGTGTGCTCATGGAGGAGGGTGGGCGCACTCAGCTGCAGATGGGCTTGTGAGGTCTCCAGGAAACAGTTTTGTTTCCTAAGTGACTGGCCTCCTGGGGCCTCCAGCCCAGACTTGAAGGTTGTTTCAAGATCATGAAAGAGAGAGTGGGAGGGACAAAGGGAGGGAAAGAAGAGCTGAGAGGCTCCACTGCCCCCACAGTCCCTCCTCCCGCCCCCTCACCCCACTTCTCTGCCCCAGTCTCCTGCTCTCCAGTCCTGCTTGCCCATCCTCCTCTCCTGCTGCCAGCCCTCTGGGCAGTCTCTCCCTCTCTCCTCTTCCATTCCCTCCAGTTCTCCTTTTCCTTTTTTCTTCAGGGTTTGAGGTCTTGTCATCACTGTCAGGCTTCTGGGGCCTTCTAGGTGTGTAGGGGATTTTTTTCTTTTTTTTTTTTGCTTCCAAGGGGAAGCCATCTTGGGGTGATAGGTTAGGTGGGAGGCTGGGAGGGCCTAGGATGGCCTTGACTAGTACTGAAGAAAGGTTCCTTCTTATTCCTCCTTTGTCCCCAGCCCTCTCTTCTTCCGCTCCCTCAGATCATAGTGACCTTGAGGTAGGAAGGTTGGGCTCACAACTACAGATGTTCATAGCTTGCACTGCCTCAGTTTCTCCACTGGATTACAAGGATGGTGTTGATCTTCTTTCCATTTCTTCCATGACGTCTGCTCCGTTTTCTTCCTGGTCTTTCTTTTCAGTTTACTCAAAGTAGATTCTAAAAAAATCTCTTCCTTTGTCTCTCCTTAGTTCTGCCATCTTTAATCTTTGTCCCAGATGATTTTTATTATCCTTTTTTAAAATTGTTAAAACCACATTACATAGAATTCAGAAATTAGGGGAGAAAGTACTCAGAAGCATTTTCCTCAATCTCTGCCTCTACTTCATTCCCACCTTTTTTTCCTTTGGCTATGCTGGTGATGGAACCCAGGGCTTCATGAATGCTAGGCAAGCACTCTACCCCTTTGTTGCACCTCCAGCATTCCCACCTCTTTTTCCTCCTCACTGCTCTCTGGATTTGGATAGCTCCATCTTGGGTTCCACCTACAGGTACACGTGGAGGTGCAAGGGAGGAAAAGGAAAGGACTCATCTATCAACCCCTCTCCTGAGCACGATGGCACAGGGCTGTTCTGTTTCCCACCTGCCCCTCCTTGAAGTTCCCACTTGCTTGTAAGTCAGGTCAGCTGAGGCCAATTCCAGCAGGGCCACCAGCATGGGTGCAGGAGCTCCTACTTTGTTTAGTGTGATCCTTGGAAATGAGCTTAGTCTCTTTAACTCTTAGCACAGAAATGAGGAAGGGCCCAGAGTTTTGGGCAAAGACTATCTTACAGAGAGCCACTGTGAGAGGTGGGATAGAGTCTTGGTATCATTTGGGGAGAAGGCCAGGGCTGAGGTGAGGCTTCACCTGACATCTTTTGACTGGTATTCAATGAGCACATACCAGATGGATCAGTTTCTAGAGATTCTTTGGACTGAGAAAAGTATGTCAGGGGCGACGGGGAGGATGGGGTTAATAGGTCTTGCTGAGTTTGAGGGCAAGGGTCACAGCTGGGCCCTGTTGGGTTCCTGTTTGCCTTTGATTCCATCTGTGCAGAGAGAGAACAGCCCCCAACCCCCTGAGGCAGGTTTGCTTTGGCCAAAGATCTGACCCAGTCACTGGCCCGGAGCACCCCGCCTCCCTGCTCTTCCTATCAAGAGGCAGCCTGGCTTGGCCTCCAGCCTCCTCCTTCCTACCTCCTGCTTCCCTTATCAGACCCCTTCCACTTGGCCCAAGATACAGTTCCATTTGTCTTCCTGTCCCCTTTGGTGTCCTGGATGCCAAACTGGGACAGGATGGCCTGCAAACATCTGGCACACAGAGCCATGGCCTCCCTCCCACATAATGGACTCTTTGGAACTCCATGGAGCTTGGCTTCTCTGTGCCTCAGTTTCTCTACAAGTCCAAGATCTTTTCACTCTTGTGATTCTGTCTGGATGTTCCTCCAATGAGGTATGTGGCTTAATCAACGGTGCATGCTCTTTCTGATGCTTATGCATCATTCAGACATTCAACCAGCAATTGTGGAGCACTTACTACAGGCTGTGTCCTGTGCCAGTGTGGAGAGACAGTTACAATCCAGGCAAGCAAGGTTCCCACTCTCATGTACCTTTTGTTCAGAATCCTGTGCCATTTAGTTTTCGAATCCCTCCACTCCATTCCTTGATGGAGAGTGAGTTTCTAGCCCTTGAGGACTCCCCATCTCCATTTCCTCAAATTTGCCCACCTTTTCATTTCTGCTTAGTGAGACTGGGTGGCCTTGGCTCTCCTATCCCAATGATGCAGGAGCAAAGACTTGGCCACGACATCTGGAAGTCACTCTGGACTGGATTGGAGGGAGGGCAGAGGCTTTCAATGCAGGTCTTGTTCTATTAACTTACCACAAGCACCCAAATAAGTCCTTTACCTCTTATCAATAAAGAGAGGGAGTTGGAATAGCTAGGGATTCCACCCCAGTTGCATGTTAATATTCCATACCTGGGCCTCCCCTCAGGGATCTCCCAGAGATCTGAGGGGAGGTCCAGGCCTCAGTCTTTTTCAAAGCTCCCCAGATGATTCAATGGGCAGGCAGGGTTGAAAGCCACTGAGCCAGATTGTCCCCAAGCTCTCTAGCTTGTCATAGGTAATGGTGTGTGAGCACTTGCTGTGCACTGCATACTGTGTCCCCTCAATTCACATGCTGAAACCTTAACCTCCAATGTGAGAGTGTCAAGAGGTGGGGGCTTTGGGGACTAATTAGGTGATGAGGGTGGAGTTCATATGATGGGATTAGTACCCTTATTTTATTAAAATTTTTTGTGTGTGTGATAGGATCTTGCTATGTAACCCAGGCTGGCCTCAAATACCCAGTCTTCTTGCCTCAGCCTCCCGAGTGCTGGGATTACAGACAAGGGCCACCACACTCAGCAGATTAGTGCCCTATAACAAAAGACAGAAGAGAGCTTGCTTACTCTCTCTACTATCTTCTGTGTGATGCTACAGCAAGAAGATGACCATCTGCAAGCTAGGAAGTGGGCCCTTACTATGTATGGTATCTACTGACATCTTGATACTAGACTTTCTGGCTTCTGGAACTGACAAAGATAGCATGCATTACTTAGTTTAGTCCTCTTAACAGCTCTGTTTTGCAGATTGGGACACTGAGGCACACAGATCCTAAGTAGCTAAGCTGGGATTCAAACCTAGTCAGTTTGGTTCCAGAAGGATCCACTCTGGGACCTTGTCTCCGGGAGCACGTGAGCAGAAATGGTGACAAGGAGGAGTGCACCAGAAGATAAAGGAGAAGGAAAAGTGCTAACAGTAAGCATCTGTGAGCTAGGTATTGCTGGCTGCTGGTTGCACACCATTGCATTTAGAGGCGCATGGCAACTCTGAGACGGGTGGATGATTCTTAGCTGGAAAACAATCTGGAAGGGCTTCATGGAGGAGGTAGTATTCTAGTTGGGCCTTGACAAATGGGTAGGATCTCACTCAGAAAGAAGAAACAGTTTGGTGGGACTGGGGAAAAGGGAACAGTGTGAATCTATGCATAGAGGGTTGGAGCACTCAGTGCACAGAGGAGAAACATGGAGACAACACTGGAAGTGGATGTTGGGGGCATTTCACAGAGGGCCTTGAATGCCAGGCTAAGTGTCATTCTAAATGCCAGTGTTTCCTAAAAAGCTCTGATGATAAGAGTCACCTGGATGCTTATTAAAAATATAGAACAGCAGGCATGTCTCAGAGATTCTGATTCATGAGGGCGGGGGTGGGGAGTGGGAGTCTGTATTTTTACCACCAAGCAAGTTTGAGAAATATTGCTATAAACAACATGGAGCCATTGAAAGTTTTTGAGCAGGGGAGAAGTCACATTCAAATTGTGCCTTAGGAAAGCTCATCTGATTGCAGGGCATTGCATGTACATGTGTGGGGTGCTAGGCTAGAAGGAAGAGACAGAGGTGGGGATCATAAGGGGTGAGGGTCTGAAGCAAGACAGTGGCAATGACAGAGAGGAGATGGGGATAGATGATAAAGACCTTTGGGAGATAGAATTTCAGGATTTGGAAACTGATTGGAAGCCAGGGTGTGAAAGCAAGGACTTGAAGATGGGCAGATGGTGCAAAGTTGATTAAAATAAGGTAGGGAAGAAAGGAGATTGTGTGGGAGAGAAGCCATCACTTCACTTTGGGGTGCATTGCGTTTAAGGTGCTACTGGCAGGGTTGCAGGTGAAGGTGCTCCATGGATGATGGAAATGGGCACTGAAGCTTCCCTGTGGAAGTCATTTGCATAGAAGTGATCACTGAACTAAAGTAGATAGAGGATTTGAAGGACAAAGGGCCAACGGTCTTAGGCAGACTCATGGGGCACACCTAGGGCAAAGACAGGTCTGGAAGATGGAGAAGCAGAGAAGCCAGAGAGATGGGAGAACTAGACCAAGCCAAGGGGCTGGCAGTTGAGAGAGAAAAAATTTTAAGGGGAAAACAAAACAAAACAGATAATACCTAACAGTTTTAAGGGGGGAATGAAAGCTGGTTACTTTTTTTTTTTTTTTTTTGTCAACTCAAGGTGACTGGTATGACCTTTGAGAAAACCATTTCCATAGCAGGTCAAGTTTGGAAATAAAACTGTGAAGAGTTGAGTAGTATGTGGTGAGGAAGATGAATCAGGTGGATAGGTTACCCTCTTCCTAGAGGGTTGCAGGAAATGAAAAGAGAAAGATGACATGGGTAACTGAGAGCAGAGGGAAGGGATCTAAAGGATGGGTGTGACCCATTTAGAAGGCGCTCCTCTCCTGGCTACTGGTCCCACTTTGCCCATGTGTTCCAGCTTTGGTCATAATTTATCTTCACAACAATCCTCAGAAAATAATGAGGTCATAACTATAATAATTCTCATTTTAGAGATAATGAAACCAAGGCTAGAAAAAGTTAGTAATGGAATCCAGGCTTACACAGCTGATAAATCTAGGTCTGTCCACAGTTTTGCTGTTTAGTTCTGAAATCCACCCCAGTTTTCCACTTAGCTGGGGACAAAGAAGTTTATTTCCTGTGCCTGAGCCCCTGATTGGTAACCTGCCTCATCCCCTAATTTCATGTTTGTTCTGTCTGGCCTCCCTTTCCTCAGGAACATCTAGTTTAGGAGCTGGGACCCTATGTGACAATGTTCAATGTTTTAGTACCCACCTGGAGTAGCCAGTCCTGCTCACTGGGGTTCCCTGTCACCCTGGCCGAGCAGCTGATTGGATCACCACATCCTTGTTAGTCCCTAGACATCACCTACTTGTCCACATGGTGCACACAGATGCAGCCCAGCAGCCTGGCAAAGAATGGAGTCAGTGCCTGGCAAAGAAAGTCTATGACTATCACTAATTGGACAAAATTTTTTAGCTTCTCTGAACCTCAGTTTCCTTAATAGCTCCAACTCATAGAGTTATGTTGAGAATTAAAATGCTCAGTGAATGTTAGCTATTATTTTCTGCCTTTGATTTCCAGGGTCCTGGCCTTCAGACTGCAATTTCTTTTTCAGCTGGGTCTGATCTCCAGAACTTTCCTTCTCCAGATGATGGAGTCAGGCTCTTCCTAAGCTGCCCGGGAAGCAGCATGGATTGTTTCTTGAGGGATGGAAGACTTGAGTTCTGAAACTTGAGGAGAAACTCTCACCCATGAATGGAAGTGACCAGTGTATAATGGACTCAGAGGAAACAGTGCCCACTGTGAAGGCCATATAGCCACTTGAGAGTAAGGACCCAGATTCCCTCTTTTGTCACCTACTCACTGCTCGTTCACTTGCTCAGACATTCTGCAAGTGTCTGTTGAACTTCTAGACCTTGTTAAGCAATTGTGCTAGGTAGGAGCAGAGCAAAAGAGAGCGACAGTGGCCTTAAGAAACTCACAGACAAGATGGAGAGGCAGATAGAAACAAGCCCTGTAATTACAGTACACAGTGAGAAACGCCATCCAAGGGCCAAGGACAGGGTGCTGTGGGGTGGGCAGAGGGTCACGTTAGTATCAGGACTGTACTCACATTCACTCCCATGGCCAGTTAATTCACCCCCACTGTTCCATCTGTTTCTTTGTTTTTGAAGTTTTTATTTCTGGCTTTGCTTTCTTAATAGCCTTTGGAAAAATTCCACCCTTGTTTCAGTTGGACTGGGGAAAAAGGGAATTGTCCACTCTTCAGCCAGAATAGCCAAGGGGTGCTGGCTTCCGGCAGAGTCCAGGTGGACAAGTGGACGAGGCAGGGTACTTGGTAGGAGGGAGGCCAGGGAAGAGCCTGTGGCCTGGGGCAGGGAAAGGTAAAAACATAAGCTTGGCTGAGTAGGCTGGGATGGCCGTATGAATTCCCCTTTCCCAGAGCCCTCTACAGGTCCCCTACCCTGTGTTCTGATTGGAGGAGAGAGTTGAGAACCTCTCCTTCCATATCAGTGAATCCTGTAAAGCTGAGTTCTATTGCTCTTTCCCCACCCAGAGAGCCTTGAAAGGCAGTGAGTCTTCAACATTATTCACAGCAGAGGGCTGGGTGTGTGTACACGGGTGCCCATAGTCCCTCTCTCTCCCTCAAAACCACCACACATACCTCATTCCTCTTGTCTGGGCTTCTGGCACTGAATTTATTCATTCAACAAATATTTATTGAAAACCCACTATGTACTAGAAACTAGAACTTTATTAACAGAAAAAGAACTATTTCAGAAGGTTGCATAGGTACCAAAAGTGTGTATATATGTGTGTGTGTACGCATATATAAATAAATGTGCATAGATTAGAGAAGCAGGGGAAGACTTAAGTCTGGGTGCCACCATGTGCTAGCTATGTGACCTAGGGTAAATTACATAAAGTCTCTGTGCCTCTGTTTTCCATCTGTAAAATGGTCATAAGCAGAGTTCTTACCTCTGGGGGCTGTGGTGAAGACTGAATGAGTGGATGTGCAAAATGTGTATGCCGTGCCCAGCACAAAACAGGCTTTCAGCGAGTATTAGCAGTCACTGCTTCCTTCTCACTCACTCACTCACTCACTCAGAGTTGGGTGCAGACAACGTGTAAATGACTAGTTTTCCAAATCTGGCTCTTGCTCAACCTGGTGACTCAGAGGCAGTCACCTGGTCCTAACTACCTCTGTCCCCTGCAGCTCATCTACAACACAGAGCTTGGTCTACACAACTACTGCCCCCCCCACCCTTGATCTCTCTGTTCCTCTCTGCTCAGGCACTCAGGGTGAGAGAAGGTGTGATAACACACAGTGGGGGTGGCCTCAGGCCCTTGTTACTCTCCAGAGCACATTAGCAGTTTCCTCTCAGCTGGCTGGGGAAGGAAGACAAAGTATAGGGAACTTAGGTGACCACTTCATGTGAGTGGGAAAAAAAGACTTGTCAGAAAAGGGAAGCTGAGGGGATTCCAGCTCAGAGGGATCCATGTGTGGCATTCCAGAGTGGGTGGCAACTGGCACTAATCCTGGGTATGAAATGGCAGGGCCCCCTCAGGGGTCAGGGCTGGGTTACGCTAAGGCCCCTGTGGCATTGTGTCTCCCTTATTCTTGAACAGCTGTGCCACCCACTTAATGTAGGGCTTGAAACTGGGGCAGAAGTGTGGGCTCAGCCAGGGCAAGAGGAGAGCTCAGGGAACACAAACACACACACATACACCCACAGAGCCATCACAAGGGTGCAAACACCTGGCCCAGGGAGGAAAGAGGGAGACATTGGAGTGTGGCATGTGTATGTATGGGGATGAAAGAGACGGCTTTGTGGTTCTGTGTGTTGTCTAGGTGTACATGATGTCTTTGAATTTATCTGCCTATGCTCCTGTTTCAGTTTGTTGTCCAAGTGAGGGTAGGGTTTTGTTCTACCTCTGGCTCTGACCTTTTGCTTGAGCCTCAGCATTTCAGCAGAAACAACGTCCCATCCCTTTTAGGAAGAGTGGGAAATTATAGTTCTTCAGTGCAGTGTGGGTCAAGGCTTTATAAACACATACAAGCGAAGGATCTCGTGTGTGATCCTTAGCTCCCCATGAAGCTGGGATTTGTACTCAGTTAAGGGACAGAGCTGAGTATTACATGTGTGCTTGTGTCATCTCCTTATTTTTTACTTTTTTTTTTTGTGGTACTGGGGTTTGAACTCAGGGCCTCATGCTTGCTAGGTAGGCACTGTACCACTAGAGTCACTCTGCAGCCCTGTTTTGTATTGGGTTTTTTTTGAGGTAGTTTCTCCCGAGCTATTTGCCTCAGGCTGTCTTTGAACCACTCTGCCTCCTGAGTCGCTAGGATTACAGGCTTGAGTCACCAGCACCTGGCTCCTTATATCTTAGTGGCTGGTGTGCTTGTCACTTTGTCTCAGTGTCAATATTTGTGTCTACAGTTCTGTGTGTGTACTTGTGTGTGCTGGGTTCATGTTTAATTTTTGTCTCTAGTGATCCTTTAAGAAACAATGTAACAGGGGTTAGACAATCCTAGGTTCGAATTCCAATTTGGACAGTAACTAATCCACTGACCTTGGACAAGGTTCTTAGCTTCTCTATGCCTCTGTTTTCTCACGGGGATAATAATAGCATGAACCTCACAAGGTTCTGGTAAGGATTTAATAAGATCACGTTACACACCTGGCACAGGTCAGAATACTTTAACGGTCCTGTCTTTCAGTGAACTCATCTCTGAAGGCCGTGTCTCCTTGGTTGTGACTGCAGTATGTAACATCTCAGCCAGATTATAAACTGCTTTAGGGCAGAATGTGGGTCTTAATTATCTTTAATGATACTCATGACTACTCAGTGCCACCTAGGTGCCTGTACATATGTCATCTGGAGGAGAAATGAATTAAATAAGCATGTGAAACAAGGCTGTGTCTGATGTATGCCCACACCTGGTAGTTCATGGAAGGTGGGTGGGAAGCTGGTGATGGCATAGTGACAGCCCAGATGCCAGGGTCCTGATGGTCAACACTGCACCCATATCTCTCCCCAATCCCAGACTCTCTCTTCCAAGCCCCAGTCTGGCCTGAGGCTCACTGGAAGTCTCCCTTCCTCCTTTGACTTCTCCTGCACCCAGGGCACCAGCTTAGGAGCTAGCTGGGTGAACCTGTTTTCCTTTGGGTGTGGTGAGTGGGTGGGTAGAGCACCCTCCAGTCTCTGGGATGGATCGAGTTCTCCTTTACAGCAATGCCTTGTTGAGTATGTGCAGACGTCTTTCTATGTGAAGTCCCTCTCTGTTTCAGTGGGTACATTCGTCTGTGTGTGACCAGCCACGTGCCTGGCATTTGCTTTCCTCCTCCTGCTTTCCTGGTTACGTAAGCTGCTGAAGGGTGAGTCAGTCCTGTGCTATGGGCTCCCCCTACCGGCCACCTCAGGAACCCATAGTTTTGGGAGGGGCTTGTTATTTTCCTAAGGGTTCAACTCTGGAGACGCCAGCCCAGTCCTCAACATCTACCTTCCCAGTTCCAAGTCACAGGTAAAGGGATAGTCCCTCAGTTCTCTGAGAGCTCTCTCATAATGCTCATACTTGAGGACTAGATATTATATACCATATGTCTCTCTAGCACAGTGACTACGTCCCCTAGGGAAGAGGACCACATGGTCCTTGTTTACCAGTGCCCAGCACAAGGCCCAGCCCAATCAGTATTTGTTGAATGAATGAGTTTACAGGGTGAAGAGGCTTGGGAGGAGAGACAGTGGGGTGTAGGGACCAAGCAAGCTGGGGCTCAAGTCACATGTTGGCTACTTAAAAATTGTGTGGCCTTGGGCAAGATACTAACCCTTCTGAACCTCACAGTCTGTCCTGTTAAATGACATCATCTTGTAAAATAGACTGTAAAGGCTAGAAATAATATCCAAAAGGCCTTATTGTGTAAGCATCCCATAAATGGCATCTATTATTAAAATGATGATTGTTAACATCAGGAAGGCATTAAATCCATTCAACATCCACCTAAAGGGAAACTGCTTTCCTCCAGCAGCTTCCCTGTGACTTTCAGTTTTTACATAGCTCAACATGGCCTGTGGATGATTTAGAGAAATGGGTCTGGAGAAACCAGGCTGGGTGGGATGGGTCAAGGTAGGAAGCAGCAGGCACTCCCGAGCAGTGTTGGGAGCCCAGGGCTGGACCTCTGACTTCCCCTGAGGTCCTGAACATTTTTCTCAGTGTTTCTCTGGTTTCTCTATGGTGGCTGAATGTGGCTTTGACTGGTCATTCCTTGAAACACCTCTAAGAATAGGAAGTCAGGACAAGTCTGGTCTGGCCTATGCTACTTTTCTTCTCTGGGCCTCACTTTCCTCCTCTGCAAAGGGCTAATGGAGGTGTGAGTAGGAGCACGGAGGGGATTGTGGGGCAGGTAAGGCGATAGAGGTGAAGAGTGCTAGACAAACTCTAGGGTCATCTCCCTCTGACGGCCACTTTGACAGTGTTAGCTTTGCAGACCTGGTTATCCCTCTCCCCATTCTGACCTCACCCTTCTTGTTTCTCCCCATTCTCCACCTTCTTGTGGAAGGAATGACAGACCACCTAGGAAGGATGCCTCTTCCATTCTCCCATCTCCAGGCCAGGCCCCACCCTTCCCAACAGCTATGCCCATCTCTTCTCACTGGACACAGGGACTCCTTCACCTACACCCCAGTCCTAAATTAAAACTAAACAGAGGAAGCAGTTTAAATAGTAAGTCAAAACCCAAACAACCCCATGTCCTATTTCGTGCTAGTTATGCTGTGCCAAACATGTTGGGTGCATTATCTCAACTAACCATTACAGTGACCCTTTGAGTAAATACCAAGGCTCTCAGTTCACTTTGTGGAGGAGAAACTCGAAGTTGAAGGAGATTGAGCAACTGAGCCAGGATTAGCCAGCCAGGAAGTAACTGGCACCTGGACGGCCCACCCTCCTAACCCATTTTTCTTTGGTTTTGCCCTCTGGGTGTGGGAGAGGCAAACAGGCCTCCAGGGACCTTCTGGGACCCTGAAATACCCTTTAGTCCAAACCCTTCACATCCAAGAACTCCTGAGTCCCACCCATCCCCATTTAAGTCAGCAGGGTTTGTGCCTAGGGGTAAACTGTCCAGAGCACATAACTGGATTCTGACGGCGAGGCCACAGACACCTGACCAACCTCAAGGACGCTGCACCGGACTCTCTCGGGGAAAAGCCTCCAGATGCCTGGCTGAGTGCGTTCTGTGAGAGGGTGGGTGGAGAAAGAGGCGTCCAGGTGCCCTTAAGCAGCCAACTCACCCAGCCAGAGGCCTAGGGCGGAGCCACAGCCGGGGTCGAAATCTGGCAGGGGCTGGGGACTGGGACGGGCCGAGCTGAGGGGCGGGGCCTGGGCGGAGCCAGGGCTGGATTCTGGAGGGGCCGGAGCCTGGCCGGAGTGTGGGCGGGGCCTGGGGCCGGGGCGCGGCGGGAATGGTCTCCAGAGCTGCCGAGGGCGGGAGGGAAAGCAGCAGGAGGAGGGGAGGAGGGTGGAGAGTTGGCGGCTCCAGCCCAGCTCTGTTCCGCGCACCCACGCCTCACTGCTCCGCTTCCTGCTCCCCACCCGGGCATGCGCCCCCCGCGCCCCTGGCCCCCGAGAGTCCGCAGCGCCCCCCGGAGCGTCCCCAGAGCCGGCTGCGCAAGATGGGCGCCCCCGGTCTCACGCCTCTGCGGTCGCTGCTGTTGCTGCTAATGCTGGGTAAGCCGGGTCCCCACCCGTCCCCGGCCCAGCCCGGCAGGTGCCTGCCACCTGGCGTCCATCCAGCCCGCCTTCCCAGCATTTCGGAGCTCCTCGTCCTCCCCACCTCTCCCCTTCTCCGTCAGGTGTGTGATCAGTCTCGGCTCCTTACTTCCCTTTGCGGCCCATCTGTCGAGCCCGAGCTGGGGCAAAGTGAGGAGCCACCCAGGTATCCTGGGCAGGCCCACTTCTTAGCCGTCATACCCAGATCCTGGGGTCGCTGGGCCCAAATGCTGCGATTTCATTCTGCCTCACACTCAGCTACAGGCCTGGCCTTGGGTGCCTGCTCTGCGTGGGCAGTGCCTGCTGGTCTTCATAATTGCCCCAGGGTTGGCTGGAGGCCCAGGGGCCAGTTCTGCCCACGGTCTTGGAAGTAAGTCTCCCTTAATTTTTCCCCACACACTTCACCATTGGAGGCTTCCACCCTCAGCCACATCCCCACCCTAGGCCAGTCCCTCTTTGCCCTTTTCCCCCCCTCCAAATGGTATATGGCTGTTGTCATACCGGGTTAGCCTATCTTCCCTGTCTCAGGAGAAACCAGGATCCAAGGAGACATATCCTGGGATCTCTACGCACTCTGTCTGTGGTGGAGGGTATTCAGGGTGGAGTGTTCTGGGCAAACCTTGCTTGCATGTATGGGGGTGGTGACAGTGGACTTGTTTTGGGCTTCCTGTAGGACATGGAGAGAGTTTGTCAGAAAACTGAAACCCTTGAAATAAGAGTGCAGCAGTAGTCAATGCAAAGCCCATGGTGCCCCAGCTACTTCTTCTGTCTCTAGACCATAGCTCCACAGTGATGCCAAGCCGTCTTCATGTTGCAGGTCCCTTAACCCCTTGGGGCTAGTATGAGAGCTTTCCTCCGGGCCCTGGGTGGGACGCAGAGGGATGTACAGAGAGGAAGGAGCTGTGGGGCCTGGTTGCCTAGTTCTTGCTCCTTTTCCCCTGTGGGCATTGTGGCGCAGAGATGAGCTCAGGGGAGGTGGGAAAGGGTGGGTGGTGCATAAAGATGGAGGAGAAACAACACTGTGTGCGTGCAGCACTGACATTCATTTCACAGATGAGGAAAATGAAATAACCTACCCTGAAGAGCACATCTAGTGAGGGTTGGAGCTAGGATTTGAACCCATCTCTGACTCCAATGCTGGCCTCTTTGCCCTCCTGGCTAATACAGAAGAGAGGGCCTGGCTGGTGAGAGAGAGTCAACTTTCCCATAGAGATCTCCAAGCATCAGCAGTTGTGGAGCCAGGAAGGTGGGAGGGGGCCTTCTGAGCAGAGTCTGCCCTGAGGCAGCCGGGAAGGTGTCTGCTTGGCTGTCTCACCATCAGCCTAATTATGAAACGTGCCTGGAGCAGGGGCCTCCTGAGTCACACACTCACTGACTCACTGTCCAGCTGGAAGCTCAGTTCTCCTCCAATGTGGAAACTGAGGCCTGGAGAGGAAGAGACTGGTCCCACACTGAACTGTTTGGGATGGGGCTGGGACTGGAGTGAACTTCCTGACTCCCAGCCTGTGCCCTGGCCAAAGGACCATGAGTTCTCCCCGTGACTCAGTCAGAGGAGGAAGAAAGGGGCTAAGAGATGCAGGGTAGCTTCAGGCTCCTGGATATTTGCCTCCAGACACAGCAGAAAGTCTATGGACATGTCCCTGGGATGCTTGGAAACAACACTCTGGGTGGTGAGGTCAGTTCCTTCAGGCTTCCCCTTGGGGCATCCCCATCTTCCTCCTTGGTTTTGTCTCTCTGAAACAGTGTGTGGAGGCCCTCCAGGGACAGCAAGATCTTGGCCAAAACATCAAATTTATGCCTGACTATTCTCATCTGTAAGATGGGGGAGGGAGCCAATGCAGCCCTCTTTACATTCTGGGGTTCTGTGACCTTATCTAGTGGGAGCTGTAGAAGGATGGGGAGATGGAAGAAACTGAGCGCTCCAAGGCTGCCAGGATTATCTGCTGGGGTATGGGTAGGGCTAGAGTGGGGGTAGGGTGAAGAGGAAAGAGAGAAGGGACAGCTGGGAACGTAATGTCTCCCTATAGAAAGGGAGCTATAGTAAATGACACACCATATGCAAATGAAGGCTTTTGTTAGGGAGCTTGGGGTGGGGGGAAATTGTACATCAGCTGGGCTAACCAGCAGATTGGCAGGCCCCCGGGGAGGGGATCTTTTGCCCCAGGCCGGGCAGAACCCAGTTCTTGCCCCAGCTGCCTCTGCAACCCTGTGGGATGGGAGAAGCAGTGAGCTCATGGCACAGCTGGAGCAGGGAGGGCATTGTGTGGTGAGCACTGCCTGGGCCTGTGCCCTGTCCAACTTGGGGCCACTGGCTCCATTGTCTGGTCCAGGTGACACAGCTAAGCCAACCAACATTTCTGAGTAAGATTTTGCTAGCTCCCCTCCAGCAAAGGAGGTCTTGAAATCCCTTAGGCCGAAGGCTCCCCCTTACCAAGCTGGGAGGAAGGAATGACAGACGTGGAGGTGGTTATGGGGTGGCGGAAGCAAAGACAGGCAGTCAGGAATCAGATGCACTCCTTTCTGCACATAATTGCTCTGCTTCTGGTCTGCCAGAAATGGAATGTTTCTGTGTTCTGAGGCAAACCTGGGCCTGTGCCATCCAGGTGTCTTATGTCTCAACATCCCTTCTGTGTTTTTAAAACAAGGCCCAGCTGCATCTCATCCTTCCCTAGGTTTCCCTTCCTTTCACAGGCAGGAGGTCAAGAATGGGGCTGGTGGTATTGGGTACTGAATGGAGACCAGTGCACTTCCAACTCCTTCTGCCTTTCCCTACAGGAGCTGGCTGCTGTGCCCGGGAGGTGCTGGTTCCTGAGGGACCCTTGTACCGTGTGGTTGGCACAGCTGTTTCCATCTCCTGCAGTGTGAGCGGCTATGAAGGCCCTGCCCAGCAGGATTTCGAGTGGTTCCTGTATAGGCCTGAGGCTCCAGAGGCTGCACTGGGCATCATCAGCACAAGGGATACTCGGTTCTCCTATGCGGTGTTTGGGCCCCGAGTGGCGGCTGGGGAAGTGCAGGTGCAGCGTCTGCAGGGTGATGCCGTAGTACTCAAGATTGCTCGCCTGCAGGCCCAAGATGCTGGCATTTATGAGTGCTACACTCCCTCCACAGATTCCCGCTACCTGGGCAGCTACAGTGGCAAGGTGGAGCTGAGAGGTACGGGGTCCTGGGCTAGGATGGGGCCACACCCACCCTCAGGGCAGAAAGTCAAAGCCAGGAGGGGACCATCTAACAACCTTCAGGTTTTGCAGTTGAGAAACTTGAGGACTTTGCAAAGTCTTGCCTCAGTCACCCAGTGAATCAGTGGCTGGTGTGAGACCAAATCCAGATCTTTTGATTGCAGTTCATTGCTCTTCTTATGTCAGGTTATCTCTCTTGGGAGAAGGAGAAACACCTTTGGGCTGTCCATTCCCCTCTCCATTACCAGACAGGATGAGAAGACCGATGGGGTTGAGTGAACGCTATTCCTAGAGAGCCCAGGCCCCAAATCTGGGGAAGAAAGAGGTAGAGTAGGAAGTAGACCATGTGGCATTCTTGTGCTCTTGTTTCTTTGTCTTTCCAGAAGGAAGACAGAGGTACTTTTCTGAGTATTTCAAACAGGAGTCAGTCTCAGACATAAGGGTGAGAGGCAATAAGTTGGTTCTGTGGAATTCAACAAGTATTTATTGAGCACCTTTGTGTGCCCAGCATTGTGCTTAGCACCACTGAGTTACAGAAGAAATAATACAACATGCAATCTTTGCCCTTTAGGAGCTCACAGTCTGTTTAGGGAAGTAGGATTTACACAGGAAACAGTAACAAGGGCTGCAGCTCCGGCCCTCCCTTACTTCAGCTGTTCTCTCCAGTTCTTCCAGATATGCTGCAGGTGTCTGCTGCCCCCCTAGGCCCCCGAGGCCGCCAGGCTGCAACCTCACCCCCACGTCTGACAGTGCATGAGGGGCAGGAGCTGGCACTGGGCTGCCTGGCACGGACAAACACACAGAAGCACACACACCTGGCTGTGTCCTTTGGGCGAGCCGTACCTGAGGAGCCAGTGGGGAGAGCGACCCTGCAGGAAGTGGTGGGACTACGGTCTGACTTGGCTGTGGAGGCTGGAGCTCCCTATGCTGAGCGGCTGGCTGCAGGAGAGCTGCGACTGGGCAAGGAAGGGACTGATCGGTACCGCATGGTAGTAGGGGGTGCCCAGGCTGGGGACACAGGCACCTACCATTGCACTGCCACTGAGTGGATTCAGGATCCTGATGGCAGTTGGGCCCAGATTGCAGAGAAAAGGGCTGTCCTGGCCCACGTGGATGTGCAGACACTGTGTGAGTGCCACACACCTTCCTGAGGGAGGGGATATCTCAGTGGGCATCATGGCTACCAGGGACACTAGCTGGTCAGTGTCTTAACTCCAGGGAACTCCTCTTCCATAGAGTGAACAGCCCTGTTGACATTCTTCCCTCTTTACCCATGACTGATTTTTTCTGCTCAGAAATTAGGTATGGAGATGGGAGGGCTATGACTGAATGGTGAGATTAGGCCCATACCTAGTGAGGGGCAGGCAGGAGGCCTACAAATTGCTGCTATCAAGGAAGGAATTGCAGGTAGGAATGAGACATCTGTATCCCCCCACCTTGGTGACACCCCTTCCTCTTCTGCTTTAGCCAGCCAGCTGGCAGTGACAGTGGGGCCTGGTGAACGTCGGATTGGCCCAGGAGAACCCTTGGAACTGCTGTGCAATGTGTCAGGGGCACTGCCCCCACCAGGCCGTCATGCTGCATACTCTGTGGGCTGGGAGATGGCCCCTGCAGGGGCACCTGGGCCTGGCCGCCTGGTAGCCCAACTAGACACAGAGGGTGTGGGCAGCCTGGGTCCTGGCTATGAGGGCCGGCACATTGCCATGGAGAAGGTGGCATCCAGAACCTACCGGCTACGGCTGGAGGCTGCCAGGCCTGGTGATGCAGGCACCTACCGCTGCCTTGCCAAAGCCTATGTTCGAGGGTCTGGGACCCGGCTTCGTGAAGCAGCCAGTGCCCGCTCCCGACCTCTCCCCGTGCACGTGCGTGAGGAAGGTGAGAGGGGGTTGGGCCCTTGACAGGGTTCAGGGCTTGTAGAATGTTTTTCCTAGCCCTGTGATCCCTGACCTTTCACCTTCTGACTCCATGTCTTTTGCTCTGCAGGTGTGGTGTTGGAGGCTGTGGCATGGCTAGCTGGGGGCACGGTGTACCGGGGGGAGACAGCCTCACTGTTGTGCAACATCTCTGTGCGTGGTGGCCCCCCGGGGCTGCGTCTGGCTGCCAGCTGGTGGGTGGAGCGACTGGATGAGGGGGAGCTGAGCTCTGCCCCTGCCCAACTGGTGGGCGGAGTGGGCCAGGATGGTGTGGCAGAGCTGGGGATCCGGCCTGGAGGAGGCCCTGTCAGCGTGGAGCTGGTGGGGCCCCGAAGCCATCGGCTGAGACTGCACAGCTTGGGGCCTGAGGACGAAGGCGTGTATCACTGCGCCCCCAGTGCCTGGGTGCAGCATGCTGACTACAGTTGGTACCAGGCCGGTAGTGCCCGCTCAGGGCCTGTCACAGTCTACCCCTACACACATGGTGAGTGACTTCCCACTCTTCACCCACCTCCCACTGCCACGTTCTCCCCTTCCCATCGTCCCATCTTCCAACTGTCATCCTCTTCCTCTGTATCTCTTCCTTCACGTGAAGAGCCCCTCATCTGTGCTGTGGCTGGTTCTAACCTGGGTGCTGAAAGGGCAGGCGGCGGGTGGGTAGGGCTGTCTGAGGATAGGGAGGCTGGGGAGACTGCTGGAGACCAGGACAATGGCACTCCCTCTGAACCAAGCCATCTTCTCTCTCCCAGCTCTGGACACCCTATTTGTGCCCCTGCTGGTGGGTACAGGAGTGGCCCTAGTTACTGGCGCCAGTGTCCTCGCCACCATCACCTGCTGCTTCATGAAGAGACTGAGGAAACGGTGATCCCTTGCTCCCCAGGTGAGGGAAAAGAACTCCCAGCCTTTTCTTCCTCAGACTTCCTGGTGCTGTGTTGAGCTGAGCTGCTTGAGGACCCACCTAGAGGAGGAGCAGCCAGCTCAGTCCTGCAGCATCCTGTTAGCAGGGTGAGGGCCAAGAGGAAGTTCTACTCAGTGCTCTTCCCTTAGCCCATTCCATGCTTTCTCTCTAGTTCTCGCCAGGTGTTGACAGTCTTCCAGCCAGCTCCAAGCCCTTCTCTGGTTGCCTGGATACCCTCTCCCTCTGTCCACCCATCTCTTTAATTTATTTGATCTACCCCCCACCCAAGTGGGAGGTATGGCTCTATCTCTCCCCACCTTCCCTCCCAACACCCTCCCTCTGGCCTTCTATCCTTGGTTTCATAGCCATACTATAGGAAGGCCATTCCCTGTCCTTGAACTAGTTTTTCTAAAATGTGAATAAACTTGTTTTATAAAATCCAGGTCTGGTTGTGTCTTCCCCTGCCATGAGGCTGTCGAAGGCTGTAAAAGGCTGGGGTTGTGTAGTAGGTAGGTTGTTAGGGGTTGACAACCTATTCTGGACAACTCAAGCCTCTCTTACCAATGTAAACATCACATGGCCTCTGTGGGCCTTGCTACCTACCCCAGGAGGGGATGCCTGAGTCCCATCTGCTGCCTGAGTTGTCAGTGCTGAGCCAACTCCTTATCGAGCTCCTATTTCGGAGAGGGACTGTAGAAAGGGAGGGTGAGTTTCAGCTGAGCTTGGGCCCCTCTCCCCAGCTTTTCCCACACTGCAGGCAGTGGCTTTCAGGGCAGTGCCCTTTCTGAGTTCCCCAGACTCAGCTGCACCCTCTGCTTGTCTTCTTCTCTTGGCCCATCTAGTCTTGGGCCTGTCTCCTCCCACTGGGCCCTGCGGGCTCAGTCTTTTTCCTCTGACCTTAATTATTCTGACTGACAGCAGCAGAATAGGAGCCCCAGAACACAGCTGCCTGTGTGGTAGAGACAAACAAAAGTCAGGGGAGTTTGTGTACCCTGTGTCCACAGAACTGCTGCACTTGCGCTCACCTGCTCTCATGGGCCCCCACCCCCACCTAGCTGCACCCCTTTGCCTAATGATTCTCTGATTCTAAAATTCTTATCTGTTCTGTACCTATGAGGCATCCAGTCTACCTCTGTCATTCAATTATTTAACATTTATTGAGCATTACTAGTTTGCTAAGTGCCATTTTTACAGATGAGGAAACTGAGGCCCAGAGAAGTGATGTGTCTTGCTGAGTCATAGAGCTAATTAGTGACAGCCAATGTCAGCACTAGAACCCAGGTCTCCTGACTCTGCACTGTACCGTGGTACCCTGAGTGGCTACCGTGGTGAGGACAGGTGTGGTGGTATTTCAGTGCCTTCCAGGAATGGAAGGGCCTCTTCTAGCCTCAGTTTCTCTGTTTGCTCCACTGCAGTGAGTTCAGTGCTGTGTGAGTGTGGCTATAAGCAGCCCACTCCTGTCCAGATTCCACCTATTCCACAAATTCAACCCAGATTGTTCCCATGTTCCACCCCAACATCTGTTTCTGGGTGAATAGCTGATGCTAGAGTTCAGGGACCTTATCCTTGACTGAGGTTGACCCAGGTGGCCCTGGGACCTGAAGCAAAGACATCATTTCTAGACCAAAGGGAAGGGGTGGAGGCCTGGATCCTCACTGGGTGGAAGCAAGCTGATGCAGACTCCTTCCATGATGCCCTTTTCAGCCTCCAGAAAGTGCAGGGGTCCATAGGATGCCAGCTTCCTAACCTGGAGCAGAGCTGCCTGGGTGCCTGCCTTCCCCCAAGGAGCTCAGACTACTCAAGGACAGGAGTGGTGTAGCCAGGGCCAAAGTTCAGAGTCCTTGCTGAGCCAATACAGATGTGGGCGGCCCTGTCAGATGACGTGCTTACCTGGGCTACAGTTTGTTACAGGAAGCCAGCGTCAAGCCCCTTGACCAACCCTCTGTCTTTTCTCAATTTGCCATTGCTCTCCCCTCACCATCCTGGCTGACTAGGATGAGATCAGGACAGGGTGGAGATAGGACGGGATAATGAGTCTCCTGGAGCCCCTGACCCAGTGAGACAGAAAACAGGCCACAGACACGCTCAGGTGTTTGACTTCTAATTTTCTTCCATATTTAATCCTGTCTTTTCAGTCCTATAGGTATCTGATCCTTTGCTGCCAAAGCCCTTCTGCTCCAGCTCCCCATTACCTCCTGTGGAATTCCCAAAAGGCCTTCTAACTGCCTTGACCTATCTTTCTTGCCCACTCATCTCCCCAAACACCATCTCGGCTTGTTACTGGCTGGTTTCCACTGACAGTTGAGTTGCTGATCCACTGTTAAACTCTTCAGCCTGGACTCAGGTTCCCTTTCCCTGACACAATCCTCTACTCTTCACATGTTTCTGCTTCCCAGTGATCCTTAGCTTCTTTTCAGCTACTTGTATGCCCCAGTCCAGCAGTGTCAGCATTGACCTGGGAACTTGTTAGACATGCAAATTTCTGGTTTCCATCCCAGACCTATTGAGTCAGAAACATGGGAGTGGGGCCCAGCACTGTGTTTTAACAAGTCCTCCAGGTGATTCTGATGCACAGCAAAGTTATCCAGCTGCTGGCTTTCATCAACTGCCTTACTCAATGCTTAGCACTCTGATTACCAACTCTTGCCCTAAGAGATTTCACACGTTTTCAGTGTGAACTGTACCTCCTTCAGTTGTCACAGGTATATTCCTGTTGTTTCTTTATGCCCTGTTTTGGCAATAGGAACGAGGTCTTTGAATGTCCACTGCACCTGGCACCCAATTAACAATTTGAATGACCCCTCCGCCCCCCACACTCCATGCTCCAAAGACAAACTACTTTTCCAGGGCCCCAATCTCACACCATGAACCTGCTTTCTAGCTCTCTCTTGGCCCTTATTCCACTTCAGAACCTTTTTCTCCCTTCCTACCTCGGTAGTAGTACCTGTAAGATCTGTAGTACCTGTAAGAGCCATCTCTGGGCTCCATCCCAGTCCGTTCTCCTGGGCCCCAGCTCCAGCATCTGCCCCCACTGCCTATTGCCATGTACCCTGAGGATTAAGACAGTGATACCCTGCTGATAGTGACTGTGGGAGGGTGGAGCTGTGCCTACCTCCTTCCAGCTTGCTTTCTCCCCTCTGGTTCAGCTTGGGCAACTGTGTCTAGTTACACAAGTATGCCACACAAAGGGAAGATGGCTGAAGAGGTGAGTGGGGACTGCAATCCATCCCACATGCTGTTCCCCAAGCCATGCACCCTGGATTGGGGCTTCAGGAAAGGGTGCGCTATGGGTAGCAGCAACCTTGAGTGCATCAACTCTGTTAGTCCATTTACTTATCCATCAGCTGTCTCTATCTGCTGCCCTCTTCCCATCCAACTCCCATAAGTCCATCCTTCTGTGGATCCATCCACCATGAACAGATGTGAAGGTCAAACAGACAAACTGGTGTGTTTACCCATCTCCACCCTTCATTTTCCTGAAATTAGGACCCATCCCTTACCTGCTGAATCTTAGACTCAAGGGGCCTCTTCAACTTAAGCATCTTCTCTGGGACCTTATCTGCCACTTCCTTTTCCACCTCCACTATCCAGCTGCCCAGGTACCTGCATCTGGCTCCCAATCTGCCACAGGGGTTTGGAGAAGGCTGGTCACACCTTGGACTCACTCTCTGGGGGTGGCAGGCAGCCATTCTGTTCCTTATCAGCCCCAGCTCCCCCACCTGCCCCTTCCCCTGCCCCCTCCTCCTCCACCTTCTCATCCAGCCTGCTGGGGATGGACCAGTAGAGATGGGCATCAAGTCGGGCTGCAGCTTCTGCCAGTTCCCGGGCACTGCACGAGGGTGTGGGCACCTCAAAGGTCTCATGGAAGCTGGCATAGTCCACCTCATAGAAGCCATCTTCCAGGGTGAGCACTGATGTGAAGCGGTGGCCCCACAACACCTCATCTACCAGGTAGGAGCTCCGAGCTTGGCATGTCATTCCTGGAGGAAAGGGACACAGGTCAGGGAGATCCCAGCCCCAGGCTCCCTCTCCTGCCTCTCATCCCACAACCCTGTTTCCAGCTCCCTCCTCTTCATTTCTTCTTAAGTACCCCCACCTCCCTTTGTCCAGCCCATTTTTCTCCCCTACCCCAACTCCTGTTGTCCATTTCTCTCCCCTATGCTCTACACTTCACCCCTCTGTCCTTTGAGAAGCTTAACCTGGAAGCTAACTTTATGGATCATCTAGCCCAGCCTTCTGTTCCACATAGGGCTTCTTATTGGAGCATTCCCAAACAATGGACATCTATCTACTTTGTATTGATTACATTCCAGGATTGAAAGCTTACCACCTCATAAAGATCCCATCCCTTTGTGTGATGGCTCTAATAGTTGGGTTGTTCTTTATGTAAGCTAAACTCTGGCTTCTGGGAATTCTACTCCTTACTTTCATTCCTGTTCTACTTCATAATCATTTGAGTATCTGAAAATAAGAATCTTAGGTTCTCTTATGTCTTTTCTTCAGACTGAACTTCCATGATCATTCCTCACTTGACCTGGCTTCCAAAATTTTTACTTTTTTGATTGCAAACCAGAATGACCAAGGAGGACCATTTAAGTGTCCCTTTGAATGTGATAAATTTTCAACTGTGGCCTGATCTATGGATAGAAGAGGGCTCACCATCTCTTGCTTCTGGCCAGGATGCTTTAACTAAGAGGGCCTGTGATTACATTACATAAATGTTTTTTGAAGCTGTATCACATTGCTACATCAAGCCTGTGGCCAACTAAAACCCCCACTTCTTTTTTTCACCAGTGCTCTTCCATGCTGTGCTTACATAAGTGATTTTTTTAAAGCCTAAATGTAGAATTTTATATTTATTCCCTTTAAATGTCATCTTGTTGGGTTTTGGCTCATTATTCTTGCTTTTCAAAAGCATTTTGAATCCCAAAATATTGCCATCCTTTCAAGCTTTATCTCTCTAGAAAAATTAGACAAACACCCACCCCCATCTTCTCCATCCCACCCTCCCCAGTTCTCTTGGCCTGTCTTATCTCCAACTGCCTGGACTGTTGAACTCCCCAAGACAGGTAATTCTCCTCCTATCCTAGGGTTTCTCCCCAAGTCACTTCAGAACCACCTGGATGTCCATCTCAGAACAAGGGAAATGGAAGAGCGGTTCTAACATTCAAAGTCTGCCTCTGAAACATCTAGGGGACACTGGTATTCTTTGGTGAAGGATGGGGAAGCATCCAGTGCAGGGAGGAGAGGAACAAGGTTCACTGCAGAGGGGCTGAGAGGAAGAGAGGGAAGGACTGGGGTACTATGAGGAAAGAGGGCCCCCGCAGGGACTTCCTTGTAAGGAGAGGTGCTTGCCTGAGGTAGTGGAGATCTAAGAGGAAGGGGAATGGGGTGAGAAGAGGAAGGGGAAAGAGCTAGGATGAGCCAAGTCAGAGTGAAGCGGGAATGGGAACATGGAGGAGGGAGTGCGTAAGAGTGGGGGTGGTGATGAAGCAAAGGCTCAGCTTGTTTAAAGGTACCTTTTGTCAAAGAAGCCAGCAAGGAGCAACACGCTCTTGCATCCGTGTTAGGCGCTGTAGTGCCTCCTTGTGGTAATTTAGTCATCTACCTGCATTTTCCTTATCCTCATCCAACTTCTAGATTTATCCTTTTTCTGCTCCTACTTTGGTCTTTTCCTACAAGCTCCTAAACCCTTCACTGTGCAGGTACTGACATCACATGTGAGTTGTCAATTCTTTCTAGAAAGGGGCTAGAAATGGTAACATTTATTTCCCTATAAGTGGAAGTTGAGAGTCTTGACCAATGGCATAAATGAGACCGAAGTAAGCCAGGTATCAACCCCCCCCCTCCCTTTAAGGTCCTTTCCCAGGAATAACTCAGACCACAAAAACCTTCCCCATCAAATTCTACAGTCCTGGACCTTGGGAAACAAGAAAAAATCCTAAACCTAAACATTCATCCTAACTCTGGACCACTAAATACTAAAACCAGACTTCCTGTGTCCAATCCAGGCACAGCTAATTACTGGTTTATGAGAGTGGTCAGTTTACTTAATCTCCTGTTGGAGCTATCTCATCTCTGAAAAATGAGCACAGCAATAAAGGTTACCTTCAGAGAGTTCTCGCTCGGATTAAAAGCGTTTTGGAACTGCACCACACAAAGCAAGCACCCGTGAGTGCTGGCGGTTGTCATTACTCTCCCTACTGGAAGTAACACATACCTCTCAGTCCAGGGCCCCACGCTAGCGCCATTTCAGAGAATTCCTCCAAGCTTTTTCTTGGCCTTCTGCAAAGTTTCTCTGTTCATGCCACTTTCCAGGCCTAATCCTGCCCCAGATCCCCCTATCACATCTCAGTCTCTCATCCTCCACCTGCCTCTGGGTCCATCCTCCCGTACCTTCCCTGGCCCCTCTTCTTGCCCCTGCCCTGGCAACCCCGCTCCCTTCCTCTGGCCAGCCCGCACCCGTGGCTTCCACCATGCCCTCGAGGATGACGACGATCTCAAAGTCGTCCCTCTCAAGGGCGCGGCGTGACGCCTCCCAAAAGGGGCTGGCGGCGTCGATCTCGTGGCTGATGACCAGTGGCGAGACAAGGAAGAGGCGGTCGTCCCCCGTGTCAAAGCCCACGCTGAGGTCTGTCTGGTGCAGCGGGATGAACTCGCCCTCGAGGGTCTGGCGCGAGCGGATAAGCTTGGCACGGATGGAGGCCTCGACGATGTGCGAGGAGCGCAGGTCGCCCACGCGGAACATGAGGCAGAGGCGCCCGTCGCGCAGTGACACCACGGCGTGTGAGGAGAAGACGAGCGTGGCTGCGCGCTTGTTGGGCTGAGAGATCTTCACGAACATGCAGCCCACCATGAAGGCGTTCACCATGGAGCCTAGGATGGCCTGCAGCAGCAGCAGCACGATGCCTTCGGGACACTGGTCGGTGATGACGCGGTGCCCATAGCCGATGGTGGTCTCTGTCTCGATGGAGAAGAGGAAGGCCGCCACGAAGCCATTGAGGTTGTTGACGCACGGCGTCCACGCGGTGTCCTCCAGATGCTCCAGGTCGCCGCGGCCGTAGGCGATCAGCCACCAGATGGCGCCGAAGAAGAGCCAGGTGAGCGCATAGGCGAGCACGAAGAAGAGCAGGCTGAGGCGCCACTGCAGGTCCACCAGCGTGGTGAACAGGTCGGTCAGGTAGCGGTACGTCTCCCGCACGTTGCCCTGCTGGACGTTGCACCTGCCGTCCTTCTCCACGTAGCGCTGGCGGCCGCGGCGCCGTGGCTGCTCCTCCGGCCCCGGGGAGAAGGCCGCGTTCTCCTGCGCCATGGCGGCGGCGTCAGTGCGAGGCCGATGCGCGCCTGAAAGCCACGGTGCGGCCCTGCGCTGGGCGTATCCGCTGCCTCGGGAGTCCTGGGGGGGCTTAATAAAGGTTTGCTGAATTAAAGGACCTGCGGCGGATGCGGAGCCCCGAGACCTCAGGGCCAGCTCCCTGAGCCAATCTCTTTGTGTTTCTCAGCCTCAGTTTTCCCATCAGCAGAATGGGAATGATGATACAACCTTAACCAGCTGCAAGCTCAAAAAGGTTGTGAGAGTAAATGGGATGGGGCACATGAACTTGATAACACTAAGCCAGTTCAACGATTTCAGGGCACGGAGGTACTAGAGATCTTGGAGTCACCACCTCTAGCTAGAGTGTGCAGCACCTCACCGGCATTCCCAGACAAAACACCCAGTCTAAAAGGAAGTTTCTGAGATCAGTAGACATGAGTTCCTCTGAGACAGGTAGTTAATTCTCCCCTACTGCGTAGAGCTCCCCACCCCAGGACGTTAACCGCTGTTTCCTTGGCTGGTGTCACTGGGGCTCCCCAATGACTCTTCTCAACAATTCCACCGAAATGCTATTTTGAAGTTCACCCAGATGGTGGTCAGTATTTCCCACTCTTTCCTCTCTGGACCTCACCCTCTTTACCCCTAGTTACATCTTTTCTCCACTACAAACTTAGCAAGGAGAAAACAAAAGCAAGCTGTGGAAAGTAGTGAAAAAACTCCAGTGCACAAGGGTTGAATATACCACATAAGGAAATTCCCACTAGAAATCCTGGAGGCCTAACCATGATTATTGCTGCCCTGGTGTCAGCCCCATTTCCCCTGGGTTCTTTCCCCAAAGAAGACAGCCTGAAAATGGGGGAAAGGGGAGAACTACAGCATGTGGGATCCACACAGACAACTAGGGTAAAGGGAGCACAGGGCTCATCAGGAGTTAGGCTTGTATCCCTCTAGTATCCTGTTCTTTAAGAAAGACAGCAAATCAGATCGAGTGAAGCACTAAGCACCCACATCCATCTCTCCACCCTCTCCAGTCCTTTCCCCCAACCTCCTACTTCCCCATTCACTGTCTTAGCACCAACTATGCCCCCGCCTGCCATATGCACCAAAGCCCACATTCCAAGCAAGTCTATATTCCTAGAGAAGCCCATCTGATTTTGCTTCAATTCTTCCCCCTGAGAAGCAATCAGCTGCAAACTACCCTGAGTGACTGAGCTCCAGAGTCCTTCCCTAGGTACCTAGGGTCCCCTAAGAGGTGTGGGCCATACAAAGAAAGATCTAGATTAAGGATTTAGGTTTTGTCAACCTTCCCTTCTTTTTCCTGGTAATTGTTCTTTCCCTCCAAATCAAGGAAACCTGTGCTGGCTGTAAGAGAGGGGAGCAGGACTTGTGACATAAGGATCGCAGATGGCCTGGATGTTTGACCAGGTCCTGGGGAGAAACTGCCTGTGTATGTAACTCCAAACCAAGCACTCCAGATTTTAAATTCTGGAGTGAAGTTCTCTGCAGCCAGACCTTTGGAGTGTGTGTCTGTGTGTGTGTGGGGGGGGGCTTGTGTGTGTGTGTGTGTGTGTGTGTGTGTGTGTGTGGGCTTGAGGCAGAAGGCAGAAAGAGAAACCAAAAAGAGATGGCTTGGATTTTAGGGGCAATGGGCCACATTTATTTTCCATGGAGTCAGGATACAGAGGGTCCAGGGGCACCATGGCAATGACAGATTAGGGTCTTCCCTTCCCCCAACAGCAGGCTTCCTTTCCCTTCCCTGCAGCTCAGGATGTCCTCTGTTAGTAATTGGTAAGTATTTACTGTCTCAGAGACCCCAGGTCATGCAGTAAACTACCCAAGTCTTGTTGATCTTCACTTTAGCTCCTGGTGGGCTTCCAGACACTCTCAGGATCTTAGGTAATCTGACCTCCATCTCTCTTTCCAGGGGTGGGGAAAGGACCCCAATGTCTGATCAACCCTGGAACTCTCTTGCTCTCAATTGTCCCAGGGATCTTGGAGGGCCTTCTTTTGACTGTATTCTATCTGCAGCCTTCCTGAGTGAGTGGCTGTTTTTTTTTTCATGGGGAAGGAAAGGTGTGAAATTGTTGCCTCTATCTCAAGATCAAGGACTTGATTTCTGTTTCTTCCCTCCAATAATTCCAGTTCCTTCAATCTATTCCTCCTCACTTCTTGTGCATGCTATGACCTCTTTCCAGAAGACCCCAGTGCCACATTTTCCTGGACCCCCTCTTCCTCCCTCAAGAGAGTGCTGGGCAGCAAGAGGCTTATTTTTTGGAAGAAGATCTGGTGGAAACTCCCTCAAGAACCAGCTCCTCCCAAACCCCCACTTGCCTTGGAAATAGGGGCCCAAATCCCAAGTCCCCCGCAACTCAACTCACAGCGTGTAGAGAGGAGAGTAGCCGGCAGCAGAGACCCTTGGGGGGTGGTGTCCATGCCCTGACACTGCCCCCCAGTGGGCCCCCTTGGAGAGTGGGAGCCGCAGACACTGTTGTTTCTCCTAAATGTAGCGGCAGCTCTGACTAGGACTTGGTATCTGTGTCATCCCCACTTCCCAGGCTCCCCTGCTCCTCTCTCGTTTCCATGGCAACCAGTCTGGCGACAGCTCCAGAGCATCCCCCCTCCCTTCCCCATTCCTGGGTACCACTCGGGGCTGATCTGCACGCCATAGCTATTTTTAGGCAAAGTTCCTCCTCCTGGACAACTCAGACTTGCCTCCTCACCCCTCATAAAGAGGGAGGAGGAAAGAAAAGAAAAGCCGGCACACTGGTCCTTTCCTAAGAAGCTCCTTGCTGTGTGAATATATGGACACTGAGGTGTTTGAGAATAAATGTTTGGTTTCCTGGGGTATCAGAGGACAATCTGGGAACTTGCAACTCACCATTCCAACAGGGACCTCTGCGATGCTGCCCTGGGATCAGGCCCACCATCAGAATCTCCTTTTTTCCAGAGAGCACTGATGTAGAAGGTGACAGCTAGAGGGAAAAGAGATCCACCTGAGGCTGGGAATTGAGGCAAGGTCAGGGGCTATAATCATTGTCACTGATTTGTGATGTTACCCTTCACTTCATATATACCAGAATGTGGGCATGTGCAAACAGCCCCTTTCTGCCTACTTCATGATGAGCAATGTACATAGAAGGGCTTTGAAATGTATTGAGATACTTTTTTAAGGGCAGTTTTAGGTTTACTGCAAAAATTCAAGAAAAAGGTATAGAAATTTCCCATGTGTCTTCTGCCCCTGCAGAAGTACTCCACCACTTGAACAATGCTCCGAATCCTTTTGATTTTTTAGTTTGTTTTCCAGATAGGGTCTTGTGCTAACTTTGCCCAAGCTGGCCTCAAACCAAGATCCCCCTGTTTCTGTTTCCCAAGTAACTGGAATTGCAGGCATGCACCATAATGCCTGGCCACTCCATGTCTTTTTATGTCTTGATAGCTCATTTCTTTCTTTTCCTTTTTTTTTTTTGTACTGGGGGTTGAACTCAGGGTCTTGTGTTTGCTAGGCAGGCACTCTACCATTTGAGCCACTCCGCCAGCCCAGCTCATTTCATTTGGACATTAAGTAATATTCCATTATCAGAATGTATCACAGTTCATATGTCCATTCATCTACCAAAGGTTCTGAGTTTTGGCAATTACAAATAAAGTGTCTATAAACAGCTGTGTTCAGGCTTTCAGTTTTGCAGTTTTCAATTCCTTTGAGTAAATACCAAGGAGCATGGTTGCTGGAATATATGGCAAGAGTATATTTAGTCTTGTAAGAAACTGCCAAACTATCTTCCAAAGTGGCTATGCCATTTTGCATGCCCACCCACAATGCATTTCTGTTTTTGTTGTTCCACATCCTTTCCAGCATCTGATACTGTCCACATCCTCTCCATGCTCTTTTCGCAAAGTTATACAGCCTCAGAAATGAATCTGTGGCATACAATATAATAAGTTACTGGAAAGTCATTGTTATTGTATGTTTACATATGTGTATATGCATGTAGATACACTGTTAAATAAAAAAAACAGGTTGTAAAATATTCTTACCAGTGGCTCCTGACTGCAGGTAAATAGTTGCAGAACTCTGACAAAGTCAGTGTAGAGCTTGGAGAAATGGCAATACTTGAATGTTCATTTTTCCCCAGGGAAATTTTTTTTTTTGCAGTACTGGGGATTGAACCCAGGCTCTTGTGCATGCTAGGCAAGTGCTCAACCAATGAGCTACATCCTCAGCTCTCAGGCTCCAGTCTTTGGGAAAAAACTAAAATTATTATTATTATTTCCAAGATATTGATCTGTTTTTTCTCCAGAGTCCTTATAGTTGGAAGAAAACATAACTGGGGAGCAGGGAGACGTAGAAATGGACACGAGAGGCTGGGATGTAGCTCAGTTACAGAGTTCTTGCCTAGCATGTGCAAGGCCCTGGTTCAATCAGGGCACTGTAAAGAAGAATGATAAGGAGAAGGAACAATGAACAGGCAAGATGGAACAGGAAGTACTAATTTAAGCTCAGGAGGCAATGGCCTGGGTTCAAATCCCAACTCTGTCTGCTAGTACCTGAGAGACTTTGAGCACATTACTTGACTTCTCTAAACCTCAATTTTGTTTACCTAAAAATTGAGAAAAACCATATTGATTGTGTTAGTCATTTTTGTCACTGTGACAGAGTGCCTGATAGAAACCAACTTAATGGAGAAAGGATTTATTTTGGCTCATATTCAGAGATTTCAGTCCATGATCATTTGGCTCCATTGTCCTTTGACCATGGTGAGACAGAACATCATGGTGGGAAGCCTGTGGAAGAGGGAAGGAGGGATGGTGGGAGAGAGAGAGAGACAGAGAGAGAGAGAGAGAGAGAGAGAGAGAACACAAGGACCTCCTTCTTCCAACCAGGCCCCACCTCCTAATAGCCTGTTCAGTATGAACCCATCAAGGAAGTTAGAGCCCTCATGATCCAATCACCTCGAATAGCAGTGCTACCTAGGGACTAAGCCTTCAGCACATAAGCCTTTTGGTGGGACATTGCATATCCAAACCATAGCATATATGATCCATTTCTTGAGAGTCGCCATGAGGATTACATAAAGCAATGTCTGACACATTGTACATATTCAGTAAATGCTAGCTACTATCCTCTCCTTTCCCTCCTTTTCATTATCTCTTCTTCTTCTTCTTCCTCCCCCTCCTCCTCCCCCCTCCTCCTCCTCCTTCTCCTTCTTCATCTTCACCACCCAGTGATCGCCTGAAAGTTCCATCCAGCCTGTAACACCTTCCTTTGTTCTGGCACCACCCGATGAGACCTGCAGGGGGCTCTGCTCGTATACTGCCCTCCTCCCCAAACCTCTTGCCTGTGTTTCTTGTTGTTCCAAGTGGAAATATCAAGTTTTCAGCCTAGATTGGCATCAAGAGTGCTGTTAAAGCCCCAGTCAACATCCCTGTCTCCTGGGCCTGGCCCTGTCACCTGAGCCTTGGGACTGCTAGCCTGCCCTTCTCTGTCCTGCCAAGTGGCCACTCACGTTGGTTCCACTGTGCCAGGAGCTCAGAGAGAAGAAACTAAACTCCTGAGCAAGAACGTATTTGCATAGATCTGGCCCCTTTGCTGGAGGGGGATTCACAGGGCTGCCTGTGCCCTCTGGAAAGTGTTTTCAGCCAACCTCCTGACTCAGTCCTGGATGCATGAACCTAGCCTCACTTACAAAGAGACCATCACTCTTTCACTTACATACTGACCCCACAGGTTGTAGACTTTACCTGTTATTTAAGCTCAATTCCTTGTTTACCACTGAGTTTGAGCTGAGGCTGGAGAAAATAAAATTTCCCTAGGCACTAGGATACAGAAAAATAGGCAAGATTCTAGCTTTTTGGCAATGAAAGAATGAAAGCAACTTTGCAAGAAATCAATCCAAATATGTCAACAGAGTTGTGATAATAGAAGATTGGAAATACAGAACAGGAGTGCCACTGCTGGGACCACACTGCTGGTCTATGTAGAACCTAAGTATAAAATAGAAAGGGCAGCCCATTCTGGATGATGCACTCCCAGTAGTTTGTAGCTTGGAGAGGAGGTAGGACTTTGTTTGTGTGTGTGTGTGTGTGTGTGTGAACCCTGGGGTCAGACAATCTGGGAGGGCTCTTTTGAGCAAGACTGTGAGACTTCTTGGGCAAAATCTGGGAGGTGGAGGAGGAAGCATGAAGAAGAAGACAGGAGATAGTTGAAGATATGAGCTTAGTGGAGCAGGGAGGCCAGTTTAGTAGAATATAACAATTTGTATAAATCTAAGGAGATGTGACTCTAGAAAACTGAGTAGAGGAAGATATGGTCAAAAGAGTGGATATGGCAAATGACCACAGCTGGGGATTGTAGTGAAATGGGGAGAAGCAGAGCATGGCTGCAGATTAGATGGAGCCTGGCTAGGCTCCAGAGGCTGAGGTGCATGCTGTCCTTCTGGCTATTTCCAGCAGAGCAAGGGAATTGGAAGCCTCCTCAGGCATGGGTCCATTTTGGGCCAGATAAAAGAAGAGATGAGGTCAAAGCTGGGAGGAGTGAGTCTGAAAGATGAACAGAGATAAGGAAGACACAGATGCTATACAAGAGAACAGAAGTCCCCAAGGGAAAGAGCATTCCCTCTGTCTTTTTGTATGGTGGACATGGACATCACAACTTTGAGGAAATTTTAAAATCAGCAAGTGGCCAGGGGTCATATCCTCTAGTTGTAAAATAAGATTATGCTTAAACCAAGCAAATTCCCTCTAGTATTACCCTGAGATAAGCTTTGGCCTCAAACGTATGTAGATTTAAACCCAGTTCAAACTCTTTTTAGCCATGTAGGCAAGACACTAACTTCTCTGAACCTCAGTTTTCCCATCTTGAAATCTATTGTGCATAGTAAACACACTCAAACATTAATTTTCTGAGCCCTGATGCCTGATTTCCAATTAGGCTCCCAGTGACTGTTCTAGTACTTTTCTTTTGGAAAGAAAGAGAAAGAAAGAGAGAGAGAGAGTGAGAAAGAGGAGAGAGAACTAAAAATTTAAAACTAACACTTCATATGTGCAAATGAATATAAATGATGAATGTATGTATATATGTATATAACATAATTTAAGAATGATAATTTAATACTTCTTATAAAATTAGAACATGATAGTACTATTGATCAGTGTACTTTCCCACAGTCTCATACCCTGCTGTTCTAGAATGAATAAACTCTTTCTAATTGCCATTCCTACTCCACCCCACTTTCACTCTGTGTTTTAGTAGCCTCCGCTGTTCTGCAAAAAAAAGTAAAGATCATTTGGAAAGAACTTCTCCAGACACTTTTTCTTCAAGGTATCTCTTTCGGCTCTTGCCTTTTGATTCTTTCTTCCCTCCTGTCTCAGAGGAGTACCTTAAGTGCTGAGTAGAGGAATTTGGACTGTGACCTGTAAGAAGGGACACTTGTTTAGGATTTGATTCCAGGACACAGGAACTGTTGCAATGAAAACAACTTACTTCTTTCTTTGAGACTGGGGAGCAGAATGAAGGGCGGTCCAGCTCTGGGCTGGTTTTAATCTTCCTGATCCTGGTAAGGGCTGTGGAAATGGAAAAGGGCATCCTAGAGAGGTACAACTATGGGAGACTTAACAGAAGTTGGTGGCTTAATCGTCATGCCAAGAGATAGGGCATGGGGAAAGGGTGAAGATTAAAGATTATTTTTAGAGTCTGCTTGACCAGGAGTAACACAGAAATAAGGAAGTCATAAGTACTTCCAGCTCTGGGAAGGAAGATGCTGAGTTCCCTTTGTGACCTGCAAGTGGGGGTGGAAATCACGGCAACTGGAATCATGGAGGTGGAGCTCCAAAGAAAGTGTAGGTCTGAAGATAGAGATTTGGGCTACACTCAGAGGTACTATGTAAGTAACAAAGACTCAAGGAGCAAAATTCAGAAAGAGAACACAAGACTGAACCACAGGTATTGGAGAACAAAGTAGCTATAGGTTTTGGATGTGTAGGGTCAGTGGAAGAAGGCAGGAGTGAAATGGTGCCAGGTCCAGGTTAAAATGGGCCTTCTGTTCCATGGTAAGGAACTTGGATTTTTCTTATAGACAATTGGCAGCTATTGAAGGTTTTTAAACTGGAAAGGGATACAGTCATATTTGTTTTTCAAAGAGATACACACTATTTGCATTTAATTACTTTTTTGTAAAGAAATTAATAATCTGAAGGATTATTGAAGTGGAGAAAGAGCAGAGGTAGGAAAAACCAGTTAGAAGCTGCTACAGTAACCCTGGTGAGAGGTGATGGTGTTGTGAACTATGGCAATGATAATGGGAGAGAACTGAAGGTGTCAGTGTTTAGATGGTTTAGAAAGTAGATTCACTGATTAGATAAGTGAGGTGAGGTAAGGAGGAATGAAGAATCTAGAGAGTTTTTGGGTTTCTGGTGTGATACAGAATAAACAAAGAGCAAGAGGATATATTTTACTTTAAATGTGTTGAGTTTGAAATGAATGTTCAGGTGGAGTGGAAATATTGACATATGGGTGGTAGTTGAAGCCAAATGCTTGGATAACAGTTTTGGAAAAATTATAAATACACAATAAATGTCTGTTAATAATTCCATAAGCCATTACAATCCTTTGGCTTCTCCTCTCTGATATTCTTCATTTTATACTGTAGTTTGACCAGAGCCTCCAAATCCTTTCCAGCTCTGCATGTTGACTGTGAGCTGTTAGGTATATTTTAGGTGTCCTGTTCCTACTACCTTCAAGCTCATACAGCAGCTGAGCAGCCCCTCACCACAGCCCCCCATATTGATTAACAGGAACAGAGAGTATCCAGAGTTTGAAGAAAGGTGGGAAGATAGTTTTTAGTACATTGTTCTGGTTTTGATTGTCTTTCTGTCCTTTCTGAGTAAAGTTCCTAAAAGGATAACCTATACTTGCAAACATTTCCTTACTTTCTAATGGTAACCCCTTGTAATCTGGTTCCTGCCTTGGTCACTCTTCTGAAACTGCTCTCAAATATCACTAGTGACTTTCTTATTGTCAATGCTTCCTCTCTCTGCACCTATTGACATTGCTCCTTTCTTCTTTGGCTTTTGTGACATCCTGCTGTCTGTCTCTTTTCTACCTGTCTGGTGGATTTTCTGTTACCCTTTGGGGGTCCTTCTCCTCACCCTCTAAATGCCGGCCTTCATTACTCTGTTCCTGGCTGGTTTTCCTCTATGTGCAGTCATTGTTGGGAATCTACCTTGTTCTATCAGCTTCAGTCCACCCTGCTCTGGGCAGCAATTATCTCTTTCCTTCTTCTGACTCCTCTCCACATCTCCTAGCTCTGAACTCATTATTCCTTCTTCCCTCACCTCAGTCCCTTCACCAGCTTGGCTTCTCTTCTGGGCTTCCCTATGCCTATTAAGTATCTTATGTTCTGTTTGTTAGATTTCAGACCCTAGTGCCATCTCCAAAGCCTCCCTCTTGGCTCATCATGTCAAGTTGTTCACTAAGTTGTTTTGTTTTCTTTTGACTTTTTTGAACTCTAGTTTATTTTCTCTGTTCTACCTTTTACTGTCACTTTCATGTCTTCTTGTCTACATTACCGCAACTATCTATTCTATTTCCCTTTGATTAAACCAGTTTGCTCACCTCCAAATTAATCTTCCTAAACTTCTGCATGGTGCTGTGTCCCTCATACTCAAAACCACTTTCCATTGCCGGTGGAAACTCTGGGATGGGCACTTTCTACTTAGTACCAGCCTTCCCCTTAACATAGGCTATGCCTGTGGGGCCTAACCTTTAGCCCAATTGTCCCTTTTCCTCCAATGAGATGTGTGTGTGCATGGTGTTGGTGATCAAACCCAGGGCCCTGTACAAAACAGGCAAGTTCTCTACCATTGGGCTACATCTCCAGCCCTAATGAGGGCTTTTTGAAAGGTACATTTACTCATCTTTACAGATTAAGCAAAAATTTCTAGTTTTTGTCCCTGGATTTATTATTTTTTTGAGGGTTCTTTTGTACCTGGATTTATACCAACTCAATATAACACAGGATAAAACATAGGATAATTAAATGTCTATGATGAATGAAAATGGAGAAATCATTATTTTCTTCTTTAATAAATGCCAAGTGCAGAGATTGTAGATAAAAATTCTCAAAACATGGATTCATATAATGAAAGAAGTCCTTGGTGATGAAAAGGTTGAGACCACTACTCTGTTTTCTAGTCAGTAGGAACAGTTTGATGCTGTTTCCCAAGCAGACTTGTATTTTCATATCCCTCAGGACTTCACTTATGCAGTTCCTTTGCTGTTAAGTGTCCTCCCTGCCATCTCCCAGTACCTGAATCCTCTGCATCCCTTGGGACCATCTACAGATATCATCTCTTTCCTCCCACATCTACTGGGAGCCTCCTACATAGAATCTTTCCCTTTCCGCAGCCTTCAGTGTCTCTTACACTTTGCTTCAGGTTCCAGCTTTATTTTTCTCTGGAGCTGAGGCCATAAGCATGTGAGGATGATGTTCTGAGCATTTCCTACCCAGCACCCCACCAGCCACTTAGGAAATGGTGAAAAGCAGAGACATTCTACCGACTAATTGAGCCCTGCGGCCCTAGAGCCCTGGCCCAGTCTGCCCCAATCTCACTCCCAGGCGCAGCCCGCAAGGTCAGTGGACCCTCCCGAATTAATTTCCACCTCATTAACTGGGCCCAGTCCCGCTCTCGCGGCTCCCGCTCTTGTTGCTCGACTCTGACACGGCCCCCTCCCTTTTCTTCTTTCTCTTTCCCCTGTCACCTTGCCAGCTCGGCTTCTATCACTTCACGTATCTTCTCTTCATCTCTCTTTCTCCCTGACTCTGTCTGGGTCTCTGTCTTTGGGTGTTTCTGCGCTTCCATCTGTCTGGGTCTCCGCTTCCTTGCCCCCTACGCCCCGCCTCTTGCCCAAGCCCCTCCAATCAGGACCGCTTGGGCCTGGCGCTCCACTCTCCCATTGGTCTGTCGAAGCCCCCCCCCGTCCCCGCCCTCCAGGCCCCCCTCCGAGCCCCTCCATTCACACAAAGTTTGGCTCGGACTCTTCGGAGAGAGGGGGCGGCCCGGCCCGGCCCAGCTCTGCCCCCGGCCGGCCCGACCCCGGCCCCGGCCCCCGGACAAGCCCTTATCTGATCCCAGCTCCGGGTTTAAGAGTCCTGGCCCTGCCCGTCGCACAGCTTCGCTCCTCACTTCTGCCCGCCCCGTCTGTCTGTCGCGCTGCCCCGCGGCCCATCCAAGGGGCCACTCCATTTCGGACCCAAGGTAAGACCCTGGCCCCGATGAGGGAGTGCTCCCGCCCTGGCCGGGGTCTGTCCATTTAACTCTCCAGAGACATCGGGGCCCCTATCTCCTAAACCCTTGGTCCCCGCCCTGGCTGGCCTCAGCATTATGGTCCTGTTCCTCCTCGCTCAGCCTTGGGTAGCCCTAAACGGAGCTTCCTGGGAAGAGCTTCCTAGGGAAGGTATTGTATCCAGGCTGCTCACCTCAGCATTTTAATCCAAGGAAAGGTCTCTCCTGATGCCCCTTCCCACTGAACAGATCTGCAGTTGCACCCCTGCTTCTTCAATTACTACAGTGACCACCATACATAATCATGCATCCACCATACAGGCACATAGACAGTGCCCCCTCCTTCCCACTAGGGACAGGTTACTCCTATGCCCCCCACCCCCATACAGTGACACTCTGACTACCAGTTCATACCTGTGGAGAAAAGGACATACAGGTTAGATTAAGGGAGACATTGTAACCTGGCATGTCTGGGAACCTCAACCCCCCCATTTTCTTCCTTCTATTCTGACTTGGCTCCTGCTTCAAGACACCTTATCCCGACTCCCCCCAGCCCCACCCCAGCTGTTGCATGCAGTGAATTCCAGAAGGAGCAGGGCTGCTCCTTCTGGAATAAGAGGGTAGGGTGTGATCTATAAAGTCATCCTCCTAATGGAGATGCCCCTTTCCAGTCCATCCCTCCCTCCACCAGGAACTAACCAAGGGCATCTGTGTTAGGAAAGAAGATAAAGTTTGAAACTTCTTAATTTGGGGGAGAAGAGCTGAACCCCAGGATGGGAAGAAGGACAAAACTGGGGGAAAGTGGGGGTAGGGGCCTCTGATATCTTGAGATTTCATTCCGGTAGTGAAGTGCCCCAGGCAGGTTGAAGCAGATGAAGTGGGGGTGGTGCAGAAGCCAGTATACATTTGAACCCAAAAAGAAGCCAGAGTTTAAGGCTTGGCTAGGTTGCTTATCAACACAAATTTTAACTAAAGATTTCTGGCCAATCTGCCCTTGCTGTGGTGCTTGAATTTTATTCTTCCCCACTGGAACTGCTTTATGTAGTCTGGGTGGGAGGGAAATGATGATGGAGAACTTGGTGCCCTTCTGTTCAGGGCTGCTGAGGAGGGCATGGAATGGGTATTGAGAAACCAGCCCAAGAATGGGACAACAGCCACCCACCAGTGAGTTCAATTTAGTTTCATCCTGAAACCTTCTCCCTGATCTTTAAGGAGTTTTGAACATGTTCCTGGCATGATGGTGGGTGCCATCCTGTGCCAAATGGTAGAGCTTCTTAATTCCTCAGGGTGTTGACTAGGTATGGGGGACTAAGTGTAGAAGGAGCCAGGTGTCCTGGCTCATAGCTGATTCTTCAGAGAGGAGGAAAGGAGGAGGCAAGGGAGGGAAGGCAGTATGCCAGGGAGAGGGTCCAGAGCTGGACTGTGAAGGCAATAGGCATTGCCCAGGCAGTGCCAACTCCTTTCTGTCCCCCACTCCCAGTCCTTTGGTGGTGGTGGTGGTGGTAAGGGAGGGATGGAAGGAAGGAGGAGGAGTTGGGGGGTGATCTGGGCCAGTCCAGCCTCCCAAAGTCCTTGCCAACATGGGTCCTGAAAGGAGCTGCTGTTTTCTGAGCCATCCCCCAGCCCCCACCCAGAACCCAGAGCAGCCAAGTTGTCTCAGCGGATATCAAATGGCAATGACTCCACTAACAGGGAGTGAGGGGGTGTGCTGTGGGAGTGGCAGGAGAAACAGGGTTATGGTCCCATTCCTTCTGCAGTTTTAATGTAGAATCCCACTCCTCCCTCCTCCGTTGATGGAATAAAACCTATATCCCCAGCATCTGCCCCACATCCAGCCTTTGGGTGCATATGTTTATGTGGGGAGATTAGTTGTCTGCCTGCTGGCATCCCCTACCTCCTCTGTGTAGCCCCCACCTGCAGCACTCTGCCTGAGCTCATTTACAGCTACAGCTTTGTTGGCTTGGGCTAGAAAGGAGGTGACTGGCAGTAGTCCCAGGGGCCTTCCTTCCCCTGTCCCTTAGGGACCAGGAGACTGGACGCTTGGATCTGGGTGGGCTCAGATTAATTCTTTGGAATCCATCCTGGAATTGATGGGATAAAGGATTTAGGGCTCTTTGGGGTGAGTCATGCAGCAAGGCCCATTTTCTTAAAGGAGATTGCTGGGCATCTTAGCAAAATGCTGGGTTTCTGTACAGAGATGGAAAAATAGGATGAGGCTCTTAGGCAGTGGCAAGTAGGGAAAGAGACATAGGGTGATGGAGTCCTTAAGTTTTCCTACTGGAGGTTATTTAGGATGGAAGAAAAAACCTCCACTCTCCCTTCCTTCCCTGGCCTAGATTCTTCTCTTGCCTGACTGGTCAGTGCTACTGTCCAGGCTGAGGCCAAGCTGTACAGGACAGTAGTGAGGCCCTGGAAAGGAGCAGAGAGAAGGGATAACACAAGGCACATCATTGAGATGAAACTGCAGAAATATTGGAGAGAAATGGGAAGTTTGGAATCCAAATGTTTTAGCACTCAATGAAGGGTGGTTGGCTAAGGTGGGTCTGGGAGCGGAAGCTTTTTTAGTTGGCGGTGTCACCTCATTCTCTCCCTTCCACAACCAATGCTTTTTCTTCCCTCATCTGAGTTTAGTGTCCCTGTTGCTGCCATTCTTCATGGAGAAAGTGCATCCTGGGTGGCCCCTCTTTACCCCTCCCCCATCAGAACCTTGAAAGGGCAAAGAGAAAGGAATTGTGGGAACAACCCTCCTGTGGGTATCTGCCAGCCTGGAGCCTGGATTTGAGGTAGCGGGGAAGGGAGGGTCTGGCTCTGTAATGTGGGAGAGAAGTCAGAACTGAACTGTGTGGTCTGCAGAAGGAAGTTGGAGAAGTGGGGGCTCCAGAGGACTGAATTAGCACATCAGACCTTCAAAATGGTGTAAGATGTGTGTGTGTGTGTGGGGGGGGGAGGTATATAGCCCTTCTACAGCTCTTCCAGAGGCAGAAAACCTGGGAAGAGAGTTGAGACTGCAGCTGGAATGACATGTTTAGATTTCAGAAAGCACATCCCATAGCTGGAAAGACATTTGAAATAAAGATTAGAAAAGAATGGGAGAGAAACTTCTGGGGTGGGGAGAACAACCAAAAGCAAAACCAAAAAATAACCCCCAAATGAAAAAAAGCCCATAATTAAGGCTTCTGAGAAGAGCTATGAAGCTTGGAGGTGTAGGGGTTATTGGATGGCAGTGAGGCCCTGTATTGCTGTCCCAGACCTGCTTCCTGCTCTAAGAGACACTAGGCACACTTGTTAAGAGCACACCTGTGGAGTCTGACTTCCTGGGTTTAAGTCCTGGTTTTACCACTTAGTAACCACACCAGTCTCCTCATTCTTATAACTAACAGGGCTAATAATAGTTGTGAGGATTAAAAGAGTCAATATTTGTAAAGGGTTTAGAAGGGGTTTAGCATGTAAAAAGTGCAGTTGGCTGTTAGAGTTCACAAGCCTCTCTGACTGTTTTCACTCTGTCATCTTTCCTGGCTCCTGTGCCATGTCCCAGCACTTTGTGGTAGTTTTACTGAGATTCTGTTCTAGGTCTTTGTCCTTCACCCTTCTGGAGTTTGAGAGGGCAGAAGAATTATCACGTAGTTTAAGATGAAGTTTCTGTTTCACTCTAACAGCCTGGCCATCACCTGAGGCTGGGTCTCCATGCCCACAGTTCCTCTTTCCAATGTGTTTTGCCCAGCAGATGTACTGTCTTCAAGTCAGATTCAATAACTGTGAACTTTGCTGTTGAGTGTCTCCCAAAACAGTTTCTCTGCCCATTTTCAGCAACTTCTGTGCTTCAGTCAAGGATGCCAGCTTCTTTCTATTTCTACATCTAGAGATATGTCTGTCTATCCCTAGACATGAGATATGTCTGTCCCTGCTTCCACCCATAGCCCTGCCTGGCTCTTTTCTCTTCTTCATCCCTTGTCTTTCCTCCTGTGCAGGTTTGGCCCAACTTATCTCAGGTTGATGTACCCTCCTGTACTTCTGTCCTCTGATCAGCCTGGTTGCCTATGGCAACCGCCTTGATGACTTTCCTGACTGTAGCCTCTTTCTCCTTGATTCCATCCTTTTACTACACCATAGAATTACCATGAAGCATCAGTTTTATGTTGCCCCTTCCTAACTTAGACACTCCTGGTGTCATCACATGAAAATTTTCTAGTCACCCCTCTAGCACACCCATCTCTTGGAACCGTGTTCTTCAGACTCTACTCAGGCAAACCACATCTGAGGGCAGTCAGTCTCTTCCTCACACAGGCCATTTTGAGTTCCATCCTCCTGCAAACTGCCATCTTCCTATTTCCCTCTCTGTTCTGCCATCTTGCTTTCCCTTTTCATCTGTGACTTTGCCCAGGATGCCCCATGCATGGTGATGTCAAAGGAGCATCTTGTCCCTCTAATTAGTTTGAGGGCTCCTCTGGGGCAGAGCTCTTTGTCAGAGTAGGGACTCCCCGAGGCAAAGGCAGAATCTCTTCTCTCCCTGGACCCCTTGGCACCCAGCAAAGGGTTTGGTTCCTAGGATGCAGAGTGGCTGTTGTTCAGCTTGACTCTTGTCAGTAAACTTTCCTGTTTACTTATTTGAGGAGAGAACCCTGACTTTAGAGGGTTATGTGGGTATCCTGCAGTAGGATATATGTAAGACCCCATTATTCAACTTTCTAGGGAGACTCAAGAAAGGTCCTAACAATTGCACCATCCTGTGGAGGTGGCTTCACCTGAAGATTACAAACAGCAGACCCTAAAAACATCAAATTCCAGTCCCCTAAGCATTGCTGGCCCAATACACACAAAAATGTGGGTATCCAGGCCCATGCCAGAGAAGTCTGATTCCAGTCTGATGTTGGCTTGTCAGCTGGAGTCTGGAGTGGAAATAGGGGGTAGAGGTCAGAGTCCAGTCTGAGAAGTTCTCATTGTCTTGTGTATACCTCTGAGCAGGGCTTGCAAGG